ACCTGGTCTGAAGGCGGGCGGCGGGGAGAAGAGCGCTTCTCCCCGCTGCCGGCCCCACAAGCTCCGGGGACAGCGGGGAGGCGCAGTGCATCTTCCCGCTGTCCCCGGACCTGGTCTGAAGGCGGGCGGCGGGGAGAAGAGCGCTTCTCCCCGCTGCCGGCCCCACAAGCGCCTGGGGGGGAAATAATTTTTTTCCCTTTATTTCCCCCCCAAAAAAACTTGGTGCATCCTATGGGCCGGTGCGTCCTATGGGGCGAAAAATACGGTATATGATGCCAAAAATATTTCGTTTTGGCATCCAACGACCAAATCAGTTGCTAGCAAACAGTCGCTTTATATAGCTTTTACCTGTTCATTATGCTCAGAGAAGATCATGACAAAGCAAAAAGCAAAATATAAAGACGTCAACTATAACTATATGTATATGAGATCATTCAAAGTATCTGTTCACCTTTCAGATTTTACATAACAATATTAAATTTACAGTAGTGTACTGGTTGGTTAAGTTTCGTTGGAATTACAATCTTATGCAACAGTTGATGTGCACCACATGAAAGGGTAGTCTTATGAAATCCTACAATGAATTATTTTCTTTTGAAGGGAGAAATGTTTGATTTTCCGGAGATTGTTCCATTTCGCCTTACACATAACATGGTCAATGGTATGGGTCCAATGGGGACGGAAGGTCTCTTCCGAAGAGCTTGTGAAGTTACACTGAGACTCATGCGTGATCAGAGAGAACCACTAATGAGGTACAACAACAGATGTGAAAAACTTCATATGCTATCTAACTTTACAATGTGAACTACTTAACCACTGTAAATTCCTAGCCGCACTTTAACTTTTCAGGGTTGGGGGGGGGTGCGGCTTATATTTGGGCCAATACGGTACATGCAAGATGCTGTGAGCATTTTGAAGGAAGAGTGAGGTGTAAGTAACAACAACAACAACAAAGTTCTGTTTGTGTAATGATTTAGAATTGCAGAAGTTGAAAGATGTATAAATGATGTTTCTTTCCCACCGAAACTACAACTGCAACTAAATGAATTGTCTTGAACCGTTAACTTCCCTTTGTTTATATGTCATCTAGCGTTTTGAAGACTTTTCTCCACGATCCTCTTGTGGAATGGAGTAAACCAGTCAGAGGCAATACAAAAACCCTTGTGAATGAAACTGGAGAAATTGTCAATGAAAAGGTGACTTGGTGGGGGTGGGGACACCTTAAATACAGACGGGACAGTTAATTTAAATTGTGTACCAAAAATTCAGATTCTGTGCTACGGAGTCCCACACTTGGGCTACATACACATCGTACATTTAAGATACATGACTCCCCCCTTCACAATAATCCTGGTAGTCTACCCCTTATAGAGCTACAATTCCCAGCACCCTTAACTACATTTCCTAGGATTCTTTAGGGAGTCCATGTGCTTTAAATGTATGGTGTGCATGCAGCCTTGATGTACCAATAAATTATGCAAATTACATATGCTTAGTTTACAAGTTCCCTTTTTGAGCGGAATATCTGAAGTGGAGTGCAAGTCAATATGAGTAACTGGAAGAGCAATGCCTGGCAGTAATTAATAAAAATAGCTATTAATGCAACTTTCAGGTGGGGGACAGATGTAACTGCTGCTACTAAAAGATTACCTTCTAGTCTATTAATGCCACCCTTTCGTCAGCTTGACTATTGTTTGCTTGCTTTCAGGCCAAGACCCATGTTTTGGATATAGATCAGCGACTTCAGGGTGTGATTAAAAACAGGAATAGAGTAAAGGGCCTGCCTTTGTCAATTGAAGGACATGTTCACCATCTCATTCAAGATGCAACAGATGAAAACTTTCTGTGCCAGATGTACCTTGGCTGGGCTCCGCATATGTGAACCTCTAGCATTTACAAACGGATTGCTGTAAAAAAAAAGGGGGGGGGAGGGTTAGTTCAGGGACACCTGTTTTTTGTTTTTTAAAAAAACATTTCCTATCATTTCTACTTTGGTATTTTCTGCTAGCACAACTCTGTGTTTCAGTGTGTAATTTTGTTTATATTCCATATTTGTATATAAATGCCACTTGTATTTGAAAAGCCATTTATACAGATTATTAAAGAGCTGAAACCTTTCATTTTAAAAAGTTTGAATGCAGCATTTTAGCTACTCAATATTTTTATCTTTTATCTCTATTAAAAGGGTATGCACAATACTTAGATTATCTCCCCATTCCACATCTGAAAGGCCTTTTTTAAGTGCCCCAAACTACTAAACTGGATTACCGTAAGTAGTACTAAAGTGGTAATAAAACTGGTCCCAATGTAAACGTTTCTATATTTCAGTTGCAAAATCCTGTTAATGCACAGGATTCTGGATGCTGTCTGTGGCAACTTATTACCATTTTAGCATTCCATACAGCAGAGCTTTCCAAACTGCTCATGTTGGTGACACACTTTTTAGACATGCACTATTTCGTAACACAGTAATTCAGTTTTACTAACAAACTGGAGTTTAAAGTAACCCCTTTCCAGTCCCAGAAGGAGCACGGGGAGCTTTCACGCGACATACCAACACAGGGCGGTCATCACACTAACCAAGGTGGCAATGGGTGAGCCGGAGCTGCTTGTTGCTGCTGCCAGTGCTGGGCCCAGTGGCAGCCTGGGCCTGACTCTGCAAGACTCAGGGTGACATTTACTCCAGCACCTAGTGGATCAGAGCCTTTGGATGTTGCCAAGGCGCGCAGGCCCTTCAACAGCGTTGGCCCGGCTCTGCAAGGCGCAGGTTGAAATCCACCCCAGCGCCTAGTCAAATGGGTTCTTCTGGTGCTGCTGACTTGCATCTAGTCATGGGTATAATTCATGGTTATTATAAATTAGCGTTGTATCTAACCAAAGTGCACTCAAAATGATTGGTGGAGTCTACTCCACCAATGCTGTATGGCAGATGTTTCCAAACTCTCGTGACGCATTAATGCAGTATTTCCTAACCTGGGGGGTTCTTATTCCAAGGATGGAATAAGACCACACATTAAACAAAAGTGGTGTGAGAGCTTTCTGAGCTGTGATACTTTGAGAGTTCTAAGAGAAGAGGAGAAAGGGGTTGGCCAGAGGTAAAGGAGGGCAGGGGCTCAGTTATGTTGACTTCCACTGTCTGAATACCAGTTGCTGGTAGTTCTGCTTTTTGGCCATCTGGTTTGGCCATTGTGAAGGAGTGGATGTTAAGAGTTGTAGCAAGTAGAATCCCTGATTTGGACCTTGTGTAGAGTAGAAATGAATTTGCTCTCCACCACGACGAGTCTTAAAATGGTTACTTCATATTTTATAAACATTTGTTTGTAACACATTGCTCTTAAGCAAGCAGTGCAGTCCAGTCTTTTTAGCCCTTAATAAGTGTCTGTGGACAGCGCTGGCTCCCGGCCTCTAGAGTGAGATGAGCGCACAACCCTAGAGTCTGTCAAGACTGGCCCGTACGGGCAGGGGTACCTTTACCTTTATAGTTCACTAAACCTTCCTCTCTAGTCTGAGAGAGATCCTGACCTAAACAATCTGTTTGTTCACCATTGCTGAGCTTAGCCACTACTGCTGCTGCTAGCTCTCCATTGCTAACTTAAGAAGCTGAGTTCTCAGGTTTCACCTTCCTTCTGTGAGACAGTTTTTCCTTTGATGAGTCATCAGTTATCCTTAAACACTCTCTTTGCTGTATTTACCTAGAGACAAACCTCTCTTGCCTAATGCAAGCTTTTCTACACAGATTTTCAAACACAATGCATACAAACATTACCTTTCCTGCATAGCTTTTAAAGCCATATCTTTCTTACGCATTATAATAAATGTACATAATAAATGTACCAACCAAGCACATACATACAGCAGCACAGGAAGACGGACCTGAAACCATTTTTTATTCCCAAATTGACCAAATGTTTTCTCTGCAAGATCAAAGGAAAATGGAAAAGCCTCCCCACTCTCTTTTCCTTCACAAATCCTGTCTTAAGGGTATGTCTGTGTTTGAATAGGGTGTGCCTGTGACCTGTCTCAGGAACTAAGTATTTATCATTACAAAAGACTGGCCAGGCTCCCCAGGGTATCCAATCAAGTAACCTGCCAGACAGGAGATAAACCACTCAGATTTCTGCTGTAGACCGCCCTTTCTGTGATGTATGTATGATGTATGGAGGGGTGGTCTTGAGCTCCAGGGCAGGGAATTTAAAATATACAGTATAAGGGCAGGCACACCTTGGTTCTGGGTCTTCAACACTATCAAGCAAGGCAAAAGCTGCACTTTCTAAAATTCTTCCTTTTGCACCACGATTGAAGACAGGCGAGGGGCTTCCCATCTTGTGCTACTCCAGGACAGTGACAGAACCACCCTGACTTCTCAATCTGCTTCTTGACCACCATGACCCACTCAGACTTCGCATGAATTTTTAAATGATCTAGCGCAGGGTTTCCAGTTATTTTTCTTGCAGACCTTTTATGCCTTCGGTAGTTGTGTGACAAGCAGGGGAGAAAACTCTTAAATACTGTTTACAAACAACAGCTCAACTTTTGAGGTCGAAAGTCATTTTACTCCATCCCTTCTTAGACACCTTTTTCCCCCACAGTAAAGCAGCGCATAATTTTTAATGAGATAAATAAAACAAAGGCGGGCAGGAAAAAAGGCCTCCTCCCTCTCTCCCCCCCCCCGGTGTCCGGGTAACTCCGGGCGTATGGCAGCACATAGAGATTTGGGAGATTTTCATTTCAAAATAGCTCAAAAACGTTCTTTGAGATTTCGAAAAACAAAAACTTTTGCGTCCGGATTTTCACTTTTTGAAATAGGACAACCCTAGCTCCGTACACACAACACACGCTATCACCGCAGGTTTCGGCAACGCAAGGGCGGCGGCGGCGGCGGCTGCCGGCCCGCAGTTCCCGCGGCTTCCAGCAGGGTGCGCCATTGCGGGGGGGGCGGGCCTCTCCCCGCCTGTTTTGTTGACCCTCTGACGCAGTGCCGGTCCGCTCTAGGAACAGCTGCTCCGTGAGCAAACTCCGGCCCTCGCCCGGAAGAGAGAGGTGGTTTGTTTTTGGCCTGTGGCGGCGGCGGCGGTCAGTTGCTTGTTGTGTCGGGCAGGGCTGGCGCTAAGAGCGGGCATCTGAGGGCGAAGAGGAGCAGCAGCACTAGCCGCCATGGGAGTGCCGAAATTTTACCGTTGGATCTCGGAGCGGTACCCTTGCCTCAGCCAGGTGGTGAAGGAGCATCAGGTGAGAGGCGGCTGCCGGTGTTGCTCTTTCCTCTCCCCCGCTCTTGCATGGAGGGAAGGGGCTCCTCTTCTTTCCAGGGCGGCTGTGCTCGGGAAAGATGTCCCGGCAGCTCCGAAGGGCTCCCTGGAAACCCCCCGCTCCGACCCTTTTCCCTGAGTCGCCGCCTTTGCCCAGGGGAGCCTCGTCTTGGCGACCCGTCGTAGAGAAGTTCTCCTTGCATTTTAGGGTTTCTGCCTCTATCCCGTCAGCTGGACTTGTCGACTTACCTTTGTGTTACTGATTATTATTATTATTATTACTATTATTATTATTTTAAACCCCTTATATCTGTTGAGCTCCTTGAAAAAGGGGGACTATACATGTAGTCGTGCTCATCATTATCTTCAAATAACGACGACAATGACATATTATCTGTACCCTGCCCATCTGACTGGGTTTCCCCAGCCACTCTGGGCAGCTTCCAGCATATCTAGCAAAACAACAGCAACAGCAATAATACTACCATCATCTCCACAGGGAGCCACAGCTTGGAGAGGAGTGCCCTGTAGGGAAAGGGTGTGTGTTGTGTTGTTAAGTTTGTATACCACCCTTCATCCGAAGATCACAGGGGTTCACAACATAAAAAGACAAAATGAGAACACAAAATACATAACCCTCCCACCCCACAAACAAGCCAATAGCCACCTTCCCACAAACACATTAAAAAGGTCGTAGAGTGTCCTTTTCTCTTTGCAGCCTTCCTTCGTTCCTGGCTGCAGCCATCTGTGACTGCTTTTCATTTAGAGAAGAGGAGCAGGATGGGGGAACTGTTACAAACAACTCAGGGACACTTTGTACTTTGGTCCTTTACTGTGAAACGCTTCAGCTTTGGGAACGACGCCCTGAACACACTTGTATAGAAATACCTGCATTTGCCAGCTAACAACAGGCAGCTTTATTCTGCCTGAATTCTGAGGAGCAGGGGGAAAACTGTGTGCTTCCACATTAGAAATTGGTCCAATAAAATACATGGTTGAATGGGAGTGAGATTTTACCCAGCAGGAAAGAGAATGAAAGTGATGGAGAATGAGCCAGACTGCTGAATCGGAAGGGCCCTCTGACCTGGAGTGGAGTTGCCAAAATCCTGAATTCACTTTTGCTGCAAAGGTTTATGATGAAGTGATGGATAAGTCTTTCTAAGTAAACAAACTATAAATAAATAGTTCCATTGAACTCTGGAACTTTAAACACACAGCATTGCATTGCCAACCACTGTTGCCTATTTGATAACCTTTGACTACAATTTATCCTGGTGATCTACCAATTAGAGCTTTTTTTGGTTAAGGAACTGCTGCTTTGAATCAATGTAAAAGAGTGGCTTCTGATTTGAAAGTGGTGTCATCTGAGAGCGCCATTGGTGTCATTATTAAAGTGTTGGACATGGTGGTGGTAACTTCAAGTCCCCACTCAGCCCTGAGGATCACTAGATGATGTTACACTCTCAGCCTAACCAACTTTACAAAGTTTGTTGTGAGGATGAAATTGAGGAGTGGAGAAAAGGCAGAATAGGAAAATAGTAAAATTAATCATTATTTTTTAACGTTTTAGAAAGCTGTAAAACCAGACACTATAACTAGAGTTACTGTTAAATACAGGGGTAGCTAACCTTTTTTTGGCCAAGCCATCTGAGGTCCATTTGCCAGCAGGTGGATTTAGCCACCTCACAATCTTATTACACAGAGTCCTCTTCTCAGCTGCTCTATACAGATCATGAGAGGAGGGGTGGGGCTAGCATCCCCCTTCACCCATCAAATGAGGAGTCTGACAACCAGGGAGGGGCTGTTTGAATCTCCCCTCAAAGCACCAGGCTTCTATCCCAGTGTTGTCTAGTTCAAATTTATCTCTTTTTGCCATCACCAAAGTTGTGGGGTGGTTAGGGGGAGAGAAAAGTTTGATGGGGTGCCAGACAAGACTCCAAAGTTTGGATTTAGTCACCCTTGATCTAATGCAGTGTTTCCCAACCTTGTGCCAACCTTCCCAGATGTTTTTGGCATACAACTCCCATCATCCCTGACTAGCAAGACCAGTGGCAAGGGATGATGGGAATTGTAGGCCAAAAACAGCTGGAGGCACAAGGTTGGGAAACACTGATCTAATGTATGGTCAGGAATCTTACACTTTACTTTCAATCTTGTGTATATATACTTGGGAGTAAATCCTATATTTACTTTTCCCTAAGTAAATATGCCTTGAGATGCATGATAATATACAGGTTGTAGCCTTCCATTCAGGGAGCAATATTTGCTTGTAGTTTATTTTAATTTATAGCACCAGTATTAATATACTTGAGGACTTGCTAGGGAAAAATGTAATGACACATAGCCTGATCATGTTCCTAGGTAAATTGCAGTTTTCATTTCTCCATGGAAATACTTAGCAGGTTGGTTTCACTTTTGTTTCTGTTATGTGCTCTGTTGTTTTCCATTCTCAGAAGTGCTGCTTGCAGTGGTGAAATGTTTTAACTGGAGCCATATTTTCTATTTCTTCCAGCAATAATTAAAAATGTCTTTTTTCCTCCAAAATTTATATGCTGCCTTTCAAGACAAATGGGGAAGGTTGCTCACATAAACCAAATGTAGAATACAATTTAAAACATTTCTATTACAATTACAGAAACTGAAAAAGACCATCTAAAAAAAATGCAGTAAAGTACAATAGCATCACTGTCATGTGATAGTATCATTTTGGTTAGCTGTTTTGAGTAGTACTTTAATCTTGATAAAGGATCATGACTTTGGAGTGACCTTGACTCAGCAGTTGTAGTTTCAAATGAAGTACCCAATGCTAAAGTCGGTGTTTTGTGGAATTGTTTTTAATTTACGCTGGCAAGGTACTGCTGGCTATATGCCTGACAATGTGCCCCTTGACCCCGGTCCTTCCTGGCTTGTTAAATCTAGGGCATTTGACTAGTTGGTTACAGAGTGTGGTTAATACTTCATTGTGTGACAGGGTGGAACAAGACAAACCATGAACTTGAGTTTGGAAATAATTTTAAGTCAAACCATAGCTTGGCTGCAGATATGACAGCAGGACTATGAGACAGGCAAAGCAGCTATGCTTTTTACTGTGAGTGCCTGCATGGTCGCACATTCATGCTTAGTTTGGCTTAACATTACAATGGCACTGGTAACTGCTGTGTAAGGGAGAATAATATAGCAACTATTGGCTTCCTTGCTGCTAGAAGCAGAACATATTTCTTGATTAAAGGTAAAGGGACCCCTGACCGTTAAGTCCAGTTGCGGACGACTCTGGGGTTGCGGTGCTTATCTCGCTTTACTGGCCGAGGGAGCTGGTGTTTGTCTGCAGACAGCTTCCAGGTCATGTAGCCAGCATGACTAAGCTGCTTCTGGTGAACCAGAGCAGTGCATGGAAACGCCGTTTACTTTCCCGCCAGAGCAGTACCTATTTATCTAATGTACTTTGATGTGCTTTCAAACTGCTAGGTTGGCAGGATATGTAAACAATGAGACTGCATTGTTTCTTATCAACTGCAAAAATCTATAAACAGCAATTCCAGAATGCACAGTTAAAAATTATGAGCCCTCCTCCAGAGGTGGAAGTAAGTATTGAAATAAGTATTTCATATACAGGTATGGAATCATATCTACAGAAAGGAGGAAGGTGGAGCATAACATTTTTTGCTGGGTGGATGAATAACTGCTACTTGTATTAATTAATGGCTCTAATATGTTTCCTAGATTCCAGAGTTTGACAACTTGTACCTGGACATGAATGGTATCATTCATCAGTGTTCACACCCGAATGATGATGATGTTCACTTCAGAATCTCTGAAGACAAGATCTTTGCTGATATATTTCACTATTTGGAAGTATTGTTTCGCATTATTAAACCAAGAAAGGTTTTCTTCATGGCAGTAGATGGAGTTGCTCCAAGAGCAAAAATGAACCAGCAGCGTGGCAGACGTTTTAGGTGTGTGAGTTCTTCCTTGTTTGTTTGTTTGTTTGTTGTTATTGGTTCCCTCATACCTCTTCTGAATGCATGTTATTCTCAAGCAGTGGCAGTTAACACTGTATCTGTTGCTAAAATGTTTTTTCAAGAAATGCTGTGTTCCTTCCAGGTTTTTTGGATGCCTTGCTGGATAAGCAAAAATGAAAGAAAATAAATAGTTGCCAGCATCCCCAACCTGTTAGCCCACCTGCATTATTTTTTCCCCAAGGAAAAGGCCTGCATGCATTGTTGGGTGACATCCTACGTCATTTTTCTATGCACCTTTGGGAAGTGCTATAAAATGCTCTCAGAAGCCAAAGAGGCACTTCATCTACCAGATGGAGAAGAAAGGATGCACTTTTGGGTGCCTCTTCCCAGAGATGTATGGAACACCTCTTGGCAGTGTCATCCAATGCACCTGCCTGATCTTTCCCAAGGAGTTGGAGAGTGCGTGTGCAGAGGGGAGTATGTTGTGTTGTCCACTGCTGCAATAAAGCAGGAACCTTCAGGCAGCAGTGTCCTCTACTTTCCACCAGCTTTCCTTCTCCGAAGCAGGAAAGGTTGACAGCCTTTGCCTGTTTGGCCCTTTCTAGCTAAGGCTTTTCAGGCTTCTTTGCCATGCAGCTGCCAAACAGTCCCTGGTTTCCCCCCCCACCTTTGGAGCTGTGAAGTGGCAGGAATTGCAGTGCAAATGCTTGGACAATCCTACCCAGCTCTACAGCTTCAAAGTAAGGATTAAGAGTGGCTGCTTTTTATGCTTGGCAGTTGATAGCACCGCACTAGTCATGGAGAGCATATTTGTTGAAGTCTGGGTGCTGTGCTGCTTACTTTAAAAATATGTCTGCCCCGCCCCACTTTGGCCTTTATATTTGTATATCTCAATACTGATATGTTTTCTGTGTTACTGTGTTTTGGAAGCTTCTACATGTATGGGAGCTGACATTGTAGCTGATGGAGAAACCAATACTTGCTTTGAGCTCATGGTAATGCACTTGGGCGTCTTAAGAAGAGGGTCTCTAAAATTATTAGAAAGTTTAGCTCAGCTAAGTTTCATTTCAGCAGGATGTAAAAGAAAGCTTGGGTTCCTTTGCATTATGTTCCACTAAACACAATAATACAAATCTAATTAATGTGGGTTAGCTAAATTAATGATTGTCTTGGTTAAAAAAATCATTTGGGACTGGGATTGGAGTAGAAGGGCTTGGAATTTTAGTGCATGAGTGTGAACTATAAAGCAGAAAGTCTCTGTTTAAATATCACATCCTCCTCTAATTCACTGAGTAGCCTTAAGCAAGTCACTGACTCTCAGCTTATTCCCCTCCTGTCTAATAAAAACCCACCCCTTACACAGTTTTTGTGCTATTATTGAGATTATGTATATGAAATAATGTGCATACTTTACAGCACTAAAATGCTAAATATTGTTACAGGTCAGCAAAGGAGGCAGAGGACAAAATAAAGAAGGCATTAGAGAAAGGAGAGACTCTTCCGACAGAAGCTAGATTTGATTCCAATTGCATTACACCAGGTAAAGGAGTCTGCTTAATTTTTAATGTTCTTACATTCGGGTGCTAAGCTGCCATCTGGAATTGCATCCTTCTTTCTGCCCCTTACAGCTCATTTGAAATTAAAGGATGTGGTTTTCAAAAGTGCTGTAAGCCAAAGGTTTCTAGCAATTAACTCAGGTGAATGCTTTTTGGAAATTAATGACTTGAAAATGGTGGCAAATTGATAATCAGGCTTATTGTTATGAGACTGCTCTTGTGCATTGCACTATAGAAAAAACTAGCAGTGGTTTGTTTTGAGTTATGGTTACAGTGGCAAATGTTTGTCTTTATCCTAGGGTAACTTTGGAAACCAGAAAATATATAATGCATAGAAATTACTTGTGGTTATAGTCAACTAAAATTTTCTATCAGATTCTTTTTATGCTTAAGAGCATTTGGCCATCCAAACATAGATTTTTGGTTTGATGATCTAAGGCAGTCTCTGTTTTTGAAATTCTGAGATAAAAAGTGTTAAATGAAGCAAATAAAGTTTTAAAAAAGGAAGTAGCAATAAACACATCATGGAGTGTAACATTGAACACACTAGCTATACTATATTGCATTTTTCTATTTCATTAGTCAACTAGGACATTTTACCTTATGATACAAAAATAGAAAAAAGATTTCCATGTACAAATGCAAAGAATCCCGCTTCTCCAGCTCATGCTGATTCCAAAGAATGCTGTGTGACTTTTGAGCCATTTTGGCCCGTAAAAGCTGTCAGCAAGACTTTCAAAATGGAAGTTAAATTCATTTTTATCTCCATGGGGGTAAAGAGTCACTTAAGCTAAATCCTCTTTTCTCTTATCCCTGTTGCTATTCTTTGTTGAGCTATTATAAACTGGAAGTCACATATTTTCTGGTTCAGGCACAACTCTTGAGACTGGAGAACCAGGTAATGTCTTCCCTCAAAAGTCTAGATCAGCAAGTGCTTAATGCATGGGAATCTCTGACGCTGTCTTTACCAGAAACAGGAAAACATAGTTGACGCAAAATAAAAATGCTGAAATTTCAAAACACATTTTAGAATTCTGAACAGTTTATGCTGTCATAGTGCCATCTTTAATTGTAGTATACCATCTATTTTTGTGTGAAACATTGATTTCTAAAAATGTATCACTCTTTGTAAAGGGTAAAATGATTGTTTGTTTCCCACTTCTGTTGATTGTTAATCTTTTCCAGTGAAACAGGTTTTAATTCTTTTCTGAGATTTCAGTCTGTGAAGATTTAACTTTCATATTTATGTTACTAGGGACTGAATTCATGGCCAGGTTGCATGAACATCTGAAGTATTTTGTAAATATGAAGATTTCAACAGACAAATCCTGGCAAGGCGTAACTGTCTACTTATCAGGCCATGAGGTTACTTTTTACATTAGTAATTTCTTACAACATTAATATTAAACAAAGCAGTATTTATTAATTTTATTTTGTTCTTTTTTTGTTCAGACACCTGGAGAAGGGGAACATAAAATTATGGAATTTATAAGGTCAGAGAAAGCAAAGCCTGACCACGATCCAAACACAAGGCACTGTCTGTACGGTTTGGATGCTGACTTGGTACGTTCAGATTGAAAGTGTATGCGTGGGAATGTGTAGATTTGGGAATAAATTAAATTCTGGATGTAAATGTATGTGGCTATTAACCACAGTGTCTCTTCAGACTGCAATAAATGCTTTTACGTGTGCCCAGAGATTTCTCACCACTCTCTCACATCATAACCTGATCTTGAATTCCGGCAAGACTGAGCCAATGTGAGTGACTCGTTCCTGTGACAGAAAAATTGGTCAACTGCCTGCCCTGGACAGGATTGCAGTCTAGCTGAAGGCGCAGTTAACGCTGTCTGTGGCTGCTTCTGGAACCAGCTTTGTCTCTGGAGGCCCAGGTAGCCTCAGTAACTAGAAGCATTTTTCACCAGCTATGCCTGGTACAACAGCAACAGCCAGCTGTTCTAGGACCAGGAGAGTTTGACCACAGTAGCGACCACTGGTGATTTCACGATTAAATTACTACACTGCAGTCTGTGTGTGAGTTCTCTTGGGCTTGATCTGGAAACTGCAGCTCATGCAGAATGAGTGAGACAGGCAGGAGTGAGGTGCTCTGTCCAAAGATCTGCTCTGGTTGCTGATTTGTTATTGGGCCAAGTTCAGGGTGTTAATATTAGTATATAAAGCAGCTTGGCACCAGTTGATTTGCAGGATCTCCTTAGCCCGTGTATGCTCGCTTGACAGTTTGATCTGCAGCACCGTTACAGATGCCACACAATACAGTGGTACCTCGGGTTACATACGCTTCAGGTTACAGACGCTTCAGGTTACAGACTCTGCTAACCCAGAAATAGTACCTCGGGTTAAGAACTTTGCTTCAGGATGAGAACAGAATCGTGCTCTGGCAGCGCAGCGGCAGCAGGAGGCCCCATTAGCTAAAGTGGTGCTTCAGGTTAAGAACAGTTTCAGGTTAAGAACGGACCTCCGGAACGAATTAAGTACTTAACCCGAGGTACCACTGTATTGATTTTGCACATGAAAGAAATAGTTTTTTTAGTGTAGCTGAGCCTGCACTTTGGAACTCCCTGCCCATTGACATAAGGCAGGCATTTTCGCTGTGCAGTAGGCCCTTGTGCACTTTTAATTTTTTACACACATGGCAAAAAAGGGAGAGGACATAGAGTTCTGACTTTGGCAGTCCCACCTGCCATTGAACCCAATGAGTTTTTATTTTAGGCACAATCCCTGGAACAAAACCTCTATGTAAGTTGCAGGCCTAGTGTGTTCTTTTCACAATATTTTAGGGCTTAAAACATCTTTGTTTAGGCAAGTCTTCTGGACACATTGATGCTGATGTGTTTTAATCTCTCTTTAGTTTTGATTTTTTTATTGTTTTAATTTTTATTTTTTTGATTTAAAAAAATTAATTCCTTGTTTTTAACTGTTTTTATTTGATAGTCTTAATATTTATTGGAAACTGCTTAGAGCTTTTGTTACAATCAAGTGATATATAAATTTGTGAAAAAGTTAAGAAAAATAAAACTCTTGACTACAACTTTTTTAATTTGTGTAGGTTTGAAAAGTAGTTTAAGTAGTGTGGCAACTACTAGAAGAATGCTATTGGAAGAAGGGGGCACTCACCATGCATGAGTTTGAGATCATTTTAGACCTGGGCTTACTTGCTTTCCCATAAAAGAACTAATAATTCAGAGTTGCAGCAAAATATTTTAAATATGCTTACCTCAAAAACAAAGTGTCTCGTGGAACCTTAAATACTGACAAATGTATTATGGCATAAGCTTTGTAGACACAAAGCTACTTTGTTAAAGTGACTGGTTTTAGGGGTGAAAACATTTAAAATGCTTCTTTCAACAGATTATGCTTGGACTGACAAGTCATGAGCCACATTTTTCCCTTTTAAGAGAAGAGGTCCGGTTTGGTGGCAAAAAGTCACAAAGGTAACTCCTCTAAAAATATGAATTGCATAAAAAAGGAAAATTGAACAAAACCACTAGATAGCTACATCATTTTTTTAAATGAATATTTGATATTGAATTATTTATAGAATTTCCATCAGCTTACTTAGTTGTGGTCAATAATTTTACAGAGCGTGTGCCCCAGAAGAAACCACTTTTCATTTACTGCACTTGTCATTAATGAGAGAATATATTGACTATGAATTCTCACCAGTTAAAGTAAGTATGGATGGACCACAGGGCAAAAATTGTTTAAAGGTTTGCATAAGGCATTGGTCATGAATTGTTTCTATCAACCTTCGTTTATCAGGACAAGATATCGTTTACATATGAAGTTGACAGAATAATAGATGACTGGATCTTAATGGGCTTTCTTGTTGGAAATGATTTTATCCCTCATCTACCTCACTTTCATATTAACCATGATGCACTGCCACTGCTGTATAGAACATACATGGATATTTTGCCTAAACTTGGAGGTAAGAGTCTCACAAAGCTAATGCAATATGGTCAGTTTCAAGATTGCTTCTTGTTGCAATTGTGACAGTATTACAGAGGAGATTGCAGAATGGAAAAGACAGCAGGGAATCCAGTCTTAATTTTCTGTGTTATATTGCTCATGTTGCTCCTTTTCGATACAGTGTACCTGCAGGAAAAGCAGCTCATGATTATAAGCATGAATCAGATTTTTCTTCTCCAATAGGTTACATTAATGAAAGTGGGCACCTCAACTTACCTCGCTTTGAGAAATACCTTACAAAATTGTCAGATGTAAGTATATATTTTTTTCTGAGCAAAACTAAAGTCTTAACTTAATCTATACCTTCAATGTGCAGGTTTGCTCTCTAAATCTGAGAACCTGAGCTTTTCATTAAAATGAAAAAGAAAAGAATTCTAGCTGTCATCAAGGTGGAGAGATGCTTGAAAATTTTGAAAGTAGCATGATTGAAAATATTGGGCAGCTTCATCCATTTTGGAATTAGCGGACACGCTGCATATATATGATTCTGGCTTCCCAGCATGCATGTCCAGTAAAGAAAAAAAAAGCAACTTTCCACCACACATGTTATAGAGTATGCAAGGAAAATTGTATTTTCTGATTTTATAACTGTAACATTACCAATCTGCTTTTCTTATGCTGGAATTACCTTTCTTTTTATCTCAGTCAAGCCACTAAATCTGTACCTCTCAAATATATTCTGCTTCTGTAAATCACTTTTTGTGTAGTAGCAATTCCCCCCTCCCCCAGTGTATGATAAACGTCCACTAGTGCTAAACAGGTAAACTGTTCCAACCTGCCAGATCTGCAGCTGAAAATGGTAGTAGGAAACTATGCTGCTTCTTTTTTTGAAAACATTTTAATTTCGTTTTTTACAATACACGTTTATAGAAAAAAATCAATTACATATCCATATAAAGAGATTCCTCAGAATCTCAGGACTCCCCCACCCCTTCCCTGGAGTCCCATTTTAATCAGTTAAAAACTGCATCTTCTTCAAACACTAATTATTATATCAATCCATATTTTCCATGATAATTGTTACACTACAAGCGATTCAAAATCCTGCCAATGTTTTCCATCTGCTTACAGTGGTCTCTTTGATAACTTATAATTTTTCCCCATTCTTTTATAAAGTTTTTGTCGTCTTGATTCCTGAGTTTTCCAGTCAGCTTTGCCATTTCAGCATAGTCCGTCAGCTTGGTTTGCCATTCTTCTCTGGTCGGGACTGTGTCTTCCTTCCATCTCTGGTCTAGTAGCATTTGGGCGGCTGTTGTTCCATACATCAAAAGTCTTTTCTGGTCTTTTGGATTATCTGTATCAGTAATTCCTAAGAAATTACTGGTTTTTTAGCAAATGGCATTTTAAACTTTTTCCCCCATTTCATTATATATCATCTCCCAGAAAGCTTTTACCACCTTTCAAGTCCACCACATATGATTCTTTTTTCTTTACTTTTCCAGCAGGTATTTGTACTTGTTCTATACATTTTTGCCAACTTAGTAGGAGTCAAATACCAATGGTACATCATTTTCATATAATTCTCTTTCAAGGAACAACAGGCCGTAAATTTCAGGTCTGTTTTCCATAACCTTTCCCAGTCTGCCATCTGAATGTTATGACCCAGAAAATAGGCTTTGGAGTTCAAATATCTCCTTTAGAAATTTGCCTTGAAATAGATTAGATGTATAATGATAATGTTTTTCTTTCTTCCATTTATTTTAACAGTTTGACCGTGAGCATTTCAGTGAAATCTTTTTAGATCTGAAGTGGTTTGAAAGCAAAGTGGGCAATAAATATCTGAATGAGGCAGCTGGTATTGCTGCAGAAGAATCAAGAATGCAAAAGAAGCGCAAGGTTAGTAGTCTGGTGTCATCTGCAAATTTGATGAGCATACCTTCAATTCCTTCATCCAAGTCATTTATAAAGACAATGCATTCTTATAGCATTGAAATTTCACTCTTTACCATCACAGCTTCTGTGAATTGATGCTATATGCATATCACTCTGTGTTATTTAAAGTATCAATCACAATTTTAACAGGCTCAGGAAAACGCTATGTGCTTGGCTGCTTTGGAGAAAACTGACAATGGAACTGTAGCATCTTTAAAAAGTGAGTCCAATTGTTGTGTGGTGCCTGTGCTGGCTAAACTTGTGTACATAAATTATCTGTGAGCCCACGGTTCTTGGCATTTTACTTTTTAAGTGAAAGTGAGTAAAAGACCTTTTTTTTTTAAAACGAAGCTGTTTTTACTTGCCATTTTCATACTATTTGCACACTTCAAAAGTTTTCAGCTAGGTTCATTTTAATTTCAAGCAAGCATATTTGCTGTACTCCTTTCGGTGCTGATAAAAACAATCTTGTTTAGACAAGCCTACCCAGATGTTTATAAACCTGAGGAAATTTGAATCCATTTTAGTATTTTAACCTTTGTATATTTCTAAGCATGGTTGTAATTTTTTCTTGATTTTATTGTTTTACACTTTGAGGATTTTTACAATGAAGTGCATACAGCTTATTAAAAAAATAAAAAAGAATAAATAGCAGGTGTTAATTGTGGTATCAACAAGTTAATTGCTCAATTTATTTTTCATTTTAGCTTCGTTAGAAGATGAGCCAGAAGATGATGATTTGTTTGAGACAGAGTTTAGGCAATACAAAAGAACATACTATATGACCAAGATGGGTGTAGAAGTAGTCTCAGAGTAAGTATTAACAACAAAATGGCTTCTTCCATGAGCACTGGAACTCCTCCAAGTGGGTTACAGTTTCTAAAATAAAAAAGGAGAACCTGTGCTCCAGTTATAGTACCTGTGCTGTGTTATAGTGACTGAAGCGATTACATAATTTCTGTTAGTGAATTTAAAATGTTTTAACGTTGTATCTCAACCCTTGCCTCTGAAATAGCTGGAGGTAATAGCTAAAACAGCTTCATTCTCAATCTTATTTGTAAGTGAAAGGAGAAAATATATGCCAATTTTTGGTATTTTTGTTTTAGTGCCTTTCTAGCTGACCAGGCAGAATGTTACGTCCAGGCAATACAGTGGATATTGCACTACTACTACCATGGGGTTCAGTCATGGAGCTGGTAAGATGAAATTTGCAAGTGGAATGCTTATATCAGCTTTGCAATCAAGTGTGTTTTAGACCAGAGGTTTTCAACATTTTTGAGTCCACGGCTCCCTTGGCCAACTACATTCTTTCTGAGGCACCCCTGTAGGGCTCAGGAGCCCAGTTATGACACCCCTTGCCTGCAGAGCTGTCAGCCTCTCACCCTTTTCCAAACACCATCCCTTATGGAGTGTTCCCTCAGCCTCTTCTCCTCTCCCCCCTCTCCTTGGGAGTCCTCTGGTCTCTGAGCTGCCCCTAAGAGAGGTGCCTCCTCACACTGCCCCACAGGGGCCTGGGAAGAAGATGCCCCCAGCCTTTGTGGCCCAATGGAGACTGGACAAAGGTGAACTTCAGTCTAGTATCTTACCTTGGGAGGCAGCAGCAGGTGCTGCCAGGCTTGCATGGCGGAAAGGTTCCCTTTCAGCACTGGGCACTCAACTCCTAGGCATGTCTTGCACACAGCAAGCACAAGAAAGGCCAGCACAGCGCCTGCCTGCCCAGCCTCCCACTTGTCTGCCCATTCCCAACAGCAAGGGCTGGCTGTCTGGGCTCCCTTGCCCTATTGCTTGCTTACCTCGAGGCTGCCTGGCAACTAGCACCCCTGGCCAGCCCCAGAGGCACTATTCACCTGCAAAACTTGTAGCCAGGGCTGTTGCAACACACAGCTGTTCAGTCATTTGGGAGGCAGAGCAGAGAGGGAAGGAAAGACGGACAGATGCCAGGCCAGTGTTGCCCTGACCATCATTCAAGGCACCCTGGTTAAAAACCACTGTTTTAGACTATACATATAGCTGCCACTTAAACCACTCCTCCTCACCCCATACAATTTAGAGCAGTGCTGTCTGAGTTACATACCTTATCTAATTATTTGTGATTTTGTTCTTCCTCCAGACCATTAAGATAAATAAGATTACAATGTATGTGTTTATGCTTTTCGTACAGCTGCAACCTTTGTTGAACTAAAATAGCGTCTTTCCTCCTTATAGGTTCTACCCCTACCATTATGCACCTTACCTCTCAGATATCTGCAACATCAGTGAACTGAAAATCCACTTGGATTTAGGAAAACCATTCATGCCGTTTGAACAGCTTCTGGCAGTACTTCCAGCAGCCAGCAAGGATTTGCTGCCAAAATGCTACCAGGTAGTTAAATATCTTTACAGGGATTCATCATTCATCATTATGGCTATTGTCCTTCTATTTTACAAAGATAATTTCAATCCTACTCTTGTGCATTATATATATACATTCTCTATACAGGGATTTGCTTAGTTAAGTGCCACTGGAAAAGGAACCTTGTCCAAATTCTAAATTCTTTGACCAAAAGGCTATAGAAATAATTTACTTTCCATCAGTAAGGGCTAATGTTAGTTAGGTCTTATCATAGTCTTCTTTTAAAATGTACTTTAGTCTGAATTCCTATTGCTTAACTTTGATTACTTACTTCCAATTCTTTAGCATTTGATGACTGGTGAAGAGTCTCCCATTATTGAATATTATCCAACTGAATTTAAAACTGATCTAAATGGAAAGCAACAAGAATGGGAAGCAGTGGTTTTAATACCATTTATTGATGAGGTAAGAACTCTTAACATTCTTTGATATAAAGTGACTAGTAAACTGTTTAAACCAAGGCCTGGTTTGCATGGTTTAGTTTTATTTTTCTTCCAAATTTGAGACCAGATAAGTTGAATCAGCAATAGCTATCTGTGTGCTCTGGTGGTTAGTTTACAAAGACCTTGGGAGGTAGTTCTTTACCTTTCTACCTCTGTCCCCAAGACTATGCCCAAGAAGAGTTCGTAAATGGGCTCCAGGCATTCCAGGCTTCAGCCATTCTATTCCTCGTAGTTCCTATAAGTGTAACCATAGGGAGAAATGAATGACCGAACCAAGAGATTATAAACCCAAAGAGTGCTTAATCTTTGGGGGACATCATTAGTTCAAATAATTATGAATCACCCTTTCAGGGGGGGAAATGCTACAGTACAGTATTCTCCCCTGGAGAAGAGCAGGGGTGGCCCACTTCTAAGTGTTCCCAGGGACAACCTTAGGCAAAACAGGGGGAATAATGTTCAAACCATCCTTTGGACGTTAATAATTAGAGCTGCACTCTTAGCCATATTTAGTCCAGATGCAATGCTACTCATCCTGGGACCTCCCAGTTAAAGGGCAGGTAAGAAATAAATAATAATAATCATAATACTAATCATTTAATCATGGATAAGGGAAATAGTTGCTCCCTTCACATACGCCCTCATTTCTTGCTTATTTACCCCTCTTCCTGCTTTTTCCTTAACAACCTTAATTATAGTCAATACTCACTAGGATTGAACTTGTCCTATTGATTTCATTAGGCACTAAGTTTAACTAACTTAGATTGGATCCAACCTTCTCCCAGTCTCTGCATTTCAATATGCCAAATGCTTACTAAGTGTTATATTCTATTTAGAAACGATTGTTAGAAGCGATGGAATCCTGCAACAAGTTCTTGACAACAGAAGAAAAACAAAGAAATAGGCACAGTGAATGCCTGATGTACTTCTATGATAAAGACGCAGAGTTCCAGTACCTGTCTCCATGGCCGGAGAAGTTCCCTTCCATAGAAAGATGCCGTGCAAAGTAAGACTGCAGGTGTAATTCCTTAATGCAAAGTGTGCAATCTGCTGAGCGCCGCTGCTGCAGTGCCCCTTTGCATTAGCTTTGTTTGGAAGTTAGTTTCAAAATCGCGTTTGTTTCAGAAACACTTGTTTGAGTAAGTAGGTACTTGGCTGTAGCCCATAGATAATAGTAAGAAGTCATTTGACAGAAATGCATAGTGAAATGCTCTTAAGCTGTCCTTGTCCCCTCATAGAATCAGAGAAGATGTCAGTTAGTAAAGTTAAATGGCCAAAGATGGATTTTTCTGCATATATTTGATAGTCTTCCTTTAATTCTGGCTGACTGTTGTAGGCATAACAACAGTCTTGTTTTCAGCCTTTGTAAAAAAAAAAAAAAAGCTTATGTTCTGTGTGCAGAGACAGTTTTTCAGAGTAACTGTATGTTGAAAGTTGTGCTCTTGTTTCTTAGGCATAAAGCTATGTCTCTGGACGTCTGGCGTGTAGATATAGCCCAAAATAAAATAACGAAATTGGATATGGAGAGGCTGTATTTCTGTGGCTTTCCTACTCTGAAGCACATTAATCATAAGGTAAATGGTGCTTTATTGATTTAAGAATGACATGTTTTTGTTAGGTACTTATTCTGTGGAAGGCATTCATTGTACATCTTGACTTTCTTTCCCTATTCTAGTTCTATCTGAAAAAAAGTGGGGTACAAGTTTTTCAACAGAGCAGCCATGGAGAAAATATGCTACTGGAAATAATGGTTTCCGATGATTCAGAGGAACTAGTGAGTGTCTGGCTTTTTCAACTTTGTTTTTGACAGTCTCTTATTTTAGAGACTGTCCAAGTTTTGTTGTCAATAGCTGTGCTTGGATATCACAAGAAACAATAGTTTAGTGAGATATGTGAGCTTAGCCTCCCCCTGGACTTGTGTATCTGTCTACATCCCAGACCCTGCATTAACACTAGTCGATATTTAGTACAAGGTGAGGCACAAGACTATTTGAGAAAGTGACAAGAGCCTGGTGACCAAAAGTGCATTTTTGACATCAAGGCCAAAGCAAAAATATGTGTACCTATGGTCCTTGGTGCTATCTAGGATTTAAAAACTTGGAACTGTAGATCCCAGGACACAGCAAGGCTACTGGCTTTGTTATGTGCTGTACTTACAGATTTGCTATGAAATTGTTTTCGGTAGGTTAACCAACTGCTTTTCTTCCTCAGAATGCTGAAAATGTAGCCAGTTTGGTGCTTGGGAAATCAATATTTGTTAACTGGCCTCACTTGGAAGAAGCCAGAGCTGTTGCTGTATCAGATGGTGAAACTAAGTAAGGAAGACCAATGTACTTTGCAAAGTTTGTCGCTTACTTGCATCTTCAGATGTCCATCTTCATAAACAGGTTTTCATATGACAAGGTCTCGAAGCAATGGCTGTTTTGTTTTTTGAAATAGCTATGTAAACCATACATAGACCAGCCTGGGGGAAAATGTCCCTTTTCTCGCAAGATTTTTGAATTTAGTTTAAGGTATTTTTTACGTGACAGATGCAGAATGCTTGTATTAATTTTGGTTTTGTTTCTGTTTGGATGTATTGAGTTGTTTTTTGGAATTATGTTTGTTACGATTTCTTATGGTAAAGGGCAGAATATAAACATCCAGAATAAATGGACTATGATAAACTGAACAGTTTTTGTGGAAGAGCAAAACATTTATCGTCCACATTCTTTGTTCTTTGCTGATGGGAAAAGAGCCAAACTGGATCAGGACAGAGTGGGGGGGCTAGTGGTCATCAATACTGGAAGCAAAGCAAGCATACTTTTCATTTCTTTAATGAAACATATTTACTGGTACCAAGTGGATTTGCTGTCCTAAATTCATTTGCTGCAAGACCTAGTCCTAAATAAATATGCTTAAGACCGAGATTTCCTTTTACTTATATGAAATGTAAATTTATATTTAAGGTTTCAGTTGGAGGAGCCTCCTGGAACACAGAAGCTCTATATGGGGAATGCTGCCCCACCAACCAAAGCAACATTTGTTCGAGATAAAGAACAGAATATCTGGGTGAAAGAAATCCAAGGAATTTCAGAACAGTAAGACACTGCCTCCCGCGTTTGTAGCTTGACAGCATATTTTGACACACTGGTTCATTTTAAGGGTGGACAGCTTGCTTCTCGTGGATGTATTGTGAGTCCACACCTATTTTTCAGTTTTTAGGTATCTTTTGGTAGACCGGTGGTTGCCACACTCACGTCAATGGATGTAATTATCTCATCCAGAAGTTACCTTCAAAACTGAAAAGCTTAAGACAGCCCTTGAGGAATCATGAGAGATAGAAAAGTTAATGAACTTTGTTTTCACTTCTGTTTGACTCCCTGTTTCCAGTCTTTTCATTCTTTTTGCCATATCACATTCAAAACTGCTCTATATTGAAGAGAGCCAGAGACACTAGAAATCTGTGTTTCTCTTTATTCCCATGCAACCTTCAAAGTTCATGTATTGATGTTTAATACTGAGTCTTGCCGACTGAAATAATCCTTTGCTAGGTTCTGTATTGCACACTTCTACCTAAAGCTGTTTAGCTTTATAGTGATAGTTAATCTTGCTGCTTGTTGTTTAACCAGGGATTGTTGCATTTCCTTAGAAGATGTCATGCCACCCAGAGCTGATTATAGGCTACTTTAGTAGTTTTGTACTATAGGCTCTTTGAACAGTAATTTTAAGGAAGATTTTCCCATGAGTAGGGAACCTCTGGCCTTGGGGCTAAGTATAACCTTCCAGGCCTCCTTCCTGGTCCTCCATACTCTATCCAGGCTACACCTTTCACTGTTTCATCATTCTGGAGTGCTTTTGCCTTCCTGGGTTGGGTTCATGAAATGTGATAATGTCTCTGGATGGAGGGGTTTGTGTAGACAGAGTTGTGACTTTTGCTTGGCTTCAGTGTAAACTACTGTACAAATGTAAGAGTCAGATCTCTTGCTCAACACATTTTTTACTCTGGTCCTGCCCACCATTAGCATGCAGCCGCTGGAAGATTGTCCAAAAGGAAATGCAGCCCTTGGGCTGAAAAGTGTTTCTCACTCTTCACAGATTTGTAGAGTTGGAAGGGACCATGGGGGTCATCTAGTCCAACCCCCTGCAATGCAGAAAATCTTTCACCCAACGTGGAACTCGAACCCACAACCCAGAGACTAAGAGTCTCATGCTGTACCGACTAAGCTGTATGCATCCTTAAATTCATTCTCCCATATCCCCTTTCCTCCAGTTACCAGAGAAGAAAAGGAGTAATCATAAATGAAACATCTGCAGTTGTTTATGCGCAATTGCTAACTGGGCGTAGATACCAGTTAAATCAAAGTGGTGAAGTGTATTTGGAGAAGCAGTGGTCCAAGCAAGTTCTACCTTTTGCATACCAAACAATTGTCAGGGTAAGTTCCTCAGTTCCCGATTCAGTTGAGTTTCTCATCAGTGAATTGAGATAAGAAGCCACAATGTTTACAGTAAAATTCAAAATACTAAGCTTCTAAGTTTACTTCTGATAGGATACACATGTGTACTTAGATCTAGAGGCCTGTTGCCTCATTCTTGCCATAGCCTACAATCCTATCACAGTATAGTTGAGAGACGTGGCTAAAGGCTGCCGTACAAATTTCTCCAACATCGTTTCATTTTTCTTGTTATCTGTGTCTTGCGTAATGACATAGTGCACAGTTAGGATACAATAATATCTTAATAATAATAGGATATAAATAATTAGTCCTTGGCATTTAGGAATCATTTAAGTTGCCATGGTTCAGAATCTGCTTAAAACTTGGGATTGGGAAGTGGTTCACATGAAGTACAGACATTCTCAAAATGTTTATGGGATTAGTATCTTTCTTGAGGAGTAAGCAAACTAGAGTAGGCTGTTCTGTATTGCCACACATAGTTAATGTAGGTTGCAGTCTTATGCTCACTTACTTGAAAGTAAGCTCCATTGATCTCAGACTTACTTCTGAGTAGACCTGTCTGTGATTTTAATGGTAAATATTTAATTAGAGGATGATTTCCCCCCTCATTTTTCATGCAGGATATAAAGGCCTTTGATTCCCGCTTCTCCAGTCTCAAAACTTTGGATGACCTGTTCCCTCTGGGATGTACAGTCTTCATGCTGGGATCACCTTATTATGGCTGCACAGGAGAAGTTAGTTTTATCTCAAAAGGTTTTCCCAAAAGACTTTTCTTAAAAAATCAAGTCGGACTCCTTCTGCATTATTTTATTACATAATTTAAAAAACTGAGCTCTACATTGGAATAATGATGTTTTAGGAGCTACTGTACCACTTCCATTTCTTCACCTTCCTGAACCTTTCCTCCCTTTGTAAAGGAACTTTTCTTCTTCTTTGCTCTTACTCTTTTGTTTAAATTCTTTGGCTCCAGCCCTTCATTGCAAGATCTCAGGGCACAGAACAGTAAGACTTGTTTTGAAGTTTCTTTAATATCTCTTTAAGGTACAGGATTCATGTGATGTTATCTTGGAAGGCAGAATTCGTGTTGTTTTCAACATTCCATGTGAACCTCAGCTGGATGCCTTAATACAGAATCAGCATGTAAGTCTTATTTCTCTTAACAGTGGATATGTCCCTGTAGATGTCATCTTAACTATTATAAGTACTATTTGAACAATATTCATATGTATGTATTTGCACAAGCCCAGTGATTTTTTTAAAAAGCACAAACTAGTTTTGAAGTTTCCCTTTTTAGATGACATGGGAAGCTACTGTTTGAGGGGGAACTAACCTTACTGAGCAAATTTCGTCTTTCCTTGTATCTTGGCCGTAGTTTTCCAAAGCAGGTTTCGTAACACAGGAATAATAATAATTATGTATCTCATTCAAGAGTTACATGAAAAATCTGGTTCAGGACCAGAATTTGCAATCTTGCAAATGTAAGCTTTGACTTTATAATGTGTGACATATGTAGCATTGCCAAAAGCCTTGTAAACTATGTGAGTGTGCTCAGCCTCTTTATTACTTCAGTTCTGTGTTAGCAGTAGCATTCAGACTGCCAACAGAAAAGTTTCTGATTCTAAGGCCAGCAAGCAGTCGTATGCACATTGAAAACTAAGATTTATTATGAGTTGAGTTTTCATGAACTAGAATCTATTTCATTGGATGTATGAAGCAGACTCTAGTCCATGAAAGGTTATGCAATGAGACTGCAAGACTGCTTGCTTCTGCTGCTCCTCTGGAAAATTGCAAAGAGAATGATCCTTTTCGTCACTATACAACTGATATTGTTGCAGAAATATTCTGTGAAGTACAATCCTGGATATGTATTGGCCAGTCGTCTTGGAGTGAGTGGCTATCTTGTTTCGAGATTTACGGGAAGCATTTTTATTGGAAGAGGATCCCGGAGAAAGTAAGCTCTGAGTATAAACTTCTTTTGCAGCAAGATGTTTGATTGTTAGTTTGTAGCAAAGGCCACAAAAGCCTGTTACCTGGTGAAATTACTTTGCATTCCATATACAGTGGAACCTCGGGTTACGTACCGTCCTCCTTACGAACCCTACGGGTAACAAGTGTCAGGGAAGAGTTAGAAGTTTCCAGTTTATCAGAGGGAGAAAGCATTCCCCAAGGGGGGAAGGAGAGCAGTGAATCTAATAGAAGAGAGCAAGAGGAATAACAGGGAGGGACTGGCTGTTCACAGGAAAGGCAAGGGTTAAGTTCTAGCTCAGATTCGGAGGAGGGGAGATACAAGCCAGCTCTAGCCAGGAGGTTAGAAAAAAGAGCAGGAAAGCGAAGGGAAGGGCGCCTTCGCCATTTTGAGAGTGGCTGGTCACGGAGAAGCAGAGCTCAGAAGGTTTCTGAAATAAGTGACTCTGAGGAATAATAGTTAAGAACCGTTTATAAGATTGTTTTGTTAATACACAATAAAAAGTTATAAAAGAACAAGAAGTGTTTGTGTGGTGATCTGAAGAGGACAACGACCAGTCCTGACAACGAGCTCCGCTAACCCGGAAGTAGGTCTCCTGGTAGCGAACTTTGCCCCGGGATGCGAGCGGAAGTCGCACACCGGCGGCAGCGGGAGGCACCATTAGCGAAAGCGTGCCTCATGTTAAGAACGGTTTCGGGTTAAAAACGGACCTCCGGAACAAATTAAGTTTGTAACCGGAGGTACCACTGTATCCTGCAAAAGTATATATGCAAGAAGAGTTTTCATGTGGGGAAGAAGAAAAACGTGAAGACAGGACTTAGTGCAAATCATTGCTCTGCCTGACTGGCCTCCTTGTCTGGCACAGTTGTGCACATTGTATTTCCCCTTCCTATCCCAGATATTAGTTAGATTTGGACATTCATTAATTTCTTGGGTTTCTTATTGTTCCAACAGACAAATAAGGAACTTGAAAAGAGATTGAATTCCTGTTTAATCACAAAATCTTCTCAGAAGGAAATTCACTTTTGAAACAAATTTATACTTTTACCAGATGCATGTGTGAACTGTAATCACTTGTTTAAATATATTGTAGACTTCTTCTAAAGCTAGGTCATATGCTTGATATTTTACATTGTAACATTTTGCTAGGATTCAGTGAGTTAAAACTCCTGTTCTACATTCAGTGGTTAATTAGTAGTATTTTTGTAAGGGATATATTACGCCAGTAATATATTGGTATTTCTTCACAAAAGTTAGCTAGCATTCCAACTTTTGATTTTGCAGTCCACATGGAGAGCATAAAGCAAATGTGGGGTTGAACTTAAAATTCAATAAAAAGAATGAAGAGGTCCCTGGCTATACCAAGAAAGTTGGAAACGAGTGGATGTATTCCTCAGCTGTAGAGCAACTCCTTGCTGAATATCTGGAAAGGTAAGCATTAAACTACACTTTAGACTGCATATGCCTTGCATGTAACAGTTCAAATACAGTCGTACCTTGGAAGTCGAACGGAATCCGTTCCGGAAGTCCGTTCGACTTCCAAAACATTCGGAAACCAAGGCGCGGCTTCCGATTGGCTGCAGGAAACTCCTGCAGCCAATCGGAAACTGCAGAAGCTGTGCTGGACCTTCGGGTTCCAAAGAACATTCGCAAACCGGAACACTCACTTCTGGGTTTGCGGCATTTGGGAGCCAAAACATTCAAGTGCCAAGGCGTTCGGCTTACAAGGTACGACTGTACAACTGACGTGGGCAGCAGTAATTCAGACAATGGGAACAGGGTCATTTTTGCAGCATTTGCCACAAAGTTCTGGCTTCGCATAGGTATGCCACTCTTATTTTCCTTCACTTCCTCACGTTTGAGATGTCTTGCACATGGGCGAAATGCATAAATGTCTGTTCCCTGGTTTGCCTTGCGAGGCGTTCGTCTTGCGGGGCACCACTGTACCAGGAAGCATGACTTAATTTAACAAAGGCATCTCAGGAATGAGCCGTTCTCAGCCAAGAGAAGGAAAACTGTTTAAAATCCAGGCTTCCTTTTCTTGGCTGGGAGGGAGGCGTGGATGAGTGAGGTGGATAAATCCACACCACCAGTGTTGGCGATGGGGAGCACAAGAAGGCCTGTCTAGGGCCCCTGCTGCTCACTCCCTCGCTCTGCCAGCCTGCTTGCTTGCTCAGCACTTTTCAGGCTTCCCTCACTATGTGTTAACTTGAGTGTGTGTGTGTACTTTTGTCTGCAGTGTCACAACAGACAAGTGCAGATATAGTAGAGAGATAAATTTGTCGCTGCATGCTCAACCGGCAAGGTACTGTTTTATGGAATTTATATAGAGATGTATACAAAATCTGCTCAGAATGATATATTTGCATTTTCTTAGGACCCCAGAACTTTTTAGTTACCTAGCCAAAAATGGTCAAGAGGACATATTCTACGAAGATGACATTTGGCCGGGTGAAGAAGAGAATGGGTAAGCAGCTCATATCTTTAAAGCATTATTAGGGTAGTTACAGGGATGTAAAAATGAGTCTTGTCAAGTTCAGCTCTGCACCTCGAATCAATTCTTCAAACTTAGTTGTTGAATTTGTGGTAGCTGGTATCAAAGCATGATTCCTAGTGCTCTTCCAACAATTAGCTTTAACCATTTGTACAAGCCCATCCTCTAATAATATAACCAACCAATACTTCAGCCAACCAGCTTTATAATATACACTGAGTGGCTACATCCTGAAATAGACCTGCCTACTTATGTTTTATTTATTTGTAAGGAGTAATAGCAGTAGTAAGAAATGAATATCTCAAGCAAATAAGAGTTATTGTTTAGTTTTTCACAGATTTTGTGATTCTGCTGGAAATATACACTAGACCTGACGTTTTTCCATTAAAGTACATACCTTTGTAAAGTCAAGTCTTAAATCCTTTACAGCATAATTCTAACCACATCTACTTAGAAATATGTCCTATTGAATTCAGGATCTTCAAGACCTGCCTTTATTTTTACAGATATGTTTGTTAAGTTGTTTTGTTTGTTGCAATTGTTTTTAGTCTTTATATGGTTGCTTTTGGTCACTATTATAAGGAAAGTGACTAAATAATAATAGAAGAGTTTACTTCAGGTAAGTGGGGTTAGGATTGCAGTTTCAGTAGCTTGCTGAAGCTCATTTGAATGATATGTAAATAGTATCACAATAGTATATGAGTGGGTGGTTTGTTGAACTTTTATAGCTGATTTAACGTTTGAGTTAAATTATTGGCAATGTCCCCTCTGCCATACTTGAGGGCAGATACCAAAAGATTCCAACTGAGAAACGACTCTGCCCCTGTGGAGATGGCAATCTGGAAACAGTGGCTCATGTTCTCCTGTCCTGTCCCCTTTATAAAGATCTGAAGAATGAGATTGTTGTTGTTGTTGTTTAGTCGTTTAGTCGTGTCCGACTCTTAATGACCCCATGGACCAGAGCATGCCAGGCACTTCTGTCTTCCACTGCCTCCTGCAGTTTAGTCAAACTCATGTTGGTAGCTTCAAGAACACTACCCAACCATCTCGTCCTCTGTCGTCCCCTTCTCCTTGTGCCCTCCATCTTTCCCAACATCAGGATCTTTTCCAGGGAGTCTTCTCTTCTCATGAGGTGGCCAAAGTATTTGAGTCTCAGCTTCAGGATCTGTCCTTCCAGTGAGCACTCAGGGCTGATTTCCTTTAGAATGGATAGGTTTGATCTTCTTGCAGTCCATGGGACTCTCAAGAGTCTCCTCCAGCACCATAATTCAAAAGCATCAATTCTTTGGCGATCAGCCTTCTTTATGGTCCAGCTCTCACTTCCATACATCACTACTGGGAAAACCATAGCTTTAAATATACGGACCTTTGTTGGCAAGGTGATGTCTCTGCTTTTTAAGATGCTGTCTAGGTTTGTCATTGCTTATCTCCCAAGAAGCAAGCGTCTTTTAATTTCGTGGCTGCTGTAACCATCTGCAGTGATCAGATCAAAATGATCAGACAAGATGATCAGACAACAGCAAAGGTGCTAGGTTTATTGAGGTTGCAATGAGATTAAGGTGCTAGGTTTATTGAGGATGCAGTGAGATTAAGGATTATCTGAACAATAATCTTGGTCATTTGATTGCCCTTTTTACCCATTGCTGTCTTTTTTATTTGTATATATTTCATTTGTATATATTGCTTGTTTGATGTTGCTATGGTCGTTGGCTAATGTGAATAAAGTTTATCTATCTATTGGCAATGTTTTTTGATATGGAATAATTTTTTAATGTAGTGCCGAGAAGGTTCAAGAAATCATTGCGTGGCTAAAGGCTCATCCTGTCAGTGCCCTCTCTCGTTCCTCTTGTGATTTGCAAATTTTGGATATGGCTATTGTCGAAAAGATTGAAGAAGAAGTAGAAAAGTGCAAGGTACTATTTTTATTTTAAGTCTGAGGAACTTAACATATGTCTTGTAATCACAATATATAGGAATGAGATTATAAATTTGGATTAGAACTGATTGACTTCTTATTAGAAAAATTGTATTTAACTGGCATGATAGTTTGAGCTTAACTTTGGATTGCAGCCTGCTTTATGAGGTATGGCAACTAATAAGAAAACACAAGCAATTTATCTGCTTACTCTATCATATGTTAATAATCATTTGTATGCCACTTAGTTATCCAGCAAAAGTTTGTATAAAGATTTCAGTCTAGAAAGTTCAGGTGATACCCAGTGCTAGTCATACTCTGGCTAGACCCATTGAAATCAGTTGAGTTAAGCGCACTGATTTCAGTGGGCCCTCCTCCGACTACGACTTGCTTGGATATCTATCACTCAGCTAGTGTGGTTTTGAAGACTTCTGAAACAGCAGTTCTGATTTGCCCCATTACATTAAAAAGGTAAAGGTACCCCTGCCCGTACGGGCCAGTCTTGACAGACTCTAGGGTTGTGCGCCCATCTCACTCAAGAGGCCGGGGGCCAGCGCTGTCCAGAGACACTTCCGGGTCACGTGGCCAGCGTGACAAAGCTGCATCTGGTGAGCCAGCACCAGCGCAGCACATGGAAACGCCGTTTACCTTCCCGCTAGTAAGTGGTCCCTATTTATCTACTTGCACCCGGCAGTGCTTTCGAACTGTTAGGTTGGCAGGCGCTGGGACCGAACAACGGGAGCGCACCCCGCCGCGGGGATTCGAACCGCCAACCTTTCGATCGGCAAGCCCTAGGCGCTGAGGCTTTTACCCACAGTGCCACCCGCGTTACATTATATTCCCCATTACATTATATTCCTTCAAATTCACTTATGTATAAAATCATTGTTTGTCAAGCACTGTAAAAAAAAAAATCTCTCCCAAGTTCAAGTGTCCCTGATTATGCTGATATAACATAAGTACTTATTGGCATAATAGACTGTTTTGGTAGAGAGCATTGTTCACTAGGCACGAGTAGTTGAAAGAAAGGTGTTATGTAGAAAGAGAGCGATGATCCAGCTACTTTGAGCGAAAGAAAAATGTTGAAAAGCAAGCATAATCCAAACTTTGTTCTGTGTATTCAGTTTCTTGTTTTCCCCCTTTAGCAAAGGAAAAGCAATAAGAAAGTGCGTGTGACGGTGAAACCTCACTTGTTATTCAGGGTAAGTTTGGGTTATTTTGTGAATGGAAGGATACTGTTTTGTAAGATAAAGTCTTAACAGAAATTCTGTCTTGTTCACAGGGGAATATGGTACCCTCCTGAATTATTTAATTAAAATTTCAACAATGACTTCATCACCAACAGAGTTTGGTGTTCTATCTATGCTAATTTGATATTCATTTAGACATACAGTACATAAACTGCTTTGAGGAGGTTTTTTTTTTACAATTAAACAGTGTAAATAAATAAATAAGAAAGAAAGAAAGAAAACTTCACACTAGCTTGTATTATCTTGTTCAGATATTCCTTCACACCAAGTAATAGTCAGGATTCAATTAGTGCTGCCTTTTTAATCTTGCACCGTTACCCATTTATAAACACAATAATATTACACACATAATGCTTCTTATTTCTCCATTTGACATGAACTCATTATCAATGGGTTAACTCCTCCTCCCACCAAGAAAGGTAAGGAATCGTGTGAACAGCATTTGATGTCTATCTCAGTCCTGCTGGTTTTTCCTGTTTCATTCCTTAAGTTTGCTCAGGCAGAGCTGTTCATTGTTCTTGTCACCTGACCCCCCCCCCTTTCAACCTCTGTTTTGTCTCCTGCAATAGCTTAGCCATCTCCTCTAAACTTCATTGCTTCTCCTTTTTCTTATTCAAAATAAAAGCCTTTTTCTTGTGTCTTTATTTACTCCCTTCTCCTCCTCTCGCTCCTTTCCATTTCTGCCCAGCATATTCAGGTGAACTTCCTCAGCAGGCATGTAGTGGACTCAGGAGTGTGGAACCTCCTCCAGACCACCATTCATAAAAGCTTTAGCACCCTTTTCCTTAGAGCTATTCATATCCCAAACAAACCATAAGTCACCTCTGTTCTTAGCCAGTTCTTTTCTCAGGTTTCATTCCTACTGGGTAGAGGGCATGAATATACTCAACCTTCCATGATCCAACAGCCTGCTCTGTGCCTCCCCCTTCACTTTCTTGATCTCCAGAGTCCTCAATAAAATCCAAAGAGAGGGGACACTTGTTCTGGGAGTCCCTCATTGGTGCAGCATACCACAGTTATCCGAGGGAAATTCCATTGTTTCTTTCTCCTAGCCCACAAAACCCAACACTTGCCTACTTCACCCAACACACTCCACCAGGGCATCAGCCACATTCAGCAGCTCTTTTGAGTAATGCTAGCATTTCTGATATGCGCCATGCAGGGTCTACATTCACCGGGCAATATAAGGAGGATCTCCATTGAAGTTTTCACTGGCCTTCAATAGAAGGGTTCTCCATAACATCCTACCACTGACCTAGACAGCCTTTTATATTTTTAGGCGTTTGTCTGGCTCTCGTTCCAATAAGTTCTATGCCTGTACATCTACTCCTCAGCTGTCAGTCTCTTGTCCACAGTACAGAACTGGAGGTGTTACCAGATCCAAGCTGGAACACAAAAGTTGCTCATATTTTCCCTTCCTTTCTTTTTCTGGGTGCTAAGAGGAGCTAATCCATCAGTAATTGAGGCCTTGTTCACCTCAAACCAGGAAGGGCATTCACAATAAATGCCCAACATAAATATATAAACAAAACATTTTAAAAAGGTGTTGCACTGGACATTTCTGATTCTCCACCGTATTTAAAATATGCTGTTTCCAGTTTGTTCCTTGTAGACTAGTCTCAGTGATTGCATGTTCTTCAGGCCATGAAGATGGCAACCAAAAATACGTTACAAAATTATTTGACTATTTTATCTCTTAATAAAATGTAAACATAATTAATGTTTTTTGGGGGGGCGCTAGTGATTTTGTTTTATGGTGTTAACTATTCATATTTGGATTCTTTTATCTTTGATTCATGCTAGCCTTTAGAACAGCAGCACGGAATTATACCAGATCGAGATGCAGACTATCGACTGTTTGACCGTGTTGTTAATGTGAGAGAGTGTTTTTCCGTTCCCCTTGGACTTCGTGGCACTGTGATAGGAATTAAAGGAGGTAACACAATGCCTTTTTGTGAACAGTCTCTTTTGCTTTTAAAATAATGTGAAGATCATTCATTGAACGCAAAATGAGTTAGTATCACAGAATAGTTCAAAGCACCAACGAGAACAACCGGAAGCAGTTAGAATTTTAGGCATGTTCCATTGCCTTAGTGACTTTCCACTTGTGCACCTAGAAATCTGAGCCATTATAATATTTTTTTAAAATATCAGATGTGGCAAGTGTTGTTAGTTTATTTATACAGTGTCCTCAGTATGCATAGTATTTTATGGAGTAACTTAAGCACGTGAGGCACATCTGTGCCCTAAAGGCAAAGGTGGGGGCGAAAGTAATAAGCCTTTTGATCTCACTTTCCCGTAGGAGTTAATTTAAGAATGTGAGCACGCTTGCATACATCACGCCAATCTAGGATGTTTAGCAGAGGCAATGTGACTGGTTCTGCTGCATTGGGTACTGAGCCAAGGGAGCCAAGGGGCCACTGCAGGGTGTTGCAACTATGACTTGGTGAATTAAGCAGAGCGGAAGGTCAAAAGTGGGTGGGGTGCTGAATGCTGGACTTGCACAGGATGTTGTTGAAATCTGAAAGAGGAAAGTCTACCCCTTAGGAGGAGAGAAGGAATTTTCTTTATTCTTTCTGTCATAACAACAAAGAGTCTTGTGGTTTCTGTTGTCAGAGTTCATTTATAACAATGCTTGAAGGGCTCACTTAAGTGAGTAGGTATTATACCTAATGTGAGGCCCAAAGGTTGAGAGATCTGTACTTAGAATCATAGCACTGTAGAGTTGGAAGGGAGGGGACCACAAAGAGCATCTAGTCCAGTCCCCTGCAATGCAGGAATCCTTTGCCCAATGAGGGGCTCCAACCCACAACCCTGAGATTAAGAGTCTTGTGCTCTACCAACTGAGCTAATCTTCCTGTAACTGCACTTGTTTGAGGGCTGTTGAGTACTGTGACACATCTATGGCTACCTTATGTGTTGATTTACCTTTTGGGCGTAATTTGTAACTCACCTGGGCTTTTGTCCCCTTCCTATACCTGGGGGATGCAGATCCTGACCTTTAAGGTGCCACAGGACCTTGTTGCAATAGGTTAACATAAATCGGTTAACATAAATTCTGATCAAGGATTGAAGACCTTTGTAATATGGGGGGGAAATGTAGCTTCTTTAACTATTCCAGACTGATTTAGGAAAGCTTCAAATAAAAAACAAGTGATGTAGTTAGTTGGGTGACATTGTCTTTAAAACAGTTCCAGCTTTCTAGTACATGTAAGCTAATGCCATAATTTGTTAAGGTTGTCTCCAGCTAAGTCATATTCAGATTAGACTCGAATAGACATAGCATATTTGGATCCATTAATTTTAGTGGGTCTACTTGTGAGCATGATTTAATTTGATACAACCCATAGTCTTCAAGATGTCATGAGATTATTTGTTGCACCAGACTCAGATGATTACACCTTTGGAAAATGTTAAGTTTTCAAGTATCTTCACATTTAGTCAGTAATGCTTGCTTATAGTGCGTATTTTCTTCAGCCAGCAGAGAATCTGATGTTCTGTATGAAGTACTGTTTGATGAAGAGTTTCATGGAGGCTTAACAATAAGGTTTGTTTCTTTCCATCTTTTTAGGGTGTTGCACAGATCCTAGAGAAACATGTAACAATTGCACAGAAAAGTGCTAATGGATATTTAGTCAAATCACCCTTTGAACAACATTAGGTTGGATCCAAATGTAGCATTTTGCAACTATTCGTTCTCCTGTTTGTGCATGAGACTTCAGTCCAGAGGCACTCCTGATGGAAGGGGAGAACCAACAGTGTGGTGTAGTGGTTAAGAGCAGTGGACTCGTAATCTGGTGAACCGGGTTCGATTCCCTGCTCCTCCACATGCAGCTGCTGGGTGACCTTGGGCTAGTCACACTTCTCGGAAGTGTCTCAGCCTCACTCACCTCACAGAGTGTTTGTTGTGGGGGAGGAAGGGAAAGGAGAATATTAGCCGCTTTGAGACTCCTTCGGGTAGTGATAAAGCAGGATATCAAATCCAAACTCTTCTTCATCATCATCTGCAGCTCCCAGTGCCTCCATTTGTAGAATTGCTAAGCTTTGAGGTTGTGTTCTACGGTCCCCTACCCATATATTTTGGGGGCAGATTTCTATTAATCATGCACCACTGGCATAACTAAAGCACTCTTTTCATTAGCCTTCCTCTCCTTCCTCTAGGAGCTCGCCTGGCAGAGGGTACCGCATTCCAGCCAGTGCCTTAATCAACCTTTCTTATGGTAATCGGTCTGAAACAGGAAATCAGAAGCTAACTGCCATAGTTAAACCTCAGCCAGCTGTGAGTCCCTACAACTCATATTCACCCGAATCATTTTCTGTATCTACACAAAAAGCACATCAAGGAGGTCTCAACCATTCTCCTCGCTCCCTCTTTGTTCCAACTCGAGTAAGTCTACATTTAATTCCTACAGTTATGTCCCAGAAAATAAAATCATTGTTAACGGTAGATCTCCATGGATGCTAACTAAACATTTTTTTAATAGCAGAGTTTAGACAGGCTTTAATGATTAATGTAATCATGGTTAGCTAGCTTAGACTCATCCAGGTTTGCATTAGAAAACACCTGGAAATCTCTTAATCCTCATGATACACTTTGAGGGTAGAGAAAGGAAGTGTGTTTGATAAGGAATGTGTTTCTATTTGGGATATATTCTGTCAGTATAAGGAGGCTAAGTAGGTAAGGAAATTTCCCAAAACAAATTAATGTTGATGAAAGGTTTCAAGTTGTACAGGTGTTCTTCTTTTGCCACATTCACTGGAGATAATCTATTTCTCTCTCCTCGGGTGGGTGGAAGGGAGGAATCATAGCAATAACGAGTATTTTAAAGAGGAAGAAAGAAGTTGAATAGCTATTCCATTAAATTTTCTTAATCTTTCATCTAGCAAGTGAATGGAAGACAGCATAACAATCTCAAGGTTGAAACCCAAGGCAATTCCAATTCCCTCCAGAAAGGAGCATATTTAAGCAGCAATCAGAAATACAAAGTAAGTAGCATTATTTTCTTAGTACATGCTAGTAGATGTAGACTGAGTTTGGGAAGGAAGTAGTTTGGGCATGTGGGCGTAAGCAAATATTAAAAGTGGGGAAAATTCATCTCACACAGAATCAGTAGAAAGAACATAGCTCCTTAAAAGTGGAAACCCTTGTGCCTTTTCAACAAAGGAGCCATTTTCCTTCCTGGAAGCTGGGGCTCTCCTAAGAAGTAAGTAGCAGCAGGAAGAAAGAGTTCAGGGAAAATGGGAGAAGGAAATGCTGTGGAATTGTAAGGAGGGCGGGGTGTGGGTGTGTATGGGTAGTAGCGGGGGGTGGGCAGTAACAAAAGAGAATGGATACCACATGGGGGATTGAGAGGGTTTTGTATGAAGTGGGGAGAGATTATGGGGTATCTTGTGAGATTGGGACATGGGTCAGTCTGCTATCCGAATAAACTTTTTAAAAAAAATATTTTAAACCTCTTTGCAAGCGTGAGCTCATTCTGAGCTTTAGACCGCCTGACATTTGCCCTGCAACCGTTAGTTACACGTGTATACTCCTCTTTTGTGATTTCCCCCTTCTTCCATTTCTTGTACGTGCCCTTCCCAAATCTCAGCTCATCTGTGAGTACCTTATAGAGCCACACCCATTATGCAGCCAGCTTCTTTAGATGCCTCCTGCTTTTTATTTCTTGTCTACATTTGGGCCTTCAACATTTCACCTTGAAGAATCTCCCATCCGCCCCTGTTTAAAAAGTAGAGATAAAATTGAGGAAGGCCCCGTAGGGTAGGGTCTAGGTATATGTGCAAGAAAATATGTGACAGTGTGACACTGTGAGGCAAAGTCCCATGATACTATAAGAACTGCATTGGTAAGCAGGCATGCTGATGCAGTAGGTGGCTCCCCCTTTTACCTCTCCACAATGCCGGGAGACCAGAATATGTTTTTCCCATTTCACTACTGCTTTGACTTTATGGGTCTAGGGTAAGTGACTTCACTTACTACCTCTCTTCCTCATTTTGCTTCTCAAACTGTTAAGCTATTAAATCTACACAGCCATAGCTCTCTTGGGTGTAAGGATTTTATTAGAGCAGATCTTGCATAAATGGGTTGGTTTTATTTTTCGTTCCCACCAGGCTCAAGATAAGCAAGATGATGAATTTTGCAGCATATGGCAATCATTGCAGAGCTCTGGAAAGTCTCAGTCTGCCCAACATGATAGGCATGAGAAGGTTAGTTTCTGTAGTGGAGTGGATGTGATGTGTGTGAGATTTTCTGAACAGGATTTTGCTACTGAACAATGTCATTTTCTAGGGTGGAATTTTACCTCAATACATAAAGCTAAATACGGGTGGCCAGTTCTGCAAACCAGGCTTCAATGAGAGTAGCTTCAAAGGCCAGCAAAGAAAACAGGAATCTTTCAGGAAGTGTAAGTACTTTTCTTTGAATTTTGTATATTCCTTCATCAAGTTAGGGATTCAATTTTGGAAAGCATTTAGTTTATTCTAGTCCTGTGGAAAGTGATGCTTATGACAGACGGAGTGTTGCCATTATAACCCCAACCCTTGGTATTTTCTCTGAAGAAATGCATGTCATTATCTCCCCCTCTCACCAAAAAGGATGAAAGTGGATTTAGGGTTGCTAATACTTGGAGATCCACTGAAATCAATAACCTTGAGCTTGATTATTATGAGTATGACATAGTTTGCTGTCACACTTTGAATTTTTGTTTGTTTTGTGAAGTATTGTTTTTTAACTTAATCTGATTGATGTTCTTGTGGCAAGAAGTTTGGCACCCATCTCTATTTGAAACAGTTCCTGAGAGGGGCAGCATTAGCTAGCCCTAGTGCAATACCATTGTTCAACTTGGAGTTTACTATTTGCAACTGCAGAAACCACCATTTGAACGACTGAAGTCTGTTTTTCTATGGCTGATGTCACTTAAAGTGCTTTTTCTAGTGGCCATAGCATCAGCAAGAAGGATTTCAGAGCTGGGAGCTTTGTCCGTTGGAAAACATCATTGTGTGCTTAACAAAGACAGAATTGTACTGCAGACTGTTTTTCACTACCAGCAGGAGCTGGTGTTACTTACTTTCTGTCTTTTCCCATGTCATCCTAAAGAACATGCATAGCACACTCTGGATGTCCACAGGGCAGATTAGATAGATCAATTGATCAATATGGCAAAGCCATTTGGATAAACACATTTATTATTGCCTCTTATCCAACATACTTAGGGAGAAAGGTTTCAACATCTACCGTAGCTAGGTGGATTAAAGCTTGTATTTCTTTGGCATATAATTCTCTTCCATTTGATTCACTCAGTGAGAGCATCTGCAGCATTTTCTACAAGTGGTTTGTAGGGCAGGGACTTGGGCTACTTCGAATACATTTACAAGACACTATAAAATATACATTTATGCTTCCGCAGAAGCAGCTTTTCAGAGGCGTCAACAGGTCCTTTAGCTGCAGAACAGGAGTGTGGAACATTTGGCCCTCCAGATATTGCTTGAACTAGAACTCCCATTAGCCCTAGCAAGTGTGGGCAATGGCCAGGGATGATGGCAGTTGTAGTTCAGCAACATCTGGACGTCCAAAGCTTCTCCACAGCTGCTACAAAAAATCCCACTTGGGTGAGTCTTAGTGCCATTAGATATGGGTCCATGGGATTCACCTAAAGGGTGTTTCTCAGGGAGTACTGGGAGGCCAAGGCCCACCCAAAGCTGCATGACATAATTAAGAGGTGGGTTAAGAGCAGAGTGTCTAGAGAGTAGTCTTGCCTTTCTGTTTGTTGACATTTTGGTTGTTAAATATGTGTTGTTTTTAATTGTTGGATGTTTAACTTACAAGCTTATCTAGATGGTGAACTGTTTTTCTAAGGGAGGGGTCACTCAGAAATTCTGTTGGAATCATGACATTTTCCTGCTTCAAGTAACTTAAGGAACTCATTGACTTATTTGGCGGTGTCCTAGTGGCCCTTGAGAAACACCTTTCAGCTAGTCCAGTACACCAATTTCTTTCATCCTGTTCAGGAGTTACATTGTGCTGTTTGAGTTCTCTGTTGCAGACGTCCACCCAGATTTTATCCCTTTTGTTACAGCTTCTGAACAGAGATAGTAAAAAGAAAGTGAGGGAAAATATACTAGATTGACGAAGAGGACTCACCATAGCTGTGCTTCTGTACCTATTTACCTGGGAGTAAGCTCCATCAAACTAAGTGGGACTTCCTTATTAGTAGACATATGTAGGATTGCACACACACTCGTTTTATATATAAACAGTTTTTGAAAAAACACATGTTACTTGTTTAGCTAATATTATAAACTTTTGTATTTGTAGCTAAAGACGACTCTAAAGGTCCAAGAACTGACAGCCAAACACATAAAGGATCAAATAAACAGGTAATTTTCTGATGCTGTTTTATGTTTGCTGTTTTATGGTGAACTGTTCAAAGGAAACAAAGGGCAGAAATAGCAACGGTTTGTGCGCAGATGCTTGGGTATGCCTAACATATATTTTTGGACATGGATTAAATTGGCAGCTGCCCCTCCGCATTCCTGCCACAGAGTGTAACTATATGTGTGATATATCTGCTTGAGGGAGATGGCCCTTGTATGATCGCATAGGTCGACTAGTGAAGTTGATAGATTTCCAAAATTACTTATGCAGCTAATCACTGGTTAGGTAGGTGGCCATAGCTTTTAGCACGAGTGAAAATCCGCCTTGTTAATTTGCTTTAACATTTGACCTGGTCTGTCTCAGAATTTTGCAGGTGCTAATAAGTATAGTGTGAAGCTATTGAAGAGGAATGAAGCCCCCAATGAGCCAGTAGAACCAAAGTCTGCAGTTGACAGTCCCAGTATAACTGAAAAGGTAGGAAAATGGCAATCTAAATATTTGCATATACCTGAGTACATTCTGAAGAAGAAACAACATGACAAGTAGATTTTATTAGATATTAATTTTAATGCACCAGAATTGTCGAATGCTTTATTTTCTTCATGGTCTTTTTCCATATGGGATTGCACCTGTGAAGAGTACTAGCCAGACCTTTTAGCAAGCTCTAAGCCATGAGATGGTATTGGCCTCCCTCTCCCTCTCAAGCATAGGCCAGAGGATCACTAGATTATCCATGTCAGATCCCTGCCTCTCTGCTCAGTGGCCTGCTGCACATAATATGTTTCTCAAAATTGTCAGAAGAAATGGATAAAATAAAGATTTAAAATTCTCTCTATATAAATTATATCTCATGTATGTGTTGTGAAGTATCTTTTGTGGCCATCTAGCTAAATCATAGTGGTAGTATATATACAGAACAACTAAAAAGACTGAGAGCTGAGCCACTTCGTAGCAAGTTCCTGAAGAATTATGAATCCCTTTTACTTGTTTGCTTTGTTTGAAATACATTTAACATGGCCCACATGTGCTCCTGAGCTTTAGAGCCTTTGTCCTTTGCTGCAGTATTGAAGAGAACTCTAGGCACACAGTGGAGACACGGGCAAAATTCTTCCAGACTTTGCAGTGAATGGGGGAGACCTTTTAAGTAATATGTACCTTAAAGGTAAAGGGACCCAGAGACGTTCCCAAAGTAAAGGAAGGATTGAACTCTGAATAATAAGAATACACACTGAGGCTTGAACCAGCAAGACTCTGGGAAGGGTGCATATAATCGTGTCTCTCTGTCTCCCTCCCAGCCGTCCCAGCCCCTCAGCCCAGGTCGTTTTATTCACAAAAGAACTTTTTACAGAGTGTTCATAAGAACCAATCAGATTTCTTCTGAGCATTTCAACAGACCCCACGTGAGGACAAAGTTAAACTACCAAAACTAAATAAGCACGGGGTAAACAAAGACACCCCGGAGGTGATAAACAAGCAATATACATGATAAGAAGGATGGCCAGGAGGACAGCGATCACTATCACCTTTATGTGAGATCTGTTTCCTGGCCTTAAGATTAACATCCTAAGATTAACATATCAGAAAGGCTACTTCAAAGAAGCTGCCCACTGTCTTTGATGACCCAGGACGCCTGCCTGGCTGTGTAAGTGACTTGTGAAGCAAGAGAAATGGGCAGTAGAGGAAATGGCCAGAGATGCAGAGGGTTGTGAGATTTGATCAGAAATTATTGTCAAGGTATCAAACCCAGTCAACACAATGCATTCATCGTGGACACAAGGGCTTGAGGTATATTTTATAATTCCTCATAGTAATCCCACCTGACCCCACACTCTGGATATTTGCACTCCTATAGGACCCCTGACCATTAGGTCCAGTCACGGACGACTCTGGGGTTGCGGCGCTCATCTCGCTTTATTGGCCAAGGGAGCTGGCATACAGCTTCCAAGTCATGTGGCCAGCATGACTAAGCCGCTTCTGGCAAACCAGAGCAGCGCACGGAAACGCCGTTTATCTTCCCGCTGGAGCGGTACCTGTTTATCTACTTGCACTTCGTGCTTTCGAACTGCTAGGTTGGCAGCAGGGACCGAGCAACAGGAGTTCACCCCGTCACAGGGATTCGAACCGCCGACCTTCTGATCGGCAAGCCCTAGGCTCTGTGGTTTAACCCTCAGTGCCACCCGTGTCCCACTATGTACCCTAAGTTCCCTCAAAATGAATAAGTTTTCATATTGATTTCGGTGGAATTTGCACAGAGAAAATTCCTTTCTCTGAGTTTTGCTCTTCTAATTCTTTCATATATGTATATATATATTCCTTAGAACGGATCTGAACTTGAAGACATTTTGGCGTCTTTGAAAATTTTCAAAGAAAAAGAGGTGCCACGGTCATATCCCAAGGAACCAACTAATGAAGAACACTTGTCTCCACAGTCTTTTGCTATGGTTTGTATGCTGCTGTTGGAATTGACTTCATTGGTTTAACTTTGGATGCATTTAATGTACAGAGTTCTATGATAAAATTCTCAATTTATACAATATATAAATGCTGTTTGCTTTTTTTTTTAAAGAAAGGAACACAGATGCTCAAAGAAATTTTGAAGATAGATGGTTCTGACACAGCAGAAGCAAAGTCAGTGGCAAATGAAGTGTCTGCTCCAACTTGCAGGCAGGATTCTTGTGTGCCTGCCTCACAACATACCAGTGCCAAAAAGATGGGTATGTATAAAAGCTTTGTTCTATAATTGAATAAATGGTTTGTGTTATGCAGATTTAAGTTTAATGTTTATTGATTATATAATACCTTTTGAACATCTAACATTCAATCAAATTAAACAAAGTACTGTGCTCTGGTTCATTTATTCAAACATGGTACAGATTACATGTATTTATTCTCATTGATAGCTGCTTTCATGAACAAATCCCCTGGCACTGCAGGACCGCAGAACACTCAGGGCATGGAGGTTGGAGGCCACCCACTTCTTGGACCACCAAACTCATTATCCACTCCAGTATCTGAGCTTTCTCGTATCTGTTCCCTTCTTGGAATGCTGCAGCCCGATTTCTCATTTCTTAGAACACCACAGGTAACTTAGCTTCAAATAGCAGATCTGTGTAGTATGCAAACAAAAAAACAAACCCACCCATAATCTCTTTTATTTCCAGTTCAAGTCTTAAATGTGCTTGCAGAAATATAGACAAATTGTTCCACCCACATGCAAGGAGGAGGCATCACCATTCTGAGATTTGCAAGGGACAAAATACCTTTATGAACTACCCTAAAAATAAAGGGGAAAGCAAAACAGGCTAATGAGCACTTGACAGCTATTGACTGCTGAGCAACATGGGAATTGGGGCAAAGAATAAACCAGGCAGTGGGGTGGAATGGAAAAGGAGATTAAAAGAATGGACACATAGGTATAAAAAGAGTAGAGAGAATCATTTCATTGTCTGAGTAGGTAATTTCTGGGTTCATGCTGAGAAGTTATTTGTCAGTGTCCCCAGGGACAGGGGTGAGAGCTGCTCCCCATTTTTCATCGTTTAGACCAGGGTAGCCAGCATGGGGCCCACCAGATGCTGCTAAACTCCCCAGCCAGAATGGCCAGTGGTCAGGGATGATGGAAGCTGTAGACTGGTGACATTAGACAGAAGGATACTTGGCTAATCTTCAATAGGAAACTCTGTTTGCAGTCTGTTTGCAGTATGCTATATAGAAAATACAGTTGCTTTGTCTTATTTTCTTCCATAGACGATGACAGTTTGTCAAGTAAAGCTATCCAATGGCTTATTAGTACACGGACCTCAATGTCACTCTGAAAATGAAGCTAAGGAGAAAGCAGCACTTTTTGCTTTGCAGCAATTGGTGAGATTTTGAAAATGCTTTATAAAACCTTAGAATGCTCATCTCCATTTATTAGCTAGCCATGCTTCCTGTATCACGAACTTTAAGTACCCTTTTTCATACAGAGCTCTCTCGGCATGAACTTTCCTCTGCCACCACCGCCTGTATTTCCAAATTATCAACCCATGGGAGCTCTTGTGCCTCCTGGATCCATTCCTCCAGTCTTCACGCAGCACACCGGTACGTTTAATCAATTTTAACTTCCTGTGTGTGTAAATGCATGTTTTTCATACGGTATAGTTGGAAGCAAATTAACTTTTTGTAGAAGTTGCATAGTAGCATACTGCTAGTCCTTATCAGCAACACTGCTTTCTTTAATAATTGTATATAATTTGATTATTCTATATAGATTAATTTTATAAACAGCACCCTAAGTTTTTATAAACAAAGTCCTAAAGTTTTTAGGACTTAAAAAAGAATCTAATGTTCTTTGTGAGACAAGTTGCATTATTTTTTCTCACAGTGAGAGGGGAAAGTATTGAATGCATTGATCTCTAGTGTCTCAAAAAGTTGTCTTTTGGGTTCCATAAAGAATGCACCTTTTTCTCCAATTCAGTTACTATGAAATATATGAGCTAAATTTAGCAGCTAAATTTCCTTTCTGAATTCCATTCGGAAGTGGAGGGAGGGAGGCTTTGAAAGAGTAGCTACCCATTTTTCTTAGTTAATACTGGAATCTAAAATGAGCTTATTGTTTTCGCAGCTAATTTGTTTCCTTCACCACCTCATGCGTTTGGCCCAGTGCCATGGGGAGCACCAGTTCCAGTCCATGGGAAACCTTACTTTCCTGGTTCCTATCCTGGGAATATGCCTTTTGCGGGCACTGTACCAGCTGGTGCACACAATCAGTTTATACCCTTGCAGGTAAGATCTGACAGCAGCTACACACACACACACACACACAGAGCCAGTGTGGTGTAGTGGTTAAGAGCGATAGACTCGTAATCTGGGGAACCGGGTTTGCGTCTCCGCTCCTCCACATGCAGCTGCTGGGTGACCTTGGGCTAGTCACCCTTCTCTGAAGTCTCTCAGCCCCACTCACCTCACAGAGTGTTTGTTGTGGGGGAGGAAAGGAAAGGAGAATGTTAGCCGCTTTGAGACTCCTTCAGGTAGTGATAAAGTGGGATATCAAATCCAAACTCTTCTTCTTCTTTTACATATGCTTCTCACATGTTAGAAAACTAAACCTCTTTTTTTTAAGGTAACTAAGAAAAGGGTTGCCAGCAAGACTAATGTTGAGCCAAAGGAGTTCCCAGGTTCTCTTCAAAATGTGCAGTTAAAGAATGAACAGTCAAGCATCGACACTACAAAAATGAACCCACAGGATGCTTCTTCAGAACATTTAAGGTCTCATCAAGCTGCTCCATCTTTCCAAGAGAAAATGGCTCCTTCGAGCTCGGTTGCATCTCGTAAGAAATCAATACCAAATGTGTCTACCAAGCGAAAGCCCAGAAAACTGGCTGTCAATTTTGGTGCACCCAAATCTTCAGAATAAGTATGGGTCATGGATTACTTTACATTTCCTTAGTGTTATAAAACCAATAAATATTATTTAAAAAATGTAAGCATAATAATTTGAAAGGTGTTCTGAACTGTAAATATTTTCTGTCAGTCACAATGAAAACAATTATGTTCACTGAAGAGCTTGATTTAATGTGATGTAAAACACAAGAAACTCTTGAGTTAAAGTAACAACCCTGTCCATCATGCCTCAGTCTGAAAAGTGGGGTTTGTGTACTGTCCCAGAAGTGGAGCAATAATACTGACTTGGCCGTCTTAATTGAGAAATAACTTTGTTTAAACCAACATATAAAAGTCCTCAATGAATGCAAAGCATAATTCTTGATGTCTTGTTTTTAATGATATAATAACTTCTAAAAGCAATTTATTTATATGTAACTGGTATACTTTATTTTTAGATTTTTCAGGTTTTTTGATCTGATACAGTGTGCATAGATTTTAACTATTGTGGCATTGCCAGTTGACTTTATGTAAGGTTCATTTCCAGGAGTTATGCCAAAGCAGCTTAATAACTTGGACAATTGTAATAAACTATCTTTAACTAAATGCCACCACAAATGAGCCACTGATAGAGGAAGCCAGAGCAAACAAATGCTTCAGGGATTTGCAGCAGGAGTAGACAAAATGTTGTGCTTTCCAGATGTTGCTGGACTCCAGCTTCTATTAGCCCCAGCCAGCATGGCCAATGGTGAGAGATGGTGGGAACTGCAGTCTAACAACATCTGAAGAACACCATGTTGGTTTCCCCCTTTTTACAGAATAAGAGGTACCTCATCACTGTAACAAGTTGTAGTTTTGGGAATGACTCCTGTACGCTTCTCTACTAATGTGCAGCCTCCACAACAGATCTGGCTCTGCTTTTTTTAAAGCACTTTCATTGTTCTGAAATAGTATATACTCCTTGGATCTGGTATCACCAAAGCATGAGTCCTTAAATAGTACAGTTTCAGAAATAATGGTGAATCTTCCCAAATATTCCAAATTAGTATGTGTGTAAGCTAGAAGACAACCCAGTCTAATTCGTATTCAGACTCAAATTGTCTTCATTCTGCTGTGCTGTTTTAGTTCTACTGTGCTGCCTTCCTATGATCTACTTGTTCTTCAGCACAAATTCGTGTTTCATAATCTGAGATATGTAAAATACCAGCCTGAAGGATACTTTTTATCACTTATTTTTTAAATGCCACAATTTCTTAAAAGAGAAACTAGCTAAGCTGTTGTGGGTCACACAATACTCCCCCACCCCCTGCCTCAAATAACATAGATTAACCTCTGTATAGGAAAATAATGTTGCAACACTACCCTAGGTGCAATCTTAGCTCCACTTCTATGTATCATGGAGCTATTTAAATCTAAAATTGCACCGTATCCAAAGCACACAAAAACCCAACTTGGTAACACTCTTCAAACTATATAGTATGGAATTATTATTTTTTGTCATGCAGATTAATTTTCATGTTCTAGTAGTACTGTGCAGCAGTGGGGAACCTTTTGGCTCCACAGGCCAAATCCTAGTCCAGGAGGCAAAACTTGACAGGTGTCAGTCATCTGACATCAGGAGATTGGATGTTCAGCGCACCACACAGAGCTTGCAAAGAGCCTTGTATAATGCTCTTAATTAAAGTGCCTGTGGCTTCAACTTCACACCCATCAGCTGTTTTCTGTAGGTATTGGGGAACTTACTCATGCAGCTGATAAGCAGGCTTCAGCTCTTATCTATCAGCTAATGGCACCAGCAGGTTCTACAGAACTCAGCTGCAACAGATGATCCACCAGGCTTTGACTTTACTACTGATGGTTGGTAGAAGTGAAGCCTGCTTTTCCTTGCTTGCTTTAAGGCTTCTGGTTGTACATTGGAGCCACAGGTTCCTCTCCGCTGGGGTTGCATTCCTTTGTTTTAGGGCATTGTTGCTTTGCTGCATGTGAAGTGGTCCTGTTAAGGTGAAAAGTGCTTTCCTCACTGCTTTCCATTTAAGAGTGAAAATACATGCTTAATGGGACTTAAAGCACTTAAACTCAGGACAGTCTGGCCATATTTCCCTTGACAAGGTCTGTCATACTGTTCTCACTGGTATAGTTTAAATTATTTTCTCAGATCATATTGCCTGGTAACTTGACTTCAGTCTCTAGAGAATGAATAAGGTGGACTCCCATGGAAGTGAGAATTGATTTATTTTACTATCGAGTCTCTTAAACAACATAAAATTTTCATTTGTTTACATCTTTGGGGTATATATATATATGGTTACCTGACCCTTGGTAGGGACACGGGTGGCGCTGTGGGTTAAAGCCTCAGCGCCTAGGACTTGCCGATCGAAAGGTCGGCGGTTCGAATCCCCGCGGCGGGGTGCGCTCCCGTCGTTTCGGTCCCAGCGCCTGCCAACCTAGCAGTTCGAAAGCACCTTCGTGTGCAAGTAGATAAATAGGGACCGCTTACCAGCGGGAAGGTAAACGGCGTTCCGTGTGCTGCGCTGGCTCGCCAGATGCAGCTTGTCACGCTGGCCACGTGACCCGGAAGTGTCTGCGGACAGTGCTGGCTCCCGGCCTATAGAGTGAGATGAGCGCACAACCCTAGAGTCTGGCAAGACTGGCCCGTACGGGCAGGGGTACCTTTACCTTTACCTTTTTACCTGACCCTTAATGCAGGCACTGGAATTGCTTCTAACATGCTAAATTCTGTAAGACTTTTTATGGACCCTGCTGCCAGCATAATAGAAATAGACACCCTGAAGATTTATGTGTATCTTAGAACCAGCAAAATTCTCGTGTTTGTTGTTACCTATTGAACAGGGCTTCTTTGTTTTCCATTCTAATAAAAATGCCCATCCAATTTTCATCAGCCTGGTTCCCATCTATACTTGTCATTGTACCTGTTTCACTGTTTTCTATTCTCTATAATCTGCAGGATTAGTATCAGTTTCTTTATATCCACTGCCCAGTTTTTAGATACATAATCTCTAAAACATAAATAATTGGCTTATAGAATTTTTGCTTGTTTTTTTAAAATAAAGTTATATGGCTTATTTCTCTCAAATGTATTTTGTAAATGCTGGAAATTTTCATTAAGATCTTGTACAGAGCAGTATTTTATTAAGATCTGAAAGGGAAGACTTTTTGTGCACATTTTTATAGTTTCTTTTTTAAAAAGAACTTTTGTCTATCTGCCAAAGTGAAATGTTTAAAATGGCATGATTAATATGGAGTGTATTTTTGTGTATAGTGTTGTGCATTTCAGAATTCTAGCATGTAGCTGTGCAAAAGTATTTTTAAATATAAATGTACAATATACCCTGAAGGAATAAATCATATGGATTAAATACTCTGGAGAACTTTAATACAATAATTTTATAAAAGACTTGGCCTTGTCTGCTTGGAATAAAAATGTAAACTAAATTTTTGAGTTTCGGTATGTTTATTTCTCATTGGAAGAATTACGTCAGACATGGCTTAAACTGCATGTTCTATTTGGTTGTGGGGCTTTGCGGTAATTTGTTCTTAAGATAAGCCATAAAACTTAAGTTTGCATAGTCATGATGCAATCTTGGATTAAGGTTAAGACTGGCCATTTGTTTTCTAGAGAGTGGCAGGAGAGGTACAATTCAGTTCATTCACACTAAAACTGCTTCCTTGTAGGAGAAATGTAAGAGAGTGGGGATAATATGCCTTGAATTACCACTCAAAATGTGACCAATGTTAGGGCAAACAAATGGACGTGGTCTGAGTATGCAGGGTTTGTATGCACAAGAGCAGTTTATGAACGCAGCCCCAGGAGGGGAGAGAGAGAGAGAAGGGCTGGATTCAGGCTATGCTATTTGCAATTTGACTAATCCAGTATTTAATGCCCCAAAGATATATCAGGTGAAAGCTGGAATGCACGCGATCAGCTTTCTGCCCAAATGCTTAGTAAATGTTTAAAATACTGTAAGCACTCTGTAAAAACACCTCTGAAATATTGTAAACATCTTTGTAGCCTGAATCAAAGAGTAACGTCTCCTGACCAACACCAAAAAGTGCAAAGAGAGGACTCTCAAAAACTGCAGATTTTACACTGTGTGTGCGCGCGCACACAGTGTATATTGCAAGGCAGAAGATAAAAGTAACAACACCCTATTGCAGATAATAAAACTTTGAATTGCCAAACACATTTTGACCATAATGTTTCCTCAGTGGTTCACACTGAAAATACATTTATTGCTTCAGAGGGAATCCAGAGTACACAATATCTCAGGTTTGAGTTTGAGGGTTGAGTTTGCCTCAGAGTGTGCTCTTGGAAAAAACTGAATGTGTTCGGAAGGCAGTATGTTTGTAACAAAGTTTCATTTATCTGCAGTAGGCAGTTGAGTTCCTTCTGTCTTTCACGATACACTAATTTGTCACTGTGTTCAGAAGCTGTTTTAGTTTATTGTTTTGCAACTGAAAGAATCAGTTGTAGAGTTGGTGGAGACCCCAAGGGTCACCCACTCCAACCCCCCTGCAATGCAGGAATGTTCTCAACTGTCTAGCACATTCTACAATTTTCGGATATCAGTTTTGTTTGCAAAGGGCCCCGCTGTTTTCCGGCTTTACGCTGAAAACTGCACTGCAAGTTTAGAGAAAAGGTGAGTAGGGGGGGGGTGGCACGATTAAAATTTTGTATGGCATGGAGGAAGGGGCTAGAGCGAAGTTTTTTCTCCCCCTCTCATAACGCAGTAACTCCTGGACATCTAATGAAGACTGGGAGATTGAGGACAGGATCAAAACAAGAACAGCTTCACGCAGCGCACGGAACCCACTTGCATAAGGAGGTCAGTGATGGCCATCAACTTGGACGGCTCTGAGAGAGGATGAGGCAAATTCAGGGAGGGCAAGGCTGCAAATGACTACATACTGGTCATGCAAAGCCGGAGGCAGTAGGAGGGAAGAATGTGCTCCTCCTCAGGTCCTGCTCACGGGTTTCCCAGAGGCAACTGGGTGGCCACTGCCAGACCAAGACGCTGGACATAGGAGCCAACTCCTAGGGGCTGAGGTCTCTGCCAAGCCCCCCTCCAAAGTTGTTAGGCATTGCTCTTCATATAGTGTGCCACGTTTTGAGATTATGTGGGGTGGGGCTTCCCTGTTCAGGGAAGTTTTTAATGTGTGACATTTTAATGTATTCTTAATCTTTGTTGGAAGTGTGGCTGGGGAAACCCAGCCAGATGGGCGGGGTACAAATAATAAATTATTATTATTATTATTATACCTGCCCCCCCCAATATCTTATCCAAGTTGGCACCTGATGTTAAGTTGTGGGTGAACATATCAGACGACACAGTGATTCTCCAAACAGCTCTTGTTTATTCACAGGCCAGGCCAGAACTTAACTGAAGGGTTCAGCCAGCCTGCTTATATAGAGCTCCAGTACAACTTAACTGTAACAACTTTCTGTAACTATCCAATCACTGAACGTCACTTTTTATCCCTTATTTGCATATGTGGACCTGAGTAAAAACTATCTACAGTATCCCCCTGCTGGCCCAGGGTGAGAACTTCAGTACATAACACCTGACCCTCTGAGATTTAACTGCTTGCCCTGGAAATCACGAGAAAGCGGGGCGGGAAACTGCAACCCTTGGCCCTTCAACCCCTTGGTGCGTGGGAGCCTGGCGACCGAGTTAGGCGTTTCAAAACAGGCCGGGCCTTCGCGCCCTCCGGCGCACCAGGAAGGCGGCGCTCCGCTTCGCTTTCGCCACGCCGCCCACTCCTACACCTACCCGCCTTCCTCTCCTTCGCAATCACTGCTGGCATTCAAAGGCGGCCGCCGCTGCCGCCTCCACCTTGGCCGCTTTCTCCTCCCCGGAGTCCCGCCCTGCATGGAGAGGCGTTGCTCTCTCGCCCGCCGTCGGCGCGGCGGCTGCGTCCCTCTCCTTCCTCCTCCTCTTAAAAGCGCCTGGGTGCCTTTGCGGAGCTCGGGCGCCCGGTTCTTGAGGGGCGACGGCAGCGAGACTCGGAAGAGCAGGACGCCGCCATGGCCTCGCCTGCAACCGCGGAGAAGTATATCTTGGGTGTGGACGTGGGCAGCACGGTGATACGGTGCCATGTTTACGACAAGGCGGCGGTGCTCAAGGGAGCCAAAGCTATGCAGGTGGGAGCTGTGGTGGGGCGGGAGGGCGGGAGGGGGGGGACACAAGCCGCGTCAGAAGGTACAGCTTGATTTTAACGCGTGTCTACCTAGAAATAAGCCCTCCTGTGGACAAACACAGACGTAAGAGTGCAGCCTCTTTAACCACTTACCTGGGAGTAAGGGTATGATATGCCTAGGATTGTACCCAGGATCACAGAATCCTAGAGCTGGAAAGGGATCACTGGGGGCCATCTAGTTTAGCCCCCCGCAATGCAGGAATCCTTTTGCATGAAGGATGAGTCTCCTGCTCTATCAGCTGAGCTTTCCTTTGTGTGTTTCTCCTTCCTGTTCGTTTCTTTTCTCTCTTCTCCCCTCCATCCCAAAGACAAAACAAAGCCTGGCTCCTGTTCTGTTAGTTCCCTGATGCTTCCACCAGTCACTCATTAGTCAAACTGGCTCATGTACCGCAACATTTTGTTGCAGGCTCTGATTGCTGTGGAGGATGAATGTGCCAGCCTTCCACCGCACATAGGCACATGAGAACATCATGTACAGATGTGGTAAATGGTGGTAGCATAGCAACCTTCTTGATTCCTAGATCAACGGTAAGGGAAGAATGGGGGAGACCCTGTGGGTATTGGAGCTTACTGTAGGACTTGCGCAAAAAAAATTGTTTGCTACAAAGAACCTAATGAAGCGTAGCACTGTGCTGCTGAGCCAATGTGTTGAAGAGCAGGAAGCTCTTCCTTGGGGGAAAAAACCATTTGTTACTGTGTTTTAATGAACTGGTTTGCGCAATCCGCAGTATAAGGATTCTTGTTCTTTGCTGTTAGTTCCTGTGTCCTCCCCCCCCTCCCCCAATGTCTGTAAAATAAATCACACAAGCTGAATTTGAAAGGCAGAAGCAGACTTGGGTTTGGAAAGTTTGGGATGTTTCAGAGGACTAAGCGACAAAGCTCAGAGATTCCTATTGCAGATTAATTGGTTATAGAACAGGCTGTGCACATTTTGTCTGGACGTGCACCTTGGTGCTTGATGATGCAACTGTTTCCAAGTTCTAGTAAGCTGACATGTTGCAATGCATGTTTACCTTCTCTCAGCATGGTCCTAGCCTACATTTATCAGTTCAAGGAACTATAGTACAGTGGAACCTCGGGTAACATACACTTCAGCTTACATACGCTTCAGGTTACAGACTCCGCTAACCCAGAAATAGTACCTCAGGTTAAGAACTTGCTTCAGGATGAGAACAGAAATCGTGCTCCGGCGGCGCGGCAGCAGCGGGAGGCCCCATTAGCTAAAGTGGTGCTTCAGGTTAAGAACAGTTTCAGGTTAAGAACGGACCTCCAGGACGAATTAAGTACTTAACCCGAGGTACCACTGTATAGGGCTAGGATAATGGCACTTAGAGTGATCTGATTGGGTCAAACAGCATGTTGCATTAATTGTGTGCTTCCAGTTACCCCTTCTCTTTTACCAAAAGCAGCTGTGGGTACTTAAGCTGGGTTAATGGGAATAGGGTTTCCCTGCTGCAATGTATCACTTGATGCTGATATTTAAGGGCAAACATCAGTTGTGGGAGGGGACTTTTGATGGGAAAGTGGCACAAGGAAGAAAGTTTCTCTGCAGCGTGATCCCAACTCAGATACAACTGTCTCCGAGCTGCTTTTTGTTAAATAGAGACAATTGTTAGCATGCCCTTTAAAGCACCGTATTTTTCGCTCTATAAGATGCACCAGACCACAAGACGCACCTAGTTTTTGGAGGAGGAAAACAAGAAAAAAAATATTCTGAATCTCAGAAGCCAGAACAGCAAGAGGGATCGCTGCGCAGTGAAAGCAGCAATCCCTCTTGCTGTTCTGGCTTCTGTGATAGCTGCACAGCCTGCATTCGCTCCATAAGACGCGCACACATTCCCCCTTACTTTTTAGAAGGGAAAAAGTGAGTCTTATAGAGCAAAAAATACAGTATATACTTCACATAACTTGTGGTGTAGCCTTGTGTTATTTGCAAACTAGTTTAATTGCAACACATGTTATCACGATTAAACTTAAGTGTTTAATGACAGAAGGAAGAAACTAATTAACTGAGTGCATTTGTTTACCTCTATGAAGGATTACTTATTATTCAAAATACCTTTAAATAGTGTTGTCCTGTACATGTTTACTGAGAAATAATTATTGCTGAATTCATTGCTGCTTAGGATTGCACCCATGTGTGTCTATGACAAGAAGACAAAGTGATGTACTAGAAAATTAGGTAGCAATTCTATACATGCCTGTAACAACACACTTGAAGGAGTTTGGCCTAACACAGGTGCCCTCGACTGGAGACTATCTGGGTGGGTCCAGGGGGTTAATGGTTCTTTGTGGGATGGTGTGGTGCCACCTGCATGAAGAAAGCAATTATGGTAAGGCCCTTCTCAAGAAGCCCCACTTGGGCCCAGAGTTTTGTGATAACTATTGTCCAGTTGCAAATATCTTCTTAGTAAACTTCTCAAGCAGGTGTGCTTAAAAGAAGGCTGTCCAGCTACATTTCAGTTCAGCTTAAAAAGCAGTTACGGAACCCCTTACCTGTTACTTTTAATGGGGGAGGGACAAGGGGAATGTGACTCTGTTGATTCTTTTTCTTTTTAAAATATATGCTATTTATTGTTTTTTTGAAAGGAATATGAGAACATAACACCACCACCCCCTTCGCACATTTCTCCTACTCACCCCAGAACACAGATTCCTATGGGAAAACGTAATTCCAAAGTCCTAATCTTTTGTTTCCATTGTGACATTTGTGAATGTTCCAAAGATTCCCAGTTTTGGGCAAGAAGTTGTCAAGCTGCTGCTAAAAGAAAAGTAACTAATTCTTTGATTGTCATTTTCACTTTTAGAGCTGGTTAACAGTACTAATTTTATTTGTAATCAGAATGTTAATCAACAACATTCTTCCAAAATGGCTGTAATTAGTCACTTGCCTGCTACATATGTATAGTGGTTCTAACCTCTTTACACCCTCTCCAGCAAAGAAGAGAAATAGCTTTGTTAAGGTGACTATATCTCAAAGGTGATAATGCAGAGACATCACCTTGCCGACAAAGGTCCGTATAGTTAAAGCTATGGTTTTCCCAGTAGTGATGTATGGAAGTGAGAGCTGGACCATAAAGAAGGCTGATCGCTGAAGAAATGATGCTTTTGAATTATGGTGCTGGAGGAGACTCTTGAGAGTCCCATGGACTGCAAGAAGAGCAAACCTATCCATTCTTAAGGAAATCAGCCCTGAGCGCTCACTGGAAGGACAGATCCTGAAGCTGAGGCTCCAATACTTGGGCCATCTCATGAGAAGAGAATACTCCCTGGAAAAGACCCTGATGTTGGCTAAGATTGAGGGCACAAGGAGAAGTGGATGACAGAAGACGAGATGGTTGGACAGTGTTCTCGAAGCTACCAGCATGAGTTTGAGTAAACTGCGGGAGGCAGTGGAAGACAGGAGTGCCTGGCGTGCTCTGGTCCATGGGGTCACGAAGAGTCGGACACGACTAAACGACAACAACAATGTAGAAGCTTCAGAGTATTTTCCTATAAAAGCATGGATGCTGACTTTAATAGCTTCTTAGCCCACAGGCTCTGCCAATCTACCCCCCCCCCCCCAATTACTGTCTCTAGATCTGATTCTCGACTAGGTTATATCAAATTTGTTTGGCCTAATTGCGTGTCACTAATTATTTCATAATTATTGATAATATAGGCTTCGATTTTGCGTTAGTGCTTGTAATTAGATTTTCAAATGTTGATAGAGGTTTGGAAGCTGTTGGATTTGTTAGAAAATTTGTAATGGCGTTTATATTTCGCCAACTCCTAATGTTTTGTCTTGCGTTGCATAGTTCTTGTTTGCCTGCCAGGGGTATGCCATCTGCGTAAAAGTTTCATAGTCTGAATGAATCCATCTTCCTCCGTTGCTAACACAAAGTACCGTACTTCGTTTTTCTATGTATCTGCCTCTTTCATTTCTGCAGGGACCAGCCCTTCATACCATGAAGCACTAACCACACTCTGGACCCAACCAGTCAGGCCCCCTCAACCAGAAGGGACAGGGTCAAGGGGGCATGTGGTCAGATGCATTGCCATCAGCACCTTGCAGTGGCGTAGCGTGGGGGGTGCAGGGGGGGCGGCCGCACCGGGCGCAACATCTGGGGGTTAGGGTTAGGGGGCGCAAATCCACGGGTTAGGGGGTGCAAATTACTTGCCTTGTCCCGGGTGCTGACAACCCACGCTACGCCACTGGAACCTTGTCCACATCAACTGATTCACCTTATGTAAGCTGGTCCCACTAAGCATCCTCGATAGCAGCACTGGGTACTTCAACTAGAGCTGCAACAAGACACCAGCAGAACTGTGTGGATTAGTGTCGTAACCAGCCATTGTGTACCAGTTGAATTTCTTGTTTGCTCTGTACATTCCTCACTTCTATATAGGTCAGAAACATTTCCCCAGATGCAATCAAAAGCAGAACTCCCTAACTTTGTACTTGGCAGTGGTGTATGACACCTTAATCTCACTTGTGACCCAAACTTAATTTGAGCTGTGGCTTTCTGACTAGAAACCTGTTTCCATACATTATTATTGAGGCGCGTTTGCTTACAAACCCAACTAAACTAACCTGTTCAGGTTGATACAGAGAGCAGTTTTACTTGTGCTGTATTGTATCAATGGGCCAGCTGTCCTAAAGACATAGTGTGGTATTTACTCAGAGTATACCCTTTGAAATGAATGAACATGACTAAGTTAGGCCCATTAATTTCAATGGATCTACTCTAAGCAAGGTCTGTATAGTTAAAGCCATGGTTTTCCCAGTAGTGATGTATGGAAGTGGGAGCTGGACCATAAAGAAGGCTGATCGCTGAAGAATTGATGCATTTGAATTATGGTGCTGGAGGAGACTCTTGAGAGTCCCATGGACTGCAAGAAGATCAAACCTATCCATTCTTAAGGAAATCAGCCCTGAGTGCTCACTGGAAGGACAGATCGTGAAGCTGAGGCTCCAATACTTTGGCCACCTCATGAGAAGAGAAGACTCCCTGGAAAAGACCCTGATGTTGGGAAAGATGGAGGACACAAGGAGAAGGGGAGGACAGAGGACGAGATGGTTGGACAGTGTTCTCGAAGCTACCAGCATGAGTCTGACCAAACTGCAGGAGGCAGTGGAAGATAGGAGTGCCTGGCGTGCTCTGGTCCATGGGGTCACGAAGAGTCGGACACGACTAAACAACAACAACACTCTAAGCAAAACTTAGTCAAACATGACTATTGCTTGCCAGAATTTAACTCTCGAAACAAGGGAATTCAGACTTTTAAAGGTAAAACCTTGGTATATGCAATTAAAAAAAAAACATTTCTATATTGGTCTTTAAGGGTTTGCCATTGAGTGGCTTCACATGGGCTCACTTTCTTAACTACTGGGATTGTAATAATAATAATAATAATAATAATAATAATAATAATAATAATAATAATTTATTATTTATAACCTGCCCATCTGGCTGAGTTTCCCCAGCCACTCTGGGCGGCTCCCAATCAAGTATTAAAAACAATACAGCGTTAAATGTTAAAAACTTCCCTGAACAGGGCTGCCTAGTGTATGAATAATCAAGCTGACACAGTTGTATAGCTTGCAACAGCTGGATATCGACATCTCCTAAATGGAAGTGTTAGTTCACATTGTTATAAGTTGGTGGGTGCAAGACTCCCTAAATTCCGGATCAAGCTATAGTTAGAATATAATTAATGCTTTGGGGAAAGGCAGGGGAGAATTTAATTATGGCTTAGAGTGCTAGAGTTGTGCTACTCCCATGTGTGTATTGGAGCTAAGCCACTGGATGTGTCCACTGGATGTGTCCACAGCTACTTAAGTCAGCACTAGCCTCCTGCATGAGCTGATAGCCCGGGGGGGGGGGGTAAGGATTGATTAGGACACTGAAAAATCCAGGGCAAATCTCATTTGCAAATGAGTGGGCTCCTTACTTCAACTGAGAGTTAGTATAAAAGACAATGCCAGTGTTTATATCAGAGTTTAATTAGGTTAAAGTTTAATTGCAGAAGAGTTTAATTCCAGAGTTGCAATTAGGAGTTTTGCAACAGATATCGTAAGCAGCAGGCTGGAGAGAGTCAGAGATCAGTGGTTGAGAGCAGTGGTTGTGGTCTGCTTAAGTTCAAGGCTGCTGTGTCTATGGGAGAAGCCTCCTGCGGTGTTAATGCTGTGAGCGCCTTTGTTGAAGGCTCAGGTTGTAGATATGTGTAAATAAACCATATATCATAGAGACACTACAGTCTCCGCTGTGCCTCATTTCCCAAATGGAAATGCCTTGATAAAGATGCCTGGAACCCCTGAAATCTCACACAGCTCCGAGATTGGAGTGGCATGTAACAATAGAGTTTGCATCTCCATGCCATTTGGATTAGGTTACCTATCTACTGGCGGACCCAGATGCTCCTGGAGGGCAATTGCAGATTTGTGGATTGAATTGTGTCTATTAATGATGGGACAAATGGACTGAGTTCATTCGTCATCTCATTCATCCTTACAATAATTGTATGAAACAAGTCCTTTTTATTCCTATAGCCAAGGACACTGGGAAATCTGTAGATTTTCTATTTCTGGTCCTTAGTTTTTTCACCAACTGGACAATGACTGCTCAGCTGGAACACTAACAGTTGTCACATTATTGACATTAAAGCTGTATCTTTAAAATGCTTTGTGTGCAAGACGTTCAGGTTCAGTCTCCAGGCAGGACTGGAAAAGCCCTTTGTCTACAACCCTGGAGACTGTTTTGCTGACAATACTGACCAATGTTCTGACTCTGTATAAGGCAGCTTCTTATGCAGCAAGAAGTGAGCATAATCTTGCATTGCTTATTGAGTTTGGCCATTGTTGAGCCTCTGGCAGTGTAACCACCTTTGTACAAGTTGCATCCTACTGTCACCACCCTTCACCTCCCAGGCAATTGCTCTGTAGGTCCTTATGCCCCTGCCCAAACTATGCTCCAGAGTGTTGGGGGAACCTTTGGAATTCCAAAGGTTCCCCCAACACTCTGGAGCATATTTTGGGCAGGGGCATAAGGACCTACAGAGCAGAGGGGGAATTGGCAAAAATTGCCTCTCTCCCTGTCCTATTGACAGAAAACTCCACAGGATTCAAGAGCCCTCTGTCAGCACAAAGGATACCATTAGATACACTGCTGTAACTTTAATCTGTTCTGGAATTTTTCAAGGCTCTAGCTAAAGCTGGATCTCATAAACTGTTACAGCAGATAAAGCTACACTGGAACTAATTTAATATATAGCAGTGGTCTAATATGGTATAAAAGTTTTCATAATAATTAATAGGACAGTCTGACTTTTTGTTGTTTGTAATGATTGTCAATTTGCTGGCACTTTCATATATTATTTGTATTTAATTTGATATGAAGTTATGGAATTCAGATAGAGAAAATGCCTGTAGATTTAACAGGAGTTTTTATGCTGTATTTTTATGTTGTGAACTGCCCTTCATGTATGGGCAGTTTATCAGTGTTCATCAACGTTTCCTTAACATTGCTGCAATTATGACTTGATTCTCTCCTGCCTAGTCAAAAGCTTATCCAAACATCTTAATAAAGCTTTCTAACACTTTGGTGCTTTATACTCTGTTCTGAGCCAAGATAATGAAGCATTGTAAATTTGAGGAAATTGAGCCTGATCCAGATTTCTTTGCATCACCCATTGATATGCAAAAAGGATGTACGTTGGATCTTCATTCCCTACAGAAACAAATACAATTTAAGTACAGTGGTGCCTCAGGTTACATATGCTTCAGGTTACATACGCTTCAGGTTACACACTCTGCTAACCCAGAATAGTGCTTCAGGTTAAGAACTTTGCTTCAGGATGAGAACAGAAATCAGGCTCCGGCAACACAGTGGCAGCAGGAGGTCCCATTAGCTAAAGTGGTGCTTCAGGTTAAGAACAGTTTCAGGTTAAGAACGGACCCCCGGAACGAATTAAGTGCTTAACCCGTGGTACCACTGTACAATGCTAAAATACAGTCATTTGTATTTTACTGACATATAAGTTGCTTTGAGGGTAGGAAAGTTGGGGTAAGCATAATTAAAATAATCAAGATTCACTCCATGTAGACGTTAACCAGTAATCTGCATGTATAAGAATTGCATAACTTATTTTTTTCATTGTGGAGTGTGAACATAAAGTTTGTGTGAAAACTGTGCCCGGTAAATGGACTGCAAAACCCCACATCTTATGTATGTACCTATTCCACATTGATTCCCAATGACTACAATTATCTTGTTGTAACACTGCTTTGAGTATTTTTAAACGATGCAAATTATGTAAAAGAAGCACACAGGCAGCCTTTATTGTCAGAATTTCTTGGTCTTGCTGGACCTTCCAGTGGCTTTTGCTAGTATTGTGATCACAGGATCCTTCTGTCTCAACTGGGTTTTGAACTCTGGTCCTTCTTGGAGAGCCATTCACAAAGAATAGTGCTGGGAGAGTTCAGTTCCACCCCACCGTCTCTGGCTTGTGGGGTGCCTCTGAGTTCCATCTTATTCTCAGTGCTCTTCCAACAGCCTATATGAAACTGCTGAGAAAAGTCAAGCTGAATATTTGGACTGCACTGCCAATCAGCATACTGATGAGACACGGCTCCATCTTTCTTTTCCACCTACAAATTCCAGTGATACTATAGAACTCATGAACAGGTTCCTGGATATAGTTTTAGGATGGATGAAGGAGAACAAGCTGAAACTTATTGCAGATAAAACAGAGGCCCTGTGCTGTGGGAGATCTATCAATGAGGACAGAAGAGGTAAACTCAGTATACCTGAAGGAGCGTCTCCACCTCCCATCGTTCAGCCCGGACGCTGAGGTCCAGCGACGAGAGCCTTCTGGTGGTTCCCTTGCTGCAGTAAGCCAAGTTACTTCTCAGGCAGAGGGCCTTCTCGGTAGTGGCGCCCGCCCTGTGGAACGCCTTCACATCAGATGTCAAGGAAATAAACAACTATCTGACTTTTAGAAGACATCTGAAGGCAGCCCTGTATAGGGAAGTTTTTAATGTTTGATGTTTTATTCTGTTTTTAATGTTCTGTTGAAAGCCGCCCAGAGTGGCTGGGTAGAAATAATAAATTATTAAATTATTATTATTATTATTATTATTATTATTATTTATTACACTGGTCTTAGGTGGGGTTACACAAGGACTAGGTATGGAGCTTGGGAGTGCTCTTGAATCCACTGCTGTCCACCAAGGCACTGATAGCTGCAGTGGCCCAAAATTCATTCTACCACCTCAGGCTGGTAGGGTAGCTGCAGCCCTGTCCAGACTGGCATGGCCTTGGCTTGGTCATTCATGGTCTGGTTACCTCCAAAGCGAACTACAACACTGTGCTTTCTGTGTTGTTGTCTCAGAAGACAACTCTGAAACACCAGCTAGTGCAAAATACAGAGACAGGGTACTAATGAGCTCCAGAAGATCTAAAGTGTTGTATCACTTTTGTGCCATTTTCTATGGCAATCAATACAATTGATTCAAATTCAAAGTGCTATTAACTTTTTAGGCCATCAATGGTTTGGGGCCAGATTATCTAAATGTACCCCTGCAGTTATATGGCTTTTCCCATAGCGTAAGTTCCTCAAGACCACTAACATTCGTGGCTTTGGGTCTGATTGCTTGGTAATTCTGTTTTTTTGTTAACAGGTGGAAGTTGTTCAGCCTCGGCCAGGTTGGGTTGAACTGGATCCAGAAAGACTGTGGACACAATTTGTTGGTGTGGTTAAAGAGGCAGTTCAAGGTAACCATGAAACTCAACATTAGCTGCTCTTCCAAAACCTGTGACCTTATGTGGATGGAGATAGCTTGGCTACAAGTACCCTCGCTCTGGTAACCTATTCCTATTGCAGTGTATCATATGTGACTCTTGTCAATGGCCTGGAAGCTGCCATGGGTCCAAAATTGGGCCACAACACTATTTCCTTGGAAGTTTGTTGATGCTTGTGCTTTGTCTGCATTCCAGACCCAAAGTACAGGGTTTAACCTTTTAACACCCAAAATGGCTCATGACCAGGTTTACCGAAAGATCACTCATCCTATATTAACATTAAGATGGGATATAACATTGAAACCCATTTAATGTGCTTGTATACCCCACGGTGTTTCCGTGTGCGGCTCTGGCTCGCCAGAGCAGCGATGTCACGCTGGCCACGTGACCTGGAAGTGTCTCCGGACAGCACTGGCTCCCGGCCTATAGAGTGAGATGAGCGCACAACCCTAGAGTCTGGCAAGACTGGCCCGTACGGGCAGGGGTACCTTTACCTTTACCTACCCCACATTAGCGGGACGCGGGTGGCGCTGTGGGTTAAAGCCTCAGCGCCTAGGACTTGCCGATTGAAAGGTCGGCGGTTCGAATCCCCGCGGTGGGGTGCGCTCCCGTCGTTCGGTCCCAGCGCCTGCCAACCTAGCAGTTCGAAAGCACCTTCGGGTGCAAGTAGATAAATAGGGACTGCTTACTAGCGGGAAGGTAAACGGCGTTCCGTGTGCTGCGCTGGCTCGCCAGATGCACCTTGTCACGCTGGCCATGTGACCCGGAAGTGTCTGCGGACAGCGCTGGCTCCCGGCCTCTAAAGTGAGATGAGCGCACAATCCTAGAGTCTGGCAAGACTGGCCCGTACGGGCAGGGGTACCTTTACCTTTACCTACCCCACATTGTTACCTTGTGATGCATGCCAGTTAATTTGGACCACATATTGGAGTATCTCAACAAAAATTCTGGGATCACCACCTGGAGGAACTACCGTATTTTTCGCTTTATAAGACACACCTGACCATAAGACGCACCTAGTTTTTAGAGGAGGAAAACAAGAGAAAAAAATATTCTGAATCAAATGTTGTTGAAGAGGCTTTGCGCGGCTATCCCTGAAGCCAGAACAGCAAGAGGGATTTCTGCGCAGCCTGCATTCACTCCATAAGACGCACACACATTTCCCCTTACTTTTTAGGAGGGAAAAAGTGCGTCTTATAGAGAGAAAAATACGGTACTAGAAATTATTATTGTTATTGTTATTATTATTGTTGTTGTTGTTATTATTACATGCCTCACCCATCTGTGCAGCTTCCAGTGCACATAAAAACATAATAAAACGTCAAACATTAAAAACTACCCGATACAGATGTATTCTAAAAGTTGTGTAGTTCTTTATCTCCTTGACATTCCACACAGAGGGCGCCACTGCCGAGAAGGCCCTAATTGAATCCCGCCACTTGGTGATTGCACAACTCACCATCTCCATTTTAGGACCACATGAAGAGGGACTCTGCATGTGTACCAACCTTCCAAGTAAGGGGAGGATCCTAGCCCAATCAGAGTCCACCCTCATGGGAAGTATCTCTGCACATCTACATTGGTGCTTGTGTAGAGCCTCTTTGCATGTATTCTGAATGTGTGGGTGGTGAGGTTGTGGTCACCAGCCACATGGGGAAGTTGTCTGAGCCCTATAAATTGAGTTAAGAGGGAGACATATTCATTGCTTTTAGTAAAGGAACACACTCCCCCTTGAGACTTGCCAAAACTAAGCAACTTTTACTGCTCAAGGCTGGAGAACGTTTAATGTGATGAAATCTTATTCTGCTTTGCTGGAAGCTGTGGTTTTGCACAGCCTTCCTGATCCCTTACTTACAAATATAAATATCTGTGTTCTCTAATGCTCATATAACTTAGTTAGGACATTATGTTACAGGTCCGTGTTACTAAAATTCAAAGCTGTGTGTGCAAAGTATCTCTTCCTACTGCCAAAGAAGCAAGCATTTTTATTTATTTTTTGAAGTTTTGTACATGACTCTCCCCAACACTCTGTATGTTCTTTGAATCACATGTCCAAGACTGTTTCAGTAGCCATATTGTTCAGCTGAATGAACAGCTGGCTTTTGTTTAGTTGCTGAATAAAGTGGAATGAAATTCTTTATGAATGAGTATGGGTGAATAGTTTCTGAGACTAAGACTACGTTACAGCAGTTGTTCCATAAAGTTCACTTCTCAGTGTCTGAATTTTTCTTTTAGCTGCTGGAGTGAAAATGAATCAAATTTCTGCCCTTGGACTCTCGACACAGCGAGGAACTTTCATTACGTGGAACAAGTATGTAGAGTGGTTATGATAGATGTTTGTAACCCTCAAAGACAAGCTTGTAAATGTGTTTGCTTTTAGGTGTGGCTGTAGTTGTGCTGTGAAGCAGAAGTAGCTGCTCCTAAGTGTGTGTATGTATGTGTCTATCTGTCTTTGCATCAAATGTTCCTGCAGGGTTGAGAAGCAAGGAGTCCTTACCCGCCCTTTCATTTTCGGATGACATTTAATTCAAAAGGCAGTTTTAAAAGGTTGACCATCACCTACAGTGATGGTCTGACATTATTCTGTCAGTCAATCTCTTAAAGACATGAGCTGTTTCTAAATATGCTGTCTAATTTGCCACTTATATGCAGATACAGAAGGTGGCAAATTGTAGGTTCCTCCCCCTCAAAAAAAAAACAACAAGAGCAGGTAGCCTTGGGCTTGTAGCAGGGTGAATGTTGTGGTTGAGAGAAAGCACCTCAGCCAACCTAAAGGTGACTATTAGGACATCTTTGCTGTATTCTACACAGTCTCTCACTTGCTGGGCTCTGTGGAACTTCTGCCTGATGGGAATTGATGGGAGCAAAGTACAGTGCTGCTTCCTGGTTGCTCTTAAAATGTGACATCAACCACCTCAAAATGTTTTCACCAGATAGGCTTTTTTGCTTGGAATACAAAAATAAGGAGGAAGAAAGGGCAGGGACTTCTGTTCTGTGTGCCCAACTTCTTCTTACTAGCCATACAGTTTGAGTATGGTAACACTGCTCTGTCAGAAGGGGTATAGCAATAGGTGTATTCAGTCTTTTAAACTGTAAAGTGAGTAAATCTTGCAGAAGTCTGATTATGTTCCAGGGACATAGTGTGCATTGCTTCAGAGACTTAAAAAATTAAGCTGACTTGGATGGTTTTGAAAAGAGGTTAAATTTCTTTAGAGCAAATAAAGCTTCTGATTCTCTGTGATCAAATAAGTAGCTTAAACTTCTTATTCTCTATGCATGTAAGCACAACACAGCATACAGCATTAAAGCTCTTTTTTTAAAAATGAGATTTATGGGGGGAGAGGGGTTTGTTTGTGCTTTTTCGTTCTTGTTTTTATTAGGTATTTTATTACGTGTTTTGTGTTTAAACCTGTGTTTTTATGTTGTGAGCTGTCCTGAGATCTACGGCTGAAGGGCAGTGTACAAATATAATGAATTTAAAAATATAATAATAAATAAATGTGTAGAAAATATTGAATTTAGGATTGTGCTACTAAAACCAGGTGGGGTTAAATAATGTTACCTCTTAGGTCATAGAGCCATTTTGATTTCAGGTGAATTAGCGGTGTTGCACACATACCCCTCTCCCAAAATGTGCACCCTCAAAATGTACACCAGAGTGGATTTTGATTGTGCACAGTGGGCTGCAGGGAAAAGTTCCATGGCACAAGTGAACTTTGTTGCACTAGTGGAACAGTAGCCCTGGTCATGAACCAAAGAGTTTCTGCATTCAGGCATGCCATCTCCCACTTGCAGTTTGAAGTTATTTATTGCTGGTTTGCAACATGAGTCAGTTGCTTATGTTTCTCCTTCTGGAAATGAGCCAAGAGTGAGCAAAATTTAGTAAGTGTCATTCACCACCATGCCTAATCATTGCCCAGCCATGAACTACCTGGCTGGCCTTCAAACAAACTGTTATATCTGCATCAGCTCTTTTGCCACCATCACATTGACCCAATCCAGAATCAGTAGTATGGGGATAATTGGACTGGTCTAGCTTGCACTTTGTGCATTGAGTACTTTTCATAAAGTTGGTGATCTCTTCCGCCTTTTTCAGGAAGACAGGAAAACCTTTTCATAACTTCATAAGCTGGCAAGATTTGAGAGCTGCTGAACTTGTAAAGTCCTGGAACAGATCTCTTACAATGAAGGTGAGGTAGCATTGATACCTTTACTAAAATACAGAGGAGTAGGTATGAAGGTGTACCCTGACTTCAAAGCACCAAGAGCAGGCATAGGCAAACTTGGCCCTTCAGATGTTTTGGGTCTACAACTCCCATTATCCCTAGCTAACAGGACCAGTGGTCAGGGATGATGGGAATTGTAGTCCCAAAACATCTGGAGGGCCAAGTTTGCCTATGCCTGACCAAGGTGAGGTGAGGCACTACTTTGACCAGGGAAGAAGTGGGATGGGGGTTTCTTCTTATTGAAATTGAAAGCCCCTCTATTCCTCAACCCCTAAATATGGAGCAAATAACAGAAGAAGAGAAGAAGAGCTTGGATTTGATATCCCGCCTTTCACTCCCCTTCAGGAGTCTCAAAGCGGCTAACATTCTCCTTTCCCTTCCTCCCCCACAACAAACACTCTGTGAGGTGAGTGGGGCTGAGAGACTTCAAAGAAGTGTGACTGGCCCAAGGTCACCCAGCAGCTGCATGTGGAGGAGCGGAGACGCGAACCCGGTTCCCCAGATTACGAGACTACCGCTCTTAACCACTACACCACACTGGCTCTCAGCTTGAAGGAGCTAATCATCTCTTCTCTCCCACCCATCAAGGAGTTGCATTCAGCGATTATTCACCAGCTCTGAAAGGAAGGGGATTAAATTGAAGGTGGCCAAAGTGTTGGCCAAAGGAGTTCCTGGCTGCATTCTCCCCAATTACTCTGTGTTAGCCAGGACTAGTGGAAATTGAAGTCCAGCAACATCAGGACAGCACCACGTTTTCTACCTCTGGGTTAAATTACTCAGCTGTTCCATTCAGACTCGGGCTTGGTCTGCATGTGTAGCGGTATGAAATTGTAGAGTGCCAAGGTGGAAGAATGATTTGTGACACTTCAAAATTCAGGTTGCTGCCCTATTTTTTTTTTAAAAAAGAAAATCTTAATGCAAAGGATAAACCAGCAAAGCTGGTATTAGATTTTTGTTTACATGAAGATTTTTTTAAAAAACAAGGGTACTTTGAAACATGCAATTCCCCACCTGCAGTGGAACAGGTAGTTTTACCCCATGATTTCTTCTCATTCTCCAACATGCATAGACCACCTCTCAAAATGGCTGCCAGAGGTCCTACCCCTCACCTGGGAACTGGCCAACCAAGTTGGTTTCTCATTGAGCAGTATGGGATTGCTAGTCCAACCAGTTACTGAACAGGCTAACTTCATTGGGTCTCGCATGGTACAGAATATTGGACTAGTTCCTATAACCTCCCAGCAGTTTCTTTGAAAGTTGTCCCCTCACTCTTTCATATATAAAAATCTTATCAGTTCTATTTTTCTAGAAAAATACATGCCGGAACTCACCGTGAATGCTTCTCTTGTTCTCTTATAATGGCAATGGTGCCCACATGAGAGGTGCCTGAGTTCCGGTGAGTTCCGGCTGGAAAAAAGGCCCTGCTTCTATATATACATTATCTTCACTTGAATTGCTCTGTTCATAGATTGTGTGTATGGGTAATTTCACCCAAACCCTCCCAAATGAAGTTTTGATAGAAGCCCTATAGGAGAGAATACCAAGTATTTATCCAATCTTTCTCTCTCTCTCTCTCTCTCTCTCTCTCTCTCTCTCTCTCTTTCTTCCTTCCTTCCTTCCTTCCTTCCTTCCTTCCTTCCTTCCTTCCTTCTTTTTTTTTGGAACAGGCAGTGCATGCTGTTTGTTCCTTCTTTCACTTTTTCACTCGGAGCGATCGCTTTCTGTTAGCGAGTTGCCAAACGTTCACAACACAGCATGTCTCTTTAAGACTGGCTTGGATTTTGCAACATCTACAGGAGGTAAGCCTTGTCTTACTATTCTCTGTAATGAGCTTTGTACGGGCTGGCTCTTTATTCCGGCAGAGGAACCTCTTTCAGGATGGTAGTCATAATAGTGCAATGTGTATTATATGCTAAATTTCATTAGAAAATGTCAACTGCTTGTTTTTATTTATTTATTTCACTCCCATTTATATACCACCTTTCCACCAAAGCTCCTCAGGCTGTTTATTATTAGTGTAGCAATTAGAGTGTTGGACCTAGGACCTGGGAGGCAATTGCACCTGCTTGTTGTTTTTTAAGAAAGAAAGAAAGAATGAATACCCAGAAAAGACTTTTGAGCAGTAAACTGGTTTGATAGATAATCCACAACCTTCTAAAGGGGATAGTTGGGAAACTTGTTCCTTTGGTTTGCCTAACACTAGATAACATAATGTTACTTAGCTCAATTTTGATTTTATTATATTTTATTTTAACTTAACGCTGAAGTGTGTTATACTTGCCATCTTGAAATAAAACACGGTTGGTGTGTGTTTGCTTTCAGGTAGAACAAGCAAGTAAAGATGACAATTGCTGTTTTGGAACCATTGACACATGGCTACTATATAAACTGACCAAAGGTGAGAAGGATGATTAAACAGATAGAAAGCACATGGTTTCTTGCAAAGAAGTAGATGGATCCAAAGGTTGTGCAAGTGGGCTCTGCTCATACACAATTTCTCTGCCAAATACTGAATGAATTCCCCCTCCCATTGCAACCCATCTGTGACATAACCCATGCTGTTTAAGAGGATCCTCCATCCCTTTGGAGAAGCTTTTCATTGGTGTCTAGGATGAGGGGACAAGAAATATATTTTACACAAGCAGCAGCCTTCCACTCATGCAACATTTGGATCGAAACCAATATATGTACACTCTGGAAAGGAACAATGTAAAGATTCCTCTGCTGAGGCAGCTCTAATTCTGCCCTGTGGAAAGCTTAAATTCTGTAATCTCACATTATCTTTGCTGCCTCATCCCTCAGTTTTCCTGAATTTTCCTTTTCTGAAAGTTTGCCTTACTGAATCTTGTTTCTTCCACTGTCCTGGTCCTCTGTGGAAACATAATTACTTCCTCCAGACCTATATTGTGCTTCTAAATAAGGTCCGAACTAGAAATGATGGCAGCAGATATGTTTGTTTAATCCCATCTGCTGTGCTTACATGTAAAGGGGGGGGTCACATCAAAGGGATATTGGGTGAGGGGAGCTGAACGCTCTTGTTCTTGACCTCCATAATCCATATCCCTAACATGTTTCTCTCAGCCTTGTCACATTCGTCACTGGAACTTGGCAGTGGAGAAATGTTCAGGTGAGGTACTCCTCTCCTTCTAATTTCTTTCAACATGTCTCTGCCCCAATTCATTGATCTCTCAGTCTCCTTTACTCAAGTAACTTGTCTCTTCTCTCTGCATGGATGTGGACCCCCCAGCTCTCCAATTCCTGTCCTGCCGTTTGTTATTGTGAAATGGAGGAGGCAGCTGTTTCCTTAGCCAAGAATGGTTTCCTGGTTTAGCAGGTGGGAAGAAGAGAGGACAGGTTTTTGTGTGTGTAGGGCAGGGGTCTGAAGGTGCAGCATCACCCCTCGGTACTTTTTCTCTCCCTCAGCCCAACCACCACTTTTGTCTCTCTCCTTCCCATTCTTTGTTCTCCTTCCCACACATTTACGTTAGCTGCTCTCTGCATCCATTTCCTCTCCTGTGCCTTTCCTCCCCTCCAACTTCCGAATGCTGCAGCCTCACTTTCTCCTCAGCTGTGTTGTGCATGTGGGGAGCTGCTACTGCTGCTACGGCCGGAGGTGGGGTAAACAAATTGTTATGTACTGAAGTTCTCACCCTGGGCTAGCAGAGGGATACTGTAGATAGTTATGCAAATAAGGGATTGAAAGTGACGTTCAGTGATTGGATAGTTTTAGAAAATTGTTACAGTTACATTGTACTGGAGCTCTATATAAGCAGGCTGACTGAACCCTTCAGTTCAGTTCAGTCCTGTCCTGGCCTGTGAATAAACAAGAGCTGTTTGAAGAATCGCTGTGTCATCTGATATGTTCACCCACAACTTAACACAAATGGTGGTAGTACTAGTAGTACGTTACTTTGAATGAACTGCCCGGTCTTGTATCGGAGAAAAATTGGAAAGGATATCCTCTTAGAAGAAGACAACCATAAACAAATGCTTGTCTGCAATAATGTGTTTGTACTTTTCAAGTGAGGTGCTGAGCAGGACTCAGACCTCCAACATTAAGTTCCCGCATCTTCACTGTAATCTTTTTGTGTTTTTGAGCATTCACTAGTATCGGTTCCTTTTAATCCCCAGGTGCGGTGTATGCTACAGACTACTCAAATGCCAGTACAACCGCAATGTTTGATCCCTTCAAGGTATGACTAATTCTCTCTGCAAAGCTGCTTCAATGTTTACTCTGTATTGCTTTTAACTCCCCCTTTTTCATATGCATGTGATTTCAGCTGCAGTGGAGTGCGTTCATTAGCAAGTTTCTTTCCATTCCAGTATCAATTTTCCCCCCAGTGGAGGACACAAGGTTAGTCTAATAAATAACGCCCCCCTCTCTGATTTAGTATAGAAGTGGCACACTTTTCACACTTCTGGAATATTTATTTTTTGTTCACTCATTATAGTTTTGATATGAGGGCAATAACCTTTAATGTCTTATTTTTATTTTAAGTCATAAATTTGGAACAATTGATGCTGAGATATTTGGAGTGCCTATTGCAATAGCAGCTTTGGTAAGTAAAAAACCCTTTTTCCCCTTTTCCCTTAGAAATATGTTTAGATCCAGTTGGGTACTAGTCAAGTATATTAGTCCTAGTAGAAGTCTCCAGAGAGAACTTTCAAAGTGCAGGCCAGTCTGTGGTGTTTCTGCTACGTCTGGCTGAAATTGCCTATTTTGAAGTTCTTAAAATGAGTGCCAGTTCCTTGGAGTGTGGCACGCCACTTCTGTGCAGTACTTTGTTATCTAATAAACAAATTCAGTTCAAGAAATAGTTCAGTATTGTATGTGACGAATCTTAAAAGCAGCAACTTCCTTCTACGTCAATTATTGTCTTCTGTGTTTACTTTCTCTTTCTCCTACAAAACATGCTTTTCCTAGCCAGAGGGCATGCTTTTTCAGTAGCCATGCACTTGCCTTTTGAAGCTTTCGCTTTGTTAGAGTGAACTAAATTCTAATATAACATGGTTGAGGGAACCTTCATATCCCTTCAACCTAATGGGTTCTATTCAACACTGTTAGGGGCATTCTGGGAAATTGAAAAGCTGGCTAGATCCTGCCACCTAGTGCTGCTTAGAGAGCCAGGCAAGAAAACAAATTTAAAGGGATCCAGGGCAAAGATTTGTAGTAAGGTCCAGGCAGTTTTCCTAGTATGTTGATTGCTGACGCTGACTCTGGTCATGCTGAAGTATTGGACATAAATGTGGCAACATTTCGCCTGTTTAAAATTTTAGCTGGATAATGAACCCAAAATAGTATGCAAATCCAATGCCACATGCGGTTTGAGCCACTTTCAGTCAGTGTAGACAATATTGAACTAGATGAAGCAAGGCTTTGCCTTGACATTAGGCAGTTTCCTATGTTTCTGTCCAATTTCTATTCCTATTCCTACTCCTATTCCTGTTATTTCCCCCCCTTCCTTCCAAAAAAAGAAAGTGCATACACTAACACAGAAAAATAATTACCTTGACAACCTGATTTGTTTGTTTGTTTGATTTTTTTGTACTGAAGGTGGCAGACCAACAGGCAGCCATGTTTGGAGAGTGTTGTTTTGAAAGAGGTGATAGTAAGGTCACCATGGGGACTGGTACGTTTTGGGATGTTAACACTGGAAGCAAAATTCACGTATCTACAAAAGGTAACGCCTATATGTTTGCATTCTGAAAACGGCTGACAACAAACACTTTATTTAAATATTTATATACTGCTATCTTGTAAAAAAAAAAATCAAACCAGTTTACAATAGCAACTATATATAAAAAGATAATTAAAACAAAAAAGAAAAACTAGAGATGACCCACCAACCAAAATGGAAAGATATTGCCTGCATAAGCCTGGAAAAACAATAATTTTAGACACAGTCATTTTCAGCATGGAATGTTACTTTTATTTTGTAATGAGGTTCTAAGGCAACTAAGGCTTGAATCCTGAGCTAGATTAACTTGAGGCTGTTCATGGAAGAAAGGATTCCTGTCCCCTCCTATCCACGTCAGTTACCTGCCACCCTGCAAAAAACCTCACTGGAGGGTCGGTGAGCCCTTCTGAATAACGGGGGAGGAGGTGGAAGCTACTTTGTGGATGGAAGCCATAGATATTAATAAGAAAATATGTAGTTTTTCAAGATACTCCCTTAGTGTGGCCAACATCTGTCACATGTTCAAATCATTATCCCTTTGTGAGAGAATCTACAAGGAGCAGCTGCTACTAATAATGCTTACCAGTATTTGGAATAGAGCTTCACAGATTCATTCATTCATTCATTGCCTACCCAGCCTTCTAGGGCAAGCCCTCACCAGGTGGCTTACAATAAAAATGTTAAAACAATTGAAAAATAACAATAGAAACAGCATAAAGTAAAATCATATAGATTGATCAGTCAGGCAAACTTCCACCATCCATAATATTTTTTGTGCTGGGTGCTAGGCTGTGTTAGACAGCAGTAGGAAGGTGGAAGGGCCAAGTGCAGCCCTCTTCGGGCTCCAAAAATAACATACTATGTCCCACTTTCAGTCTTTTTTACAAAGCAGTTCACAAATCAGTAAATATGCTTCTACTTTAGTAACTAGCTCTAAGACCTGATGGCTTCTAATAGTAGTTCTAGGGATTGTAGACAGTGCTCCTTGATACAGTCATTATGATGGCTTTTGGCATGCCTCTTTTTTTTTAAAAAAAGAGAGAAATATATATGTGGGCAGTTAAGAAAAATGAAAAAAACAAAACCCAGAAGTAGGCAGTTCCACCAGGAACAAACTGTTAGTCATACCTGGAATAGCATTTTGGATGTCAGATACTATTTGTGTATGTTATTGGGTTCTTTCAAGAGTTCCAAAGTCAACAAGGGCCTGTGACTGATTGATATTATGCATTGTATACATGTAATAAAATACTGCTTATGTTAGAAAAGTGAATGTGGTATAGTGGTTAGGATGCGTAATAAACTCATGTCTTTCAACTTTAAGGCTTGTATCCAGTGGTTGGTTGGAAGATTGGGAAAGAGGTGATCTTCTTAACTGAAGGAAATGCTTCTGATACTGGGAATTCTATTAGATGGGCCCAAAGTGTAGGTGAGTAGCATGAATTAACTCTTTGAGCCTGAAATAATGTAGGATGCAAAGCACAATCTTAGGACTATGTTTCTAGTTTTCAAATGTAGGGGTGAGATTTATTGTGTATTTCTTTAAGGGAGCTGAAGAATTTTCAGGTTTTTCACTTAGTGACCTTTTCTCAGTATTCTGTACAGGCATCACTATAGTTCAATGGGACACTCCTGCCAGGCAGAAGAAACACTCAAGGAGGCTGCCTAGCAGAGCCAGAAAGGGGTGTTGGCTCCAGAGGGGGCATGACTTGGAGAGAATCTTGCAGGCCAGATTGAGAGACCTAGTGGACTGCTTTTGGAACCCGGGCCCGAGGTTCTCCACCCCGTTCTAAAAACGTTTACTAGAGAGTGAGCATCATGTGCACAACAAGACTTGCATCTGAATAAGCATACATAGGTTTGTGCTGGAAGTGAGCAAAAGGGGAGGACAAGATACAGGGTCAGTCTCAGTGTGGCTGAAGATCTGCCATAGCCCAGCCACCCCCCACCCCCCAGTAGGAAGTCCCTCGAGATCCTCATGATGCTGATGCACTGCTACTTCTCCTTCTTGTTGTCACTGCTCTCTCTTTCTGCATGTAAGCAGTGATAACGGAGTGAACAGCATCTTCTGCTTGACTTGCATTATCTCTCCAGAGGCTCTATGGCAGGCATAGGGAAACTCGGCCCTCCAGATGCAACTCCCATCATCCCTAGCTAACAGGACCAGTGGTCAGGGATGATGGGAGTTGTAGTCCCAAAACATCTGGAGGGCTGAGTTTGCCTATGCATGATCTATGGAATGGGCATGGAGGGAGAAGGCAAGCAAACTAGTAGGGGTGAGAATGGCAAGAAGGAGGTGGGCTCAAGGACCACACAAAACCTGGAGCCAGCAGTGGCAGGATACCAAGAGATAATATTAACTGAGCTGCCAGTTGCAGGGACTACTACCCGTTGTAGTAAAGAGTGCTCAATAAATATTTTTCTTTTTTTAATGCAAAGTGTAAACCTTTGATTTTAGTCGAAAGGGGAAATCTTCAAAAGTTTGGGAAATATTAACCTTCCTATTGTGTGTATTTTTACAGGTCTTTTTACCAATCCTGAAGAAACATCAAAAATAGCCCAGAGTCTAGTAAATTCAGGAGGAGTTTGTTTTGTTCCATCTTTCAGTGGATTGCAGGTAAAATGACTTGATTGATTTGCTGAAGTGACGTTGGCTTCCAAAATATATGTGATCATAAAAAAGAAATACATTTCATTCAGCCTTCATAGTTTCCACTTTTCATTGGTTGTAAAATTATCTTGCCAACAATGGCGCACTGCTTATTGCTCTTAATTTCCTTCTTCTTACTATGCTGCCTCTTTATTGTCATTTGTAAGTTATTTTTTTCCTTATAATTTCAGTCCATTCTTAGACATCTGCCATCAGAACAAATTCCTGCATATCTTATGTTCATATCTTTTTATTTTAGATCCCAATGAATGACCCTTTTGCATGTACTTCTTTTATGGGGATCACATCTTCCACCACCAAAAAACATCTTGTTCGAGCTGTGTTGGAATCTATAGCATTCAGGTACTAAGCCAGCGTATCAATTAAATCTCCAACACATGCTTTTGCGCTATTATTTGATTATACACATTCCATCACTCTGTGCTGCTCTGAGTTCTGACATGCCTGGTTCCTACAGAGTTCACAGGGTTACAGAAAAATTATACCAGGGTCTGTGGGCCACACTCCAGTTTCCACAAAATGTTGTGGATCTCTACTTACATGCTTTCAGCTCAAAGCAGCTCACTCTCTTGCAAACCAAGGCAGGGAAAAACCCCTCTCAACCATATAAAGCAGACAGTTATTCTTTGTGCAGTATTTCCCATTCCAGTGTCATATAACTGATAGAACCTGTCTGAAAACAGTGTCCCTTCCACTTTGCTGCCTAATCTTTAAATTCAAACCGAGCAGGGAGAATGTCAATTATAGGCTGCCTTCACTATGGAAAAGAAAATTAAAGGCTGGCAAATACCAAAAGTTACCACTGTTCTTGCTAACGTTTTAACATTGATGTAAAAGTAAATGATTCAATATTTTGGTTGCTCAGAAGCTTAAAATAAGTATTTGCTCTCTGCTCCTATGGTAACTAGTGTGCCTTGTCAAATATTATTATTCTCAATTGTGACCTTCTTCCGTCCTGCTGCTGTAGTGGATAGAGGTCATACACCAGTAGTAACTGGGAAATCATACCCTGCTCTGTGTAGACTAGACTGATTCTGGGCAGTGTTAGGGACATTACTGCTGTACGAGGGGTTGTTGGTGTGGCACTCACTGGTGCCATTCCGCCTGCTGCTATCTCCTACGACAGAACATCTCAGTCAATATACTTTCAGTGGGTGCTAGGAGTGAGTACCCACCCTCCCTTCTGTTCTGAACAGCAGAGAGATGCAGAACATTTCACTCCACAAGTGAGTACAGCATTTGGCTGATGTAGGTGCCTTGTCCCCACTTTTTGGGAGGTGGGGGGATGCCACATTACAGATGTGGCAGACATGATGCCCCACAGCAACCATTTTGTGCTACATCACGCCCTGCAACAGCCCTTATGTGACCACCACCCACATCACTTTCTCAAAATTCCAGATGTGCTTACTGACTCTAAAAGGTTGGTGCCTCCTTGCCCAGAGGCTTTGAAATGCTTTCCTCATTGGGGTTAGGAGCTCTTCATCACAGTTTAATTTCCACAAGCGATGCAAAACTTTTTAACTGATTTGGTAGCTTGCCCGTTGATTCTTAGTAAGCCTATAATGTTGTTCTGCTCTTTGTGGGTTTGTTGAATATGCCGTTTTACTGTCTAATTTACTTCAGCCTTTGAGAAAGGTAGCCTAAAATGTTCTCATGTAATAAAGATGGGAAACATGAAGAGCTGTACAGCTCCAGGTTATTTTAAAATAGCTCACTTGAAGCCCATTATGAAAACTTATGAATTACAGTATTTCACTAGTTTTGAACTGTGGTTTCTTGTAACTGAATACTGAGCTTCTGAAGTTCATGTTACTTTTGTATAAATGCTTTAATTTCTATTGAATCTCTTTTGCAAGAAACAAACAGCTTTATGATACCATCGCAAGAGAAATGGACATCCCACTTACGTCCATTCGGTATGTTCATTTTATCTCTTACAATGTCTGTGTAAATTTTTCTTTTATGTGGAACCATCCATTGATTTAAGATGCCAGATAGATAGCAAAACCTCCCAGCTGCCTTTATGTTGTTGAAAACGCTAGTGAGCAGCCTTGTGACATAATGTTTTGGAAAATTGTAGATTTCCGATTTACATTACAGAAGTGTAGAATGTTGTTAGTCTGACGGTCCTTTTCATGGGCAAAAGATCTAAAATTGTATGGCGAATCTTTTTCAGTCTGAGGATCATATTTCTTCATGGGAAACCTCCCAGAGGTGATGTTCCTTCCATAACAGGCGGAGCCTCTTCCAAATATGTGCAGGGACAGAGCCATCCCATGTTCTTCCTCACAATACACACTCGCCATCTGTTCATTCATTTCCCTCTCCCATGTTTATCTCCCCAGCTGCCTCCATTCCTCATCCAGTACAGCACTTAGGCTTACAAAAATCTCCCATTGTTGTCCATGAAAACTTTTTTTAAAAAACCCAATTACAGCCTTTAAAATATTTGTTTGGTTGAGGCTCCTGTTTCCTTCTGTAGAGCAAAGACACTTGGCACGACTGAGGGTGGTCTGGCTACATAAACAGCATATAATCTAAATCAGACAGAATTTCCAGAATCCAAGCATTCAATGAATATGCCTTTTTCCTTCTCCCCGCCCCCTCTCTCTCACAGAGCTGATGGAGGTGTCAGTAAAAATAATTTTATAATGCAGATGACGTCTGATCTGATTAACAAAACAATAAACAAGTCTGTTTGTACAGATATGTCTTGCCTTGGAGCAGCTTTTCTAGCTGGCCTTGCTGTAGGTATGTAGTATTCTGAAAAGTTGTTTTCCTTTTGCTCTTTCTCCATGTTTTCCATATCATAACTGATTTCCGGATTGCAAACATCACCAAGGTTTTGCCTCTAAATATTCCCAGAAGTTCATGTTCCTTATTTTTTCACCTGAATACAAACTATCTTATTGTGCTGCTACCTGCATAAATATACTCTAATTTGGATAGCAACTAAACACTGCAGATTCCACTGTCAGAACACCTTTTCTTACCAGACACTCCGGAGTGGGAGGTTATCAAAGAAACCACATGCAGGCATGTGAGATTTAAGTATGGGGATACACACGTGTACCTGATGTATTGTTTCATAAAGAAATGAAGTTAGTTTAAAGTAACATCGTTCATAACATAAGGCTAGACTTACGTTATGTCTTATGACAATAAAGATATTATTATTATTATTATTATTATTATTATTATTATGTCTTGGGTTAGAGTCACCCAGTCATCTTGACCTCATCTTGAGAGATAAGTGTTGCGGGAGGGCGGTATACTTTATGGTTTCATGAAAAGCTGGACATGGTGGAGGGGAGAATCTAAAAACAGAAGCCTACCATTCAGTTAAGCAGGACACAATGACTACCGGCCATGATAGCTATTTTCCACAGCAATGCTTTCTCAATGCCAACTGCTGGAAAGCACAGGAGGGAGAGTGCTCTTGCGCTCGGATCCTACTTGCCGGTTTCCCCACAGACATCACAGGACTAGATGGGTCACTGGCCTAATTCAGCAGGTTCTTTCAACACCTTTAGGTTGATAAGGGGGAGAAATTAAACACTATGACACCAATAAAATGCTTTGGCTCCAGTCCTATCTCCAAGGGTGGTTCCAGAGGACAGTATGACTTCTGCTCAGCCCTGGGGGAATTACCGTATTTTTTGCTCTATAAGACTCACTTTTTCCCTCCTAAAAAGTAAGGGGAAATGTGTGTGCATCTTATGGAGTGAATGCAGGCTGCGCAGCTATCCCAGAAGTCAGAACAGCAAGAGGGATTGCTGCTTTCACTGCACAGTGATCCCTCTTGCTGTTCTGGCTTCTGAGATTCAGAATATTTTTTTTCTTGTTTTCCTCCTCCAAAAACTAGGTGCGTCTTGTGGTCTGGTGCGTCTTATAGAGCGAAAAATACGGTATCTTGCAGGAGCCTGCAGGGTTCAATCTTGTCACCCATGCTATTCAACATCTATTTGAAGCCAGGATCTAGTGGGACCCAGCTTTATCTTTCTGTTCTGTCAGTACCGGAAGGGGTTGTGCTGGTCCTAAAGCAATGTCTGGAAGTGATAATGGGCTGGATGTGTGCCAATAAATGAAAGAGAGGTGAATATGTTGGTTCCTGAGTACGGGGGTTGTGAGAACAGCCCTGTCCTTGATGGAGTTGCGTTCCCCTTGAAGGAGCACCTGCATAGTTTGGGGGTGCTCCTTGAACCATTATTGTCACTCTCCCCACTTGTGATTCCAAGCACTTAATATCCAGAGGCATACTGCTCATAGCCATTGTGGCTAGTAGCCAAAGATCTCCTTATCCTCTATAAATTTGTTTAATCCTCTTTTAAAGCCATCCAAATTGGTGGCCATCACTACATCCCATGGGAGTTAATTCCAGCTGTGCACTGTGTAAAAGAAGCATGTGATTTTGTCTGTCTGAAATCTCCCAGCATTCAGCTTCCTTGGGTGGCCCCATGATATGGTATGACGAATTCCAGATGCAACATTTATGTTTTTCAGCTTGGGAGTGATTTTTTGTTTTGTTTTGTTACGTTTGTTTCTAGGATTCTGGAAGGACAAAGAGCAACTGAAACAGCTGAGGCAAACTGACATAGTTTTTAAGCCTCAAAAGGAGCCGGAGGAATACGAACCAGCCATGAGCAACTGGGTGAAAGCTGGTCAACGTTCTCTCAGTTGGTACAGCCAGACATCATAGAAACGGGGTTATTGCAAAATGTTAAATTAATATTTTAGATTATATTTATAGGACAATGCAAACACAACTGCAGTTCTGTTTTAGAGTTCATTTCTGCTTCTTCCGTGAGGTTAATTAAAACATACCAGCTGCCCCTCTGGAAGTAGCCACCTTCAAGAGACTGAATGCCAAAGTTCCCAAGGGGCGACTTCCTGTAATAGGCAACTAAATGTGATGACAAAGATACCTGAATGCAAAAGTCCTAGCTGGTTTTTTTGTTCTTACATTACTGTTGATGTTTTACCTTAACGCAAGAAGCTTCTATGATAAGTGGAAAGTAGCAAAAAGCACCTTGTTCTTCCAGACTTGTGATTTCATCCATGTATCCTGATCTGCAACCTAGCACAGAATGTGGCTGCTTGCCCACTGAGAGTTGCCTCGCAGTAAGAGGCACTGAGACAACTAAGCTGATTGACCTCTGCTTTCAGCGATGATCTTCACTTCTTTATCTGTCTGAAATTAAAGCCTGGCCACCTGGGAGAGATCAGCTGAATTGCCAGATGATGTTGGAAATCAGTTAGCAATCCCCATGGTATATAGGTGAGGAAAGGTTTAGGAATCCCTGTGGCCAAAGGTAGTGATCCATTGCTGCTAATGCAGATTCTTGGGAATCCAGAGAGCCCCAGCCTTTAATTTTTTTTAATCCTATTTAGCTGCTGCATTTAACCAATTACAGTTGATGTTTCCAAGTCCAGAGTAGGTCAGGATTGTCTTCTGCTCTTTTTGGAAGGAATATGTCACCACAACTAGATCTCCCCTCACCCAGTTTAATTTCCCCTTGTGTTCATCTGTTTTACTTGCATTGTTTCAAACTCTAGCACAATGATTGATTTCTATCCGCAAATACAACCTGAATATAAAATAGATAAGGTAGAGCGTATGTGAAATTGTGCTTGTGCATCTAATGTCTTTGTCAGCAGCATTTAAGCCCAAGCCCAGTTTCAGAGAAAGCAAACCCACCAAGGGGGTTTTAAATAGAGTACAAGGAGTTATTCAAAGGGGAAATTGCAGTCTACTTCCAGGTACAATAAATTCATGCAATAATTGTATAGTTGTTGTGTGTAATGCAGAAGTCTTTGCACTGGCTACCCGCTTCTTGTTACCGGGAAATTGCACCCATACTTCATCATTGTGTCACTGGGAAAGCATTTTTCTTCCAGCTAGAATATGTATATATTTTTTGCAGATCAACCCTGTATAAAATTGTGGCCAAAGAGTTATGGATATCTATTGACTAGTGACAAGTCTCATGCAATTTTATGTACTCTCTAAAAACATAGGAAGTTGTCTTTCATTGAGTCAGACCATTTGCCCATCTAGCTCAGCACTGCCTACCATGGCAGGCAATGCCTCTGCAGGGTTTCAGACAGGATCCTTTCCAAGTTCCAGCTGGGAATGTTGCAGATTGAACCTGGGACATTTTGCAGTGAAAGCAGATGCCCCTGCCATTGAGTGATGGCCCTTCTAAAGTGCTTCTGTTTGGTTTTTATTTTGGGGTGGTGGTAAAATAGGCTTTATAGCAAAGTGAAACAGATCTCTGGCAGAGTTCTCTCTAGGGCCAGGAAAATGAGTTGGAAGGCCATCCCCAAGAGTCATCTAGTCCAATCCCTTACAATGCAGGAATCTCAACGACAGCATCCATGACAGATTTGGGCACCTGAGCCATACAACAGAATGGCATCCCCCACCTCTCCACCAGGGAAGAAAGAGTGAGTGAAGATCTACATCAGGAACAATGGCGGGGGAAATAAAGCTACACATCAGGACCTGCTGCCCCTAGGGATCCTGCCGCCTGAGGCGGTCACCTCACCTTGCCTCATGGGTGGGCTGGCACTAGCTTTCAGGTGTGCAAAGGGGATCTCCAAGCTCAGTACACTCTCCATAAAGCAGTACTTACACATATTCCATCCAGGTAGGCTGGGCTGCCAGACTGATGCCACTTTGATTCTGAAAGTGAACTATCCTTTTCATCACTCTCAAGAACTTTTCCTTTCTTTCACCTCCTACCCAAGCCTTCCCATCCCTTAGGACACGCACAACATAACTTTGAATGCGAGGAGAGCACTCTGATCTTCAAAGGCATTCAGACAAATAAACACTCTTATGTCCTTCCACACCTACCATACAAATTAAAAGCACATGATCCATGCTAGTTCTGCGCAATAGTGACCAACTTTGCATCCTAGTGAGAATTGTTAGGGAAGAATTCTGGTTTTTCCTGCCATTTGTCACCATGCAATGGTCTTAAGTGCCTGAATGAGAATGGGGTTCAAACTGGAAATTTTCTGTGACAATCTGTACTAATTATTTTTATCTGCCCAGAGCCAAGGCATCTTGTGAACTGTGTTGTGTATTTGTAAAAGGTTTTATTTTTATATTGGTCAGTTACAGGTGTGCACTTGTTCCTTATTATGGACTATTGTACATGGGTTAACATGACTTTGTGTATGTGTCTATACACATTTGAGAAACCCAGACTATGCAATATGTGTGCACAAGAACTGAAGGTTTATGGAATATTTCTTCATATTGTAGGCCAGTTCTATGGCAGAATGTTTACTTATAAACTGTTACTCAGCTGACTGTCTCTACCTTGCAGAGATACTAATAAGATTTCTAATTCATTAATAAAATCTTATTGCACTGCTCTGAAAAAGTGGAGATTGTCTTTTTTTTAATTATATCTTATTAAGTTTCAACATTTTTAGCCTATATAATCAAATCACGTCTTTTTTCTTATTTTTGTCAACTTCCCACCACATTTTCCTTCTTGTTGTTTCTCCCCTTCTGCTGCACCTTATCAAAAAATGGAGATTGTCAATATTGGTCCCCACTGTCTGTGTTTGAGACCTCTGTAATAGTTTCAAAGTTATGAATAACTTATGAACCATATGAAGAATTAAAATTTGGATATATAACTACATATATAATGTACTAGTTCACCAATCTTTTAGTGTATTTGTTCCGAAAAGTGTTCCCCTCCGTCATGAAAATGACAACCCCCAATGGGAGTTGGTTCAGGCTGAGAACGGGGAATTTGCTGCTTAATTGCTTAGAGCCATTGATGGACTCCCCAAATATCCAGTTCCATAAACAAGATTTTTTTTTTTAATTCAAGTGTGGTTATTTGGTCTAAAAGCACCTTCCTTTCCCCTTCATAATATTTTGTTTCCCTCTTACATTAACCCTTTCTGCCTGGAGAGATATACTATACAGTACAGTATTTCCTTTTCCACTGGTTTTATTGCACACTGAAGATGCCCTAGGCTGCAGCTTAGAAGACTTAAACAAGGAGAGGCCATAATTTGTCAGTGCTGCAGCACTAATAATAATAATAATAATATTTTTAATATGGTAACTACACTCGCAAGCAATAACTATAAGGGGTATCAATCACAACTTGGAATATATTTTCACCTTTGGGAAGCAAAGAGTTCCTCTCCTAGGTCAAGTGTCTAAACCTGCAGTGAGGAACAAAGTCCAATATCATCTGGTGGACGATAACTCCCATCAGCCAGAGCCATAGGGAGGGAGTTGTAGCCTAGCAGCAGCCTCTGGAAGGTCAGAGGTTCTCCACTCCAAGTCTAGAGGGCTGGAGGGCTATGTTTGGCACCTGGGCTTGTGGTTCCCCACTCTGAGTAGTGCAAGAGCCAATTTTTGACAGGGTAACTATGCAATCCTACACAAAATAGGGTGGTTTGAACCTTAAATGCAGAAACTTAGTATTTTTTTCCTATTATCAGCAGCCTGAATAACAATAGCCCAATACTGGAAACAACCTATAGAAATCCCCACTGAAACCTGGGTAAATAATATTTCGAATGTGGCTCTATCCGAACGCCTTACTTGCCATAGAAGGGTACTTCAAAGATAGGCACTTTTGGCGAGACATGGCTTGCATTCTTTTCCTTTATAAACAACCCCATTGAAGGATACAGTGGTTACCCAGACCTCTTTGCTGGTTGCGAAGGGGCCGCCCATATCTGTTCAAGCTTCAGGGCCCCCAAAATATAGGTCCGCCGCTGCTCCAGAGGCACCTGAATTTAGAGAGAGTAAACGGACAAAGCACTTTTCAAAATATATAGTCGATTCCTGCCGATGTGAATTCAAAGGAACTCAACCTCCCTGAAATAAATGAGAATTCCTTATGGGGAAACGCCAATGGGGATTTTAGCGATAAATACCGGCAGAGTTTTCAGATTCAAGAATAATTTGTGGGCAGCACAATTTGAAAGGGTGATTATCACGTGGTAGGCTGCGATTCAAATGGCCTGCTTCGCAGCTTCCGTAACTTTCTCTTCTGGATGCCAATGCAGCCACAGTCTTATCAACCTAGACCAGGGATCTGCAACCTTTAAGACAAAAAGAGCCACTTGGACTGAAGGGAAAAAAACTGGGAGCCGCAAAACCATTGCGACATTTAAAACAGTGGGGAGTGTTGGGGCACACAATGCGCCTCCTCCCCTCGCTAGTATCCGCCCCGGAACCGCGGCAAAGGTGTAAAAGAGCCACATGCGGCTCCGGAGCTGCGGGTTGCTGACCCCTGACCTAGACTGATGGGCAGAATTAGCAGCTCCCGTATAGTTAAAGCCATGGTTTTGTATAGTTAAAGCCATGGTTTTCCTAGTAGTGATGTATGGAAGTTGGAGCTGGACCATAAAGAAGGCTGATCGCCGAAGAATTGATGCTTTTGAATTATGGTGCTGGAGGAGACTCTTGAGAGTCCCATGGACTGCAAGAAGATCAAGCCTCTCCATTCTTAAGAAAATCAGCCCTGAGTGCTCACTGGAAGGACAGATCCTGAAGCTGAGGCTCCAATACTTTGGCCACCTCATGAGAAGAGAAGACTCCCTGGAAAAGGCCCTGATGTTGGGAAAGATGGAGGGCACAAGGAGAAGGGGACAACAGAGGGCAAAATGGTTGGACAGTGTTCTCGAAGCTACCAGCATGAGTTTGACCAGACTGCGGGAGGCAGTGGAAGACAGAAGTGCCTGGCGTGCTCTGGTCCATGGGGTCACGAAGAGTCGGACACGACTAAACAACAACAAACATTTCCCAGTGGCGGGGGCGGGGCTTCCGACGACACGCCCCCTTCTCCCTCTCCCTCCGCACAGGTTGCCTTAAAGCCCGTTCCAGAACTTTAGCCCCGCCCCTTCCCTCTTGCCCGTCCGCTTCCGAGTGGCGGCGCCGATTGTGTACACACAGCCACGGGGACCAATGAGAGCCCGGAGACGCCCGGCTCCGCGCGGACGCGTCGACCAATGGGCGAGCCGGGTCGCCAGACGCCGCCAAGCTTGTGCGGGGGAGAGAGAGCGATAGCAAAGCTGACAGAGGCGACTGTTGGGGCTGCTGAGGGAGAGGCGAGGCGGGCCGGCCGGCTGGGCTGTAGAGCGACCAGAGGCGGCAGCTGAGGCCGGTAAGAGCCATTAGGGTCCGACGACGGCGGCGGCGGGACTTACCGGGTCTTTTCTTTTTTAATGGAAGTGTGGTGCTAAGGCTGCCCTGCCCCCCCCGTCCCCGCACTCCTTTCTCCTCAGAAACCGGCGTCGGTGTTTTGCAGACGGCCGTTAGGCCCCGACGCTTCTCTCGTGGTCTTGAGGCCGGGAGGGTGAGGAGAGGCGGGTCGTGCTCTTTGCCGTCGCCGCCGAGGGCGCTCTCCCTTATAGAGCTCCGTTGGTGGAACATGAGGCTCCTTGAGGCTGTGGGTTCGAAACCCACGCCGGGCAGAAGGTGCCTGCATTGCAGGGGGGTTGGGCTAGATGACCCCCGTGGTCCCTTCCCAACTCTGCAATTCTGTGATTAATTCTGTTGCCGAGGAGCTTTATCTCCCCCCCCCCACTTCCGCGTCTCCTCCTCTTCCTCCAGCCTTGCGAATGTGCTTCCCCTGGCCGGTGGTGGGGAAGGGGGCGCGCTCTCTCCTCAGACCCCTGCAGCCCTTCCACGCACAGCCTGTCCTCGCCTTCCCTCGGATGCCCGTTTGGATCCACGAGGCCTCCAGAGCGGTGCTGCCCAACCCTGGCGGTCGCGGGAGCCTTGGGCACTACTGCTGTGACTTGGGAAGTGCGCACTCGGCGCTCTGGGCACCCCCTCCCCCCACCCACCCCACCGCCGGTGGTAAACAGATGGCCAGAGCCTGATTATTGTTTCCTGCGAGGCTTGTAATCGTGAAGGGCTGGGATCGGAGGTGCAACTGCCCTGGTGTAGGTAACTTGGTGAAATGTAGAACGTTGCATGAATCCATGAATAAAATGGCTGTGGCTATAGGCTGCTGAGGTTTCCTCCGCCACCCCATGGGGTGCAGAGGCTTGTTGCACACACGGACACACCCCGCCCCCCAATTTGGGACTTGGTTTTTTATTTTTTTTAATTACGCTTCACACCAGCTTCCTTTATTTTGCCTTGTGCCAACTTGTGACGGAAGTTGGTGCAATAAGGGCTACTTAACTGCTTTAACTGTTTAGAGTCCCGATTCTAAATATGCCTGCTTCAGGAATGTGTTTCTGTGTTCACTGTGGCCTAACTTTGTTTAGGGTGGAAGTGTCCTTACACATGTTTTACTCAGAAGTAAATCCCACTGATTTCAATGAAGCTTAACCCCAAGGTAAGCATATGCTAGATTATTTATTTATTTATATTTAAAAAAAAATTTTTTGGGGGGGGAGGTTATTTGCCACCCTTCATCTCAAGATCTCGGGGCTTGGCCAAAATGTTTATGCAAACCACGTACCATTCAAAAAAAATATGGTAGTGTGCAAATATTAAATAAAAGTACATTAAATCTATGAAAAATACACTAATAGAGGAGTAAAATATTTGCCATTATTTCAAACTGACCTTACCAAGCCAAAACACTCTTATCTATGTTTTGAATAAAAATCCAGAAGCAGCTGAAATGAGATAGTGAAATAATGTCTGTAGCTAGACATTCTTTTGTGTCTGTGTTGAAGGGAGGATGGTAAGTGTACTGAGAAACATGATTATGTCCCAGATTTGCCATGAGTTACAACCTCAGGCAGTCAGAACTGTTTGTTACTAACCTGGGGGAGGGCATGCATGGTGTTGAAATTCCAGGACTGACATTTCTAGTGTTTGTCTTATCGACTGCCACATTTTAACTTCTCTCATACAGAAAAACACAATTATGTCCCCACCTAAAGGTAAAGCTGGCCCATAAATGCTGTAATAAGTATTAGCTTGTCAGCGTTTATACACCAGTTGATTAGTTGTTACTGAAAACTGTTTAATCTACAACAGACATATTTAGGATCTATAGAAAATACTAAGCTGAAAATATGCATACTCATACTACAGGCTAGCTACATGTTTTATTTCAGTTGGAGGGGTAAAACTGCACTTTGAAATCAACTTTGAAAGTTATTTTGTACAAAACAAGAAAAGGTCATAATAGATGGTGGGGTCACTTTGGGTGACTTCTTGAACTGTTAAATTCTGTAAGGTTGGAAGGGCGCCGTTATTGATATTGAAACAATTTATTCTCTGGTAAATTTCCAACAGTTCTTCAGCAAATATATTCTAATGACCTGTTTTGCATGTAATGCTAAGTTATGATTTGTTTAACTAACCTTGGGTTAACCACAGGTTGTCCCACAGATGACCAAACAAAGTATGCCTTGTGTCATGAAAGCTTGGCTGGTTTTCATACTACTGTAAATTACTAGAGGCTTGCTGTCACCACTGATTAAGCAAGCCTCCCTTTTCACTGAAAAAAATGGTATCACTTTAAGGTTTCTGACAATTGCTTGTCAGACATACTTCAACCTGCCCCGGACCTGAGCCACATATGGTATGAGGTGCAAGGCTGGTGGCTGTAGTTTGAGGGAAATGGTCTTTCAGGCTAAATTGGGACCTGGGCCAATGTAAGCCCAAAGTCTGATGGTTCTCCATCCCTGGCCTTTGACTATCAGCCGAGTTGTTAAATGGAAGGCTGATTTTGCTCTGCAATTCAAGTCTTTTGTCTCTCTCACACACTCTAAAATTTGACTGTTCTTTTTCTCTCTCTTCTCAGCTGAAGAGAGATTGTTATGATGGCTGTGTTCACTTATGAAGGTAAGCTGTGTGTCTAAGAGATGTGCATCAACCACAAGATTTGGTTTTGGACCCTGATTTGAAAGACTGGCCACTTCAGTTCAAAACCCTTCAGGTTCTGTCTGATTTGACTTGGGGTCCAGATATGAATTGAAGTTTGGAAAAATGAAGCTTCCCACCTCCAGTTCTGTAAGTTGTCAGAATCTCTGTCTTCATGCTGGAGGACCTTTACAAGTAAAACAGGAGGGGGTAGTATTGGCAGAGGAATCCATTTATTATTTATTTAAGAAATTTTCATACCACTTTACATGAATAAAATTCTTCCAATCCTGTTTCATTGAAAATATTACCGCTAACATTTTTTTAAAAAAAAAATCTCACCCCAGTTTGTGTCTGTCCTTTTCCAGATGATACTAGCCTGTATCTCATGATTGTAGAATTATGGTCTGATCAGACAGTTTGGAAATCTTATTTCAGATCGTTACTAGAGCTTTCAGACTGCTTTAGTGGGGAGAGGTCAAGTTTCCCTTTCCATCAGTCTTATCTTCTCAGTGTGCTTTACAGCAGAGTCTTTTTGCACATTAAAGGCTAACAAATATATTATACTGTAAGCTGCAGCTCACATAATCAGATGCATAAATGTTATCATGAGTCACAGTTATATATGCACATGGCTTGTGGGGGAACTGCTTCCCCTTGGAAATTAGTTATGCATGGACCTTACTAAGGTTTTGGCATATGTTAGAAACATAACTCTTCATCCAGGTCTTCCCTGACCACTAGTATTGGTCTGGCACATCCCATCATTTATCTACTGTGGATACTTCAATTTTAAAAGTTTTGAGTTCTATTATTTTATTGATAAATTGCTTTGGATAACTTTTAATATAAAATGGTAGATAAATATTTTTTATTAAAAAATCTAAACAGTGAAGTCAGAGGTAGATGGAATGTAAGAAGTATAGAGTCAGTGATTAACAGTGGTCATTTATAAAAGAGTTGCTCATAACATATCCTGGCATTGGAAAGCCAATTAATGCATGCAATGTGGTCAGAATTCATTGTCTCAATTTAGTCCAATTAGTGATAACAGTGAAGCTCTTGATGAGTTGTAATTCAGCAGTTTTCTGTTGTATTCTTCCTTTCAAGTAACTTTGTTCAAGGTGGCTTAAGGTATCTTTCCTGCATTCTTTTCTTTATAAATTAAAATGTTCTGATATCTGAGTAAATGGAACACAATATTTATACTGCTGGCATAAAGTAAGAATTCAAATAGTGGTATTTTTTTGTTTAATTGAGAATGAGAGAGGAGAGACCATCTTGATATTTCTGCACCATCATGTGCAACTTAGAAACTGCTTGCCTCTTGGAAAGTGAGAATTGCTGTAGTAGTCATAACAAAGTAAGCTCTTGCTGCACATGCAGTTCTTTCTCACATGCTAGCGTCACTACTTTGAATTTTAGCCAAAGTATAGTATTTCAAGGAAAGTTATTAAAAATCTTTGTGCAGTTGGAAAGTTTATTGGGGAAATTAATATATATTATACAGGAGAACATCTTATCAGAACATCCTTTTGCTATTCTAGATATCCACTTGTAAATGGAGTGCTTCTGCATTTGACTGCTCATGTCTGGCACCATCTCAAGTTTCCTCTGAATAGTAACAAAGACTGGAGACTTGGTACTGCAGTAAAAGGCATGCTTCCTTAGTCCAGGGAATATATCGTTTTGGTTTCTGTCTTCCTGGGTAAGTATTTTTACCTAATGCATTGGATACTTTTTACCTTTAGTAGCAGTTTTAAGAGTTGAACATAATGTGCTCAATAAATCATTCCTGAAAGTTTACACAGGAAAAGAGCAGAATGCTGGGGGAGGGGTGAAGTTACTATAGTTTGTCACTTAGAGATTCAGAATTGGAATATGTCATCTGCATCTTAATAATGTGGGCTAAATCAGTTATTGTAAATAAAAAGTGCTGGGTATGGCACTATGTAAAAACATCTCAAAATAGTTATGCCTTAATTTTTTTATTTTAAATTGAATAAAACATTTGGCAATTTAAGATTTTTCATTGAGGGGAAAGTGAGCATAGTAAAAACACTGCCAGCACACAGTGTGTGTTTAAAAGGAGGTTTGGAAGAAGCAATTTAGTGGATGGCGTTGAGTATCTTAATTTTAACTGGTTTGGTGGACTTGGCTAATTTGTGCTTCGAAAATATTAGCACTGACCTAGGTTGAATATTGTTGGCTCATGAACACACCAGTTGCCTTACAGTTTATTCCAAGGCAGTGTGGGTGGCACTATTAGGCTGGAATTGATATTGTGCTGTTTTACATTATTGACAAGAAATGAGCTTTAATAGGAGATGGGTTTAGTGTGCCAGTCACTGAAAATAATTCTTGATACATGTAAAATTTGAGTAAATCTTCAATGCATTCTGTTTAGAAGAGCATGCCTTTCTTATACAAAGCTTGAATATGCAAGTAGGCCTTCTTAAATTTAAGCATGATTGAATGATTAAAACATTTTGAATTAAAACAACTTTGCAGTTAATTGTAATTTTGTATCCATTTCAGTTTGATAAATTAGTTTGGATATTTGATCAGTTTAAAAAGAATTGAGTCAAACATTGAGAAGTAGTGTTTAAGTATTTAAAAAGTATTAACTTCATTAGAGCAGCAAAAGCCATATCAACAACTTTAGTATTTATGATGGTTATAAAAACAAATAAGAATGCTTGCAAAATAATTAGCTTTTTAAAAGTGTGTTTATTTAACAAAATCTATATATCACTTGCTAGAGCAAAGGACCTCTAAGCAGCTTGCATTAGGCAATCTGAAATACTCATTAAAATACCAATTAAAAATGAACGTTAAAAGCAAGTTACATATAAAAATTAAAAAATGAAATACTCATTAAAATACCAATTAAAAATGAACGTTAAAAGCAAGTTACATATAAAAATTAAAAAATGAAATATAGGACTGAATTCAACTTCCCTATTAATGTTAGTTGAAGCCAGTTCAGAGGCTTCAACTAGCACAGTGAGACTACCTCTCCTGTATGCCTCCCCCAAATACACTCTGGAGGGCCGGAAGATCTCCCAGGATAGTGTGTGGTGGGAGGAGAGGGGAGATTGTTCCAGCAGGTAACAGAAATGCGCTATGTTGACTTCACCCCAAATTAGTCATTTTAAAACTTACTTAAATCAGATGCCTTGGCAGACTTGTTATAACAAAACAATTTGTGGCAGGCACCAAAAGCAGTATAGAGAAGGCCTTTTTAGTGGCATCCCCCTGGGCCCCACGTATGGGCTCACATGGCATACACACTGCAATCTTTTTACCACCAGTTGACTACTTTAACTCCCCCTCCATTTTTATTGATTCTAACAGTAGTAATGGCTTTTAGTGTTTTCAGCGTTAACATATTCTCCCACCTGGTTATTTTACTGGTGTGTTATTATATGAATTGTGACTTTCCTTTCTTTATTAATAGTTTTTTAAACTGAAATACAGTACAAACTAAACCATAATATATCAATATGAGGTCTGTGCAAACAAGTAAGAGGGAGGGCGGTATGGCTGGCTGTGTTCTATTTGTTTAAACATCTGTGTAAGGAGTCCAAATATCGAAAGAACTTCCCACCTTCCTTGTTATAGAAGGTCACATGTTCATATTCTGTCAATTGAGTCATGTTCACTGTCCACTATGATTAGCAGTTAAGGCAGACTTCTTCCACTGTTAAACTGTTAGACATTTGCCCTGGTGGCTTTTCCTTTATTCCAATTGTTTATAAAGGGAAGGGGGTTTGCAGTGGTTTTTATAACTGAATTCTTTATATTTCAAAATATATATCTATTGTTTGCTATAAGTCACTTAGAGGCTTCTGTGTAGTTGGTGCATAAATCTTAATTTATTGACTTAAATTTAATATTGTTAAAATCACTAAAAAGTTTGTTCATTAGAAATGCATTGACTTTCAGGATATATTTTTGATCTGCATTTCTAATCAAAATATCAGATAATTTATAAATCACATAATTTATAACAGATTAATACTCCTTTTAAAGTTTTGTATCTGGGCTTCAAAACCTAAAAACACACATGAATTGTGCTGCTTCTCAAATAAAATGTTGACTGTCTGATTTTAGGGACTTGAGTAAAATCAATAATGGTGCACATTCCTGTGAAAGGTAGTAACTGAGGTGGTGGTTGTCTTTAAGAAAATAATAGTGGAACAGTTAAATGAGGTACGGTAGAGTGTGTGAATAAGATAAGTTATCAGAGGTTTGTGCCAGTAGTCAAGAGCCCTTAAACTTGGATAGTTTCTTATTTTTATTTTGGTATGCTGTAACTTCTATTGTTAGAAAGTATTCTATCCTTCCAGGGCTGTTCCTAGGAGGTACAGTGCTCATGGCCTATCACATAGCATGGTATCACCATTGCCTTCCTCTCCTTCTGCCTCTGCTATTTCATCTTAAGAGCTGTCGACAGTGGAATTTGCTGCCAAGGAGTGTGGTGGAGTCTCCGTCTTTGGAGGTCTTTAAGCAGAGGCTTGACAACCATATGTCAGGAGGAGTGCTCTGATGGTGTTTCCTGCTTGGCAGGGGGTTGGACTCGATGGCCCTTGTGGTCTCTTCCAACTCTATGATTCTATGATCTTTCCTTCATGGTGATGGTGGCATGCCCCAGTTTAGCTGCGTCAGCTTTTCTCCTTTTTTGCTTTTGCTGCTACTTGAGCAGCAGCAAGGTCCTCCTCCCTCCCAGCCTTACTCTAGGAAGGGAAGAAGTGGATGGAGAGCCTCATCATTCATTCAATCTATTTCATTGCCACTTTTCACTCACATCACAAAGCGGCTTACATACAATAAGTAGCAACATAGTAGAACATCACAATTACAACATAAATCATATTAAATAATTAACAAAAATAAAATTAACAAATCATCAGTAAAACACCCACCTTCTATGAAACACTATTAACAAAAGAACTTATATTATAAAATTCACCAGGTGCATGAGAGGTGAAAGGAAAAGCTACGCAGCACAGCTGCTGCCTGTCTCCACGGGCACAAGTCCTGGGTATGGTCACCCCAATTCTCATACAGACAGATCAGGTAGCCCTGCATTCTCTCCTCCATTCTGATGCTACAACCTTTAGGCATAGATTGTAATTGTACTATGTGTATTTATTATTATTTTTACACACAAACTATTTTTGATGAAGAAGTGTTTTTGTTTTCCCTGCAGGTCATTATTATTTACTAACATAATAGAATTTAAATATATATATTAAATTATGCTGATTGTGTTCTTGTTCTGTGAACTAGTTTCTCAGACAACTGAAAACTGAAAAAAAAAATTGGGCTCTCATCTTTTTAAAGATATAGTGGGTGATTCCTTTGAGTTATTCTGGTCTGTATGCATGCCTTAAACAGTTGCATTTAATCAGATTCCTCCCCTTCTGCATCCTTCGTCAAACTATTCATCCCATGCTCATTTCTCTCTCTTTTTTGGTACACTTTCAGGAGTTCTGACGTAGGCTTTAAGACACAAGATTGATTTTTCTCCCTTTAGTTTTTTGACTTTTTGCTTTTATTCATTCTTTCAGTGCTTGTTGTTTTTCATGCCTGCTTCTTGTCTATACTTCATCAGGATTTCCGGAGATAGCTCTGGGAGGTGATAGTGTTTCCATGACTTTCTGTTTCCCTATGGTCTGATGTTACAGGTTAACTGCTGCCTGGCTAGAGAGTAAAGCTTCCTTTTATAGCTCACAAGGAACATCTAGATACTAAGGAACTGTTAGATCTAAATTTTGGATGAGATTTTATATCAGAATAATGTCTGCATACAATTACTTTCCTCTTACAAATCCTATTACAGAAGGTTTGTAGTGAGGCCTGTACCAACTGATTAAATAAATCTTAGATTCAAAGGCAAAGTGGCCGGTGAGTGTGTGTCCTTCGTTAGGGTAAAATGGAAAATCTATTCATAATAATACCTTGTGTGGTGTTGGTTTAACATTCTATAGAAAACATGGCTTTCAGCATTTATTGAAGACATTTGTGTTCACCAATAAAACTTCTCTTAAACCAGGTGCTTCTGCTTGACATACTGGGATCATGTTATATTGAATTTATGACCTTCTGGTAATTTCATGGCAAAAGACTGGTAACCTAAATAAAGAATTGACCTCATATCAGAATAGCGAACAGAGAATCAACAACTAAAGAACTGTCTCCTACAATGGATTACATACCCTTTCTAAATAGTGAAGTAACAAGGACAAGCATAGAAAGCCTGTGAAAGGTAAACAGATCCAATTTTTAACTACTGCTGCAACTGTCTTCAAGAAAGATATTGTTTAATATGATATGTACGCTACACACGCTTAGTCAACAGACTGGTTTGCAGAGTTCCAAGTATGATACATTAGTTATGTTTTGCTAAGACTAAAGAACATTGAATATTCTATTGCAATCAGAGCAGAATTGCTGTAAAACTTCAAGTGAGATCTATTATTGTTGTTATATTTATATCCTGCCTTTTCCCCATACTGGAACTAAGAAGGGTCTGTTAAAATAAGGTCAGGAGAAATATATTCTGGTCAGATAGCAATCAATAGAATTAAAATTAGAACGTCTCACCAAATTGCTCTTTGCATTTCATTATGACTTCCTGAGATTTTTATATTTTTATCAGAGGAATAATTTCACAGTATGTTAGCCAAATAGCTCATATTTTTAAATCACTTCTCACCTCCCAATCCAACTAGGAAATATATACACAGTATACATTGTCTCTCCTAATTGGATGACAAATCATAAGTTCTGATGGGCATTGGTGTGCTTCATTTCTTCAGTCTACTTGTTGAAGTTGCACATACACAGCCCTGGTCAGATAATTGGTGATTGTGCCAAGATAAGTTGGGTTTTGGGGAAGGTATGGTTTGTACTGAAATTGTTTATGTTGCAGGGTAACTCCTTGTATAAGCTTGCCTCTTGCTAAAACAACATTGTTTTGCTCCCATAAGTGTGAAAGTAACTGTGCCCTGATTATAGGTAAAACTTTGGTACTGGGCACCCTTAATGCTCTCCTTTGAAAAGGAAGTCTACCTTTACTTTTCATTAGGGTATTTGCTTTGAATGAGTAAGATGTGAAATGCAGTGATAATTGTTCTATGCGAGATCTTCAAAAATAATAAGAATCTTTAAGTTTTCAAATGCAGAGGTTTCCTAAAGTTGTGCCTGTTCCTCTATGCCTTTATGTCTTGAATGGGAGGAAAAGAAATTGTGTTCAGATAATGTGAATCTCCTTGCCCTTGTCTTCTCAAACAATAGGGACTGAACCAAAGGTCTGCCAGAACAGATGGAGCTGGCATGAGTGGAATCTCCCAATAATTATGAATGCATGAGTATACTCCTGCCTCAGGTGGTCTGCAACAAATGAAGAATATAAGCACCACCTATCACTGCCAGAAAGAACCCTTTTCTTATGTTTGTTTTCCTCTTCCCTCACGATTCATTTCAATTAGATTGTGAGCCTGCAGACAGGGGTTGCTTAATCTTTTAGCCTTTGTTCATTGGTTAGAAAATGGTAGTCATGTTAGGAACATGCTACTTCACATTTCTAGAGCCACTGAGTTCCCTGAGGCAGTGCTCATTGTCTTTGGGTTTTTTTGAACCAGTGTTATGAATCAATAGCTAACGTTGAGTTTGAATGTGTGAAAACAATTGCCCCTCTGCTCAGCTGCAAAGCTCACTAGGTGGTCTAGGGCAAGTCCCTATATCTTCCTCACCTGCCTCACAGAGTTGTGAGGGTAAACTTTCTGTACTCCTTGAGGGAAAACTGGGATTTAAATTAAAAATACACAATGCCTTTCTCATTTCTTGCAATGTGTCTGTTTCCTTAACAGCATTTTTACTGGCATGCTTACATGGCAAAATTGTTTCCATAGCCATACTGTTTTCTCTGTAGAAATAATACTGATGGTTTTCCTTTTTTAGAAAATATTTCCATAATTGCACTACCAGTGTATACCATCAACTCACCATCTAAGATTTTGCCAAAAACATTTGCACCAATAAATGTGAATGTTGAACCCCAAATGGTAAGTACTGTTTTTCTTTCACAGCATTGCACTGTAGAAACTCATGCCAGATTTCCTTTCCAACTGACAGCGTACCCCAGTACTCTTTATTATGAATAATGTTTGGTTTATTTAAAAAAACAACTAGTTGTAAGCATTAGTTGCTAGTAAAAGTTTAGGATTCTGAATAGAGAACATCATAATTGGTGCTTAATGAAACATTGATTTCTAGGCATGCCATGTTGAAACACTATTTTGAAAGCACTGGTATGACTGCTATTAATAAATGCAGTTCTGCTGATGTTCTGGAATGATACTGAGCTTGTTGTGCAGTCGCACTTAGTGGTTAAACTGAGAAACAGTTACACAATATTTCCTGCTACTCCCTTGCAATAGTTTCCTTGCTTAGTAAACAAATGTCCATTGTATGCTTGATTCTTGGCAAAAATCTGGCTTTTAACAAATAAAGTTAATTGGTTTAGTTCTACTTGTAGAAACAAGAGCAAAAAAATAATACACATGACTTTTTTCATTCCACTGAACACTTCTTTCTGTATAGCACAAAATATTGATCCATGTCTCCCCTGCAATTTCCAGTCTATTACTAGATTATTTTATCTTTTGGTAGTAGAACCAGCATGTCACTAGCAGAATTTTTAGCACTTGTCTCTATAAAACTGCATTGTGTAGTAGAACATGGTAATATTTGAAGTTTGTTATGCAATAATATGTTAAATGCATTTTATGCTGTCACTTCCACTCTGACTCTTGTTGGGCAACTTAAAGGCTACTTTTCTGCAGTTTGATTGTCATACTCCTTAGTTCATAGTCCTTTGTCATCTAACCTAAATCACGTTAATGACTAAATATGCTACTATGCTTAAGCATTTATTTTAAAGAAAAAATGTGGTGATCATGCATGCTGTCCATAATTCTTAAAGATCTGATCGGGCATCAAATCAAGATTTCCTTTTGTTATCCAAGAATGCACAGCAACTCCCTCAATCAGTGAATCATCCTAGCAGATGGAATTGGCAATTTTTTAGACCAGACATTCTTAGCAAATAAAGCCCATAAAAGTGCAAGTTGGTAGCTTTTACAACGGTTGTGGTGTGACATGGAGAAAAGATATAAGCTAATATGTACTATGGTTGGCTGTTCAGGTGTGTGCATCTTTGACTGAGGCTCAAAACAGTTTGATGGGTTTGGTTAAGAACTTCACTTAATCCAGATCCTGTCTTTGTAGTGAACTGCAAGAGTTGTCCTGCTGCAACTGGCAGCTAATTTGGAGTTTATAGCTCCTGAATGTGCAGTACGGTGCAGAAAATAATTATATCCTGCTTTTTAAATACTTGTCACCTTAGCCCTGAGTTTACAGTGATATTTAGGTTACCAAAACAAATAAAGGCATTCCTGAATGGTAAATTGCAAGAGAAAAAGTTGAAATTATTTTTAATTTATATACAGATCAATGCCAAAATAGGCTTCTAAGTTGTTTACATGTATAAAAACCAATCACACAGCATTAAAATAAAAACATCCACAATTAAAATACATAATAAAATAATCCCATTAAAACAGAAGGCTTGGGTCAAAATATCAAGGAAATGCCTCTGTAAGCAGGTGCAGTTTCAAAATATACAGGATGCCAATACAGATGGGGCGTCTTGGTGTTTAGCAAGGTGTGTGTTCTGTAACACTAACGCCACCATTGTAAAAGACCACCACCTCAAGCCAATAATCATTAGGCCATGTCAAAACTAAATAGGTTCAGTTTGTTAATTGTTGTTCCCTTACTGGGCAACGGAGGGGAAATAGGTCTTTCATGTTGCATATTCAAAGTTTCTAGTTCTGCTGAAAGATACATCTTGTTTTCAGCATATAATTTTATACTAGTGACCTTGAATGCCAGTTTTAAAACCTAAAATGTTAACGCAATAATAGGAAACTTTGAAGGTAGCTGCAGCTATCTTGTCTTTGAACAATACATATTCACCTAAAATTTAGTGGCATTAAACTATGAACTCTGGTACAGTATCAAAAGACTGCTATTTCTGGAGAGGAGGGAGAATGTCTCATCCCTTCAGATATGCTGGGCCTCTGAAGCACCTTGCATTAGTCAGCTTCATTGGAAGACCCTGTGTTCTAGTCTTATGTGATAAGGAGAAAAACTTACCCATCCACTTTCTGCACACCATGCATAATCTTACACATCTCCAATATGTCACCCCTCACTTACCATTTTTTTAACTAAAAAGGCCCAGACATTATAGCAGTTCTTGATAGGGGTCTAGCTTCAGCCCTTGATCATCTTAGTTGCCCATTTCTAGTTCTACAAGGTTGAGGCATGTCACCCAGAACTGTACACAGTATTTCAAGTGGTATGACAGCATAGATTAATATGAAATCATATGACATTGATCGACTTATTTTCAGTCATTTTCCTAGCAATCTCTAACATTGAATTTGCCTTTTCACAGATGCCACACACTGGGCTGCCACATTAACTGATCTATCTACCACTAACACAACATGAGACACTCAGTGCCATGTAATGGATAGCCCCCACACCACTGCTGGATTTCCATCTTCACAACTGTTTTTTGTTTGCTTGGGAAACTGAAAGCCAAGACTACATTTTTTGTTGATGAGATACTCCCCCTCCCCCCCAACTAGCTGGGTCTGCCCTATCTGATGCGTCAATGTAGGACTGTAGGTTACTTTCTATCTACTTTCCTAACTTGGAATTAGTCTAAGACTCAGACTTCCATCCTCTGCTTCTGTTACCCTCTCTCCATTTTGTAAGCATAAAAACTCAAGATGTCCTTGTTGGGCTGTTTTGGTTTATATTTTGCATCTGGGGAATCCTATTAGTATGAAAAAGCTGCTGCTTTATTGATGACTGTTCTGTTCAAGGAAACTGGTGCAGGGACAGGGGAGAGACGTGTACATCTTTGTGACTCCTCTGCCTCTCTTTTATCTCAGTCATTCACCAATAGTTGTGGAGTCGTCCTCCTCTTCTCCATAGTGCAGTCATTTTTGAGGCCTGCAGCAAAATGTATTGTAAGGGGTGTTTCTACCCTCTTTGGGCACCAATAGTATATTTCGTTGAGTTACAGAGGACTTGTATACTTCTCATGTGCCAGTTTCTCTCTTATTTTCATTTAAAATCATCATAGCCCAGCATGGGAGAAAGAGAGCTTGTAAGTGGCATGCTCCCAATCTTCTGAGCGCAGTTAAAAGATTGGAGGTGTTACATCTGCGCTGATTTTATAGTAAGCTGGCATTGCCTGGCTCAAAATGTTCAAAATGGTTTTGTCTACTTTTGTTCTGGTTTTTGGGTGAGCCCTTTCAAGCAATGAACCCTATTGTCTGCATTTTTAAAAATTTTACAGTAGATGGCAGTAGAGTAGAGTTAAAAGATACCGCAACTAGAAACTAACCACTATTCTTGTATTCAAATAAAATACAAAATGTAGCATTCTTAGTCTATAGTCTATTGCTTCACACAGACTGTAGTGATGGTATAGTTAGTACTGTAATACCAAATATTTAATATTTCAATCAATAATATTTAGTCTTGAAATGGGAAAGCTTTGTGTGCTGTTTGCAGGCATGAACACTAGAATTTTTTGTTAAAATATTATTAGCACTTCTGAGCCATGTTTTAAAGGGGCATGATTTGTGACAACAGCTGTATAGTATACCAATGCAAGGGTGTGTTAATATGTTCATTTCTGAACTATTCATAGATGTGTGTCTGCAAGACCAGGGTGTGTACATTTGCAACTCTGCACGGTATTGTAGAGCTGCAGAAGTGGCTTCATAGTTGAAGCATGTTGTGTTTCAGCTTGAAAAGTTTAGCTATCTTAAAATCAAAAGGACATACTCCCTATTAGAATGACATTTGGCATGGGGGATCTGCCAAACTAACAAAATTTAAGTGTAATCTGATAAAGTCTTGAGTTTTGCTGCTTAAAAAATTTGCTTTGAGTTTTGATTACAACATTAGACCAGAATATATTTACTACTTTCATGGCATGGAAGTTAAGATGGGCACCATATAAGTTTCATATTGTTTTGTGCATTAGTGAATTTGTTAAGCCTTAACTGTCTCAAACTGAAGCGCTTTTAGATCCTAGAATTCCAGTTTGTACAGGCCTATGTCAAGGTTAATAACTAAGTGGATGATACTCAGATGAGACCTAATGGCATATCGCTGAACATTGTTTATTTTTCATCTTTCAAGATTGCTGCTGAACTCTGGCCCCACAAAAACTTTTATGCAGCCAGGCCCATAAATATGCTTCATTTGGTTACTTGTAGTTTAGCATAACTTTATATGCATGCCTAATTCTGTTACATTTGGGGTTTTATATTCTTTGTTTTTCTCAGTTGAAAATATGTTGCCATACAGAATGATCTAATCTCCTTATCTTAAACCATCAGTATACATATTTCCCCCCCGTAAATGCTGTGAACGCCACTCATGTGAAAGAACTCTACATTCTGAAATTTGGCTTGTTTAGACAATACTTTGCCTCCAGGAGGCAACCATTGTTTGAACAGGCTTACAAAGAAAAATCAGGTTATTACACAATTTTGTGTTTTCATCGTTAAGGAAAATTGCAAGGAAGTGAATTGTTATCTTCCTGTCTTACCTAACCCTGCTCAGCTATTTCAGGCCAGGTGTGGAGGACCTGAACTCTGTACAGATTTTGAATTGAACATGTGTTGGGGTTAGGGCCTGATGGTAGGATTCTGCTCCACCACCTCCACATTCGATCTTGCTAAATTATTCCTTCTACTCAAGTAAAGCACTCTTCTACTAACAAATTTTTTAAATATATTTTTAATTCACTGTAAAGTGAATAAGAACTGCATTCTTAATATTTTTAATATTCTTAATATTTTCTTGGCAACATTTATTGTAACATTTACTCTTGGGAAGTAGAAAGATATTGTTACAACCCATATTATGGTTAAGAAGAATTCAGTTTCCTAAGTCAATAGGACAGAGCATCTTCTGCTATCATGGATTTGTGTGTGTTTTGATTGGCAGTTCAACAAAGAGAAGGTGGCCGCTCAATAGGACAGCATCTGGCTGACATCATGCTGACCTTGTTGCAAAAGTTTCTTAAGGGTGTAGCCAACACTGAAAACTCATGCTGTGTTTATAGACCATTTGATATGGAATAGAGATGCATGGAAAATGTAGACTTCCTGTTTAAACTATGAAATAAGTCAGCAGTGCAGTGCAGTGCAGCAGCTAACGGGACTAATGCAATTCTAGGTTGCATCAACAGACATATAGCATCCAGGTCATTGGAAATAATGGTACCACTCTGTATTCTTGAAATGTCAGTTTAAGAAGGACAATGACAAACTGGAACATGTCCAGAGGAGAGTGACAAGAGTGAAAGAGCTGGAGACCATGTCCTGTGAGGAAACACTGAAAGGCGATACAATGACCATATTTGAATGACTCACACATGCATGATATTGAAATTTGTTTTACAGAGGGCAGTACCCAAATCAATTGTATCAAAAGGATTTAGGTTAAAAATTAGGAGTATCCTCTTGCTGGTATGTTCTGTTTGACAGTGGAATAGATTGCCTTGGAGAGGCTTTATTCCTGCAACATGATTTTTTAGATCTCTTCCAACTCTGATTCTAAATATTAAGAGTTTATCCCAACATCATTAATCTCTTAGCACAGTCCCAATTCTGAAAATTGTACACTTCCACACTTTCATTGTGTATTTCTGAGGATAGATACTGATACAGTGGTACCTCAAGTTAAGAACGTAATTCGTTCTGGAGGTCCGTTCTTAACATGAAACTGTTCTTAACCTGAGGTACCACTTTAGCTAATGGGGCCTTCCGCTGCCGCCGCGGCACCAGAGCACGATTTCTGTTCTCAACCTGAAGCAAAGTTCTTAACCTGAGGTACTATTTCTGGGTTAGTGGAGTCTGTAACCTGAAGCGCCTGTAACCTGAGGTACCACTGTATTCTGGTTTAAGCTCCATATAAGATGTATTTTACTGTTTCTGTGTTCAGGTTTGCTTTGCAGAGTTTAATTTGTTCTTTCTCTAATTTCCATAGATTATAAGCACACCACAAAGACTGACCAATTCGGGAAGTGTTCTCATTGGGTGTCCCTACACCACAGCATCAGCCATGGTCACACAGATGCATATAACTGAAGCCACTGGCTGGGTTCCAGGGTAAATAATCCGTTCTTGCATGTTCATTCTGAGTTCCATGTTTTCTTCATAAGTTAGGAATTCTACTTAATGCACCTTTTGACTTTTGTATGCAAACATGTAGCCGCTTGACTTTGGTCAAGCTTCATTAAGTTACATAATTTATATATGGGATGATAGAAATAATGGAGACTATTTGCGCAATTAAAACAAGTCCTTACTCCTTCCTTAAATTTCTGTTGTAGGTATAGCATCACACTTGCATATTAGAGAAGTATGCCAATCTGGAAGTAGGGCTAAGAAAAGGCTATTTTTTTTAAATCTAGTTTGCCAGTGTAAGTTCCATTGGTAAGCAACAAAATGGGCTGCTGTTGCATAGAGTTTTGCTCTTCATCAAGAAGTTAAGAGGTATTTTGGGCCTTACTATGCAGCTATTCTGAACGGTTTTGAAGCTGTGCTATTTAAAACATTTTAAATATTCATTGTTCATTAGAATGGCAAAGATTTTGATTTCATGCTGATAATATGTATAAAGAAATTGGAAGGGGTGAACACTTTGAATTTAGCAGCTGGGCTTGGTTTATTGTGAATTTTGCTGAGTTGCTTTATCTATTTTCACTCTTTTTAGAAGCTTGTAAGATCTATATGGTGCTAGAGATAGTCTTAATTTTTGGTAACTAGAGATATGGTTGCTGTAACATCATCTGCTTTTGTTTGCCTAAGTTATCCAAGATCTCTTTAACTTGCAGGTATGGAATACAGGAATATATATATATATATATATATATGCTTTCGTAGATTTTCACGGGTACAGGAATGCAGGTTTTGGTGTCCTCGGGTGTCTTCCCGTGTAAAAGTTGGGGTGTCTAGGCGACGTTTCGACGAGGTCTCACTCGTCATCTTCAGGCTGGTGCTTTCGGCTTCTTGTTGGTGCTTTTCTTCAGGCTGGTGCTTTTCGGCTCTGTTCCAGTAACAAGAAGCCGAAAGCACCAGCCTGAAGATGACGAGTGAGACCTCGTCGAAACGTCGCCTAGACACCCCAACTTTTACACGGGAAGACACCCGAGGACACCAAAACCTGCATATATATATATATATATATATATATATATATTAAAAAACCCTCTATCCTTTAGGGCACTCATTATCTTTCACCTTCACTTCTCCCAGCTAGCTAAGAAGCAGAGTAAACAACTTCAGAAAGCTATCCACTACAACCCAAAGGTCTCACTCCTGGTCAGTCACTGCCACTTCAGACCCTATGAGCATATATGTGAAATCGATATTCTTTTTGCCCCTACATGCATCACTTTTCACTTGCATACATTGAATTGCATTTGGCATTTTATTGCCCATTCAACTCAGTTTCGAGAGATCCTTCACAGCTCCTTTTTGTTATTGCCACCCGGAACAATTTCATATCATGAGCAAACTTGACTGCCTCACTGCGTGCCCCTAACTAAATGATTTATGAACAAGTTAAAAAGGACAGGTCCCAATATTGATCCTTGAGGGACCCCACATTCTACATCTCTTCATTGTGAGAACTGTCCATTTATTCCTACTTTGTTTCCTGTTTCTTAACCAGAGGACTTCTCTTATTCCATGACTGGTGTGATCTTGCATCAAAAGCTTTTTAAAAGTCAAAATACATGTCAGCTGGATCACCTCTATCATATGCCTGTTGACACTCTTAAAAAAAATTACAGGTTAGAGAGACAGGACTTACCCTTATAGAAGCCCCACTGGTTCCACTATGCTTGGTAATTTTGTCTTTGAGAATGCTTTTCTCTGGCTTTTTGGTAGTGGATCAGTGATTTCACATTTGAGTTCTTTAAGAACTTTTGGGTGGCAGCCATCCAGATCTGGCAACCTGTCATTTTTAAATTTTTTGTCAATAATACCTCAAACTTAGTCTTTTATCTCCACTATTTGCCGCAGTTCCTCACACTGTGAAAGTTAATTTCAGCACAGGGATCTGCCCTATATCTTCCACGGTGAAGATAGATGCATATAATTCATTTATCCTCTCCACAATCTCCTTATCCTACTTCAATACACCTTTAACTCTATTGTCATCCAAAGGTCCAACTGCCTTCCTAGCTGGTCTCTTGATACTAATGTATTTAAATATTTCTTGGTTCGTGGTTTTCATGTTTTTAGCAATGTGCTCCTTAATTATCTTTCGGCATCCCTTATTGTCTGTTTGTATTTATTTTGCCAAAAATTGTGTTCCTGTTCATGTCCACATTTCAACAAGACTTCCATTTTCTAAAGGAAGTTTTCTTGTCTCTAATGGCTTCTTTTATGTTGCTCATTAATGGCACAGGCACCCTATTAGCCTTGGTCATATCTTTTCTTGATCTGTGGTATCTAATTTTGTGGTTTTAAATAACTCATAAGGATTTTGGAGAAATCCAACCCTCTTGACTTTCCTTTTCAACTTAATAATCATGATAACAACAAATTTTCTATACCACCTTTCATCCGAGGATCACAATATATATTTTTCTTTTTCTTTTTACCAATCCCCTCATTATCAAATGTGGCCATGTTGGATTTTCTTAGCCATTGTCCATTTACATATATATATTGAATAGGATAGCTTCAACAATATTTACATCTATACTATCTTCACCCACAATGATTTGGTAGAGAAGCCTTCCTCTTTTGTGATTTCTAGCTTATCAGATTGTATGTCCTCTTCCACAGACAAACACCACTTCCCCCAGTGTGACCTTTCCTTCCTCCTTATAGTGATTGTATCCAAATGTTTCTGCGAAATAATAATAATAATATATTTTTACCCCATCCATCTCTGGGCGGCTCCCAACAGAATATTAAAAACACGATAAAACATCAAACAGTAAAATAGTAATCATGAGAAGGCCCATTTCTTTGTGCCACACAGTTGAGTTCTCTCGCTTATGGCACAGCTAGCGGGGCCTCTTCTAAACGTCTTAGTAATCAGATAGGTCTATATATAAGAGGAAAGGTTCTCTCAGGTAAATGGTTCCCAAGTTGCTTAAGGCTCCATACGTTAATGACAGGTGCTTTAACCTGGCTTGGTAGCAAACTAGAGGCAGTGCAACCCCATCCAGAACAGGCAAACTACCTAACACCCATTTACCCACAGCGCCTTCCAGTCAAAGATGTGGGATGGTTTCTGATAGTTGGAGCCAGTCTCCTGCTGCTGCTGCTCTACATATGAACTACTTCTTTTGGGCTGGTTGTGGAGGATAAGCAAGCAGAGTGCATGTGTCTGCTTGTTTGAATAACTCCCTTGCTCTAGGGGCAGGACAAGAAAGCATGTTGGGAGGAGAAGCACTGCCAAGACCCACCTTAGCTATATAGGCCCTGCAAAGATGAAAACAGGAAAAGCAGCAGGAGAAACAGCTGCTAATCTGGTGCAGTCTGCCCAGGTCTTGAGCAGGCAACCAGCAGAGGAAAATGGTGTCATCTTCACCACTCAGGCTTTTCCTGGTTCTCGGTTTTGTTTGAGGATCAACCACTTTCACAGTTCATTGTATGGACTGAGGGCCTGGTTGTTTCATCTTATTTTTTAAGAAATTGAGGAACTACTACAAATAATCGGAATGCAACAAACACAATAAGAAACACAAACTTTTATACAAGCATATAACAATGTGAATGAAACCACATATCCTCTTAAAAATCTGCTTTAAGAGAGAACTAGGGCAGAGTGTGTTATGACCAGTTTGGTGGCCAGTTTGTTCCTGTCCAGGTCCCTACAAGAGTTCTGCAAAAGTCAGAAAATGGCAAGAGCTGTTCTAGAGCTACTCCAGGCACCAGCACCACAAAAGGCAGCAGAAATAATTCTCCAGCTGTTTTATCATCCAGTTCTTCTACCAGGGTTCCTTTCTTAAGAACTCTTGGGACTATCAAAATTTCTCTTCCATTGGCCTTCTTCCCTACGGAGAAGTTATTGCCCATTTTTCCTAATAAGATGCTCATTTAGTATGTCCAGGAAGGCCTGCTGATCAGCCCCCATTCCCCAGCAAGGTTTCAGGTTCCTCAGCTAGAGCTCAGGAAGATGATCAGGGAATGAAGTTGAACAGAAACAACATTTCTCATCCCAGCAAAACTCTTACAACTGAATGTCACCCATTGGTTTTATTTCTATAAATTCATCTAAATAAAATTAACTGTTTAACCAAGGAATCACTTAGTGGTGTACACTGAATAATTTGAAACAATCAATGTACAAATAAATTCCAATTTATTTAAGTTTAGTCAAGTTGCATTCCCCTAGGGGCAATTACAACTATTACAAATTATGCTTAAATTATGCTCAATATATTTGACTAGCTTTAAAAATGAATAAAGCAAGTACTTAAAATATTTAGAATAGGTATAACTTGTGCTATGAAACATTAGTACAGCCTAAAATCCATATTTTGATATGTGCTGTTTTTTAATGTTTACAGGGATAGAAAACGAACTCAAGACTTTATGGAATCAGATTTTTCGGAAAGGTTTGTATCACTGCTGCATCCTGAATATGCTGACCTTTGAACTTGTTAGCAAGATTTCATTTTTAATTGTTGGTGTCTTTCCATCTCCCTGAAATAGTTCAGTTTACTATAATAGACCAAATAATATTGTCCTTTGTTGTACTTGCACACCTATTCTAACAGATTGTCTGGCTCGAACTAATAACTATCCGGTAGTTTATATAACTTGCAAAATATTTGGAAATGCAGTTTTGTAGAGGTGATAAGATCTATCATTGACTTTTGGTGAGAAAAATCTAGTTAAATCGCCATGGGCTTTTCTGCAGGCACAATTCCGGTAAACGTACTTCAGTGCTTTATCAGTCTCTACAGGGCTACACTTGTAAGTCTTTATAGCAATTGAATTTTACTACTTGTATATAGGAAGTGAAAGTGAAGTTAGTGACGGTAAAAAAATATATGTTAGAGTCATAGTAGAGCATATGCTTTTCATGTCAAAAGGTCCCAGGTTCAGTTCCCACCATCTCTACTAGCAAGTCTACTAAGCCTCTGCCTGAGCCTATGTGACTATATGGAAACTTCAGGTGCAGGGGCAGTATTGCACTGAATACTGGCTGCTGGGGGGCTGTACAGTAGTGATAGGCTACTGACCTCATGCTCTGCCTGTTGCCTTCACAGTCTAACTAGTTACTAACAGGAGCAAAGTTCTGAACTATATGTACTTTTGATCTGACCCCACAAGGTTTTCTTTGCTGCCGCAAGTAAAAAATGGCAAATACACCATTTGATTCTATTATATGTGAGTTGTAAGCAAGTATACCATTGTAGAATTTCCAAAAAACATAGAATCATATCCCCAGAAGAAAAACATGAGCTTGAAATGCATTGGAGCAAATTATTTGATTTGCTGCTGGTTTTTTTGGTTTGAAAATGATTACATTTCAGAGTAGGTACTTCTGCACTTCCAAAATTCTAGTAAACTAGCTAGATGGTTTAATGTACTGTATAATCTTTGCAAAGAACACATTCATAACGTAAGCACAAAGCAGTATCTTGCAAGAAAGAGAATGAAATTAAAATTGCATGGCTGATTCTAGCATTATAAATTATTTATCATATTCTCCCAAATAAACATTTCCCCCAGATACTGCACCTTCCAGCAAACAGATAGTGCTTAGCATGAAAAATCTGTGATTGGTCTTTGTTGTCAAACTTAAGATTTGAATTTTTCTTCATCACAGTAAAAGAAGCAGAAAAGGAGATAAAAATGGAAAGGGTTTGAGACATTTTTCAATGAAAGTATGTGAAAAGGTCCAGCATAAAGGAACAACATCTTATAATGAAGTTGCAGATGAGCTGGTATCGGATTTTACAAACTCTAATGGCCACTTAGCTACAGATTCAGTAAGTAGAAAGTAACATTCATACACATCTAATATTTTGCAACCCACTTGTTCCTCTATAATCAAATTAAAATATTATGTGTAAACTATTAAGGGCTTGAGGAGACCAGTGCTCTTTCCACCCCACCCTCAATTTTCTTCCCTACCCTACTTTTGCTGAAACACTTACCAATCTATGCCTCAGCTATTTTCAGTCATAGATAAATTTGTACAGTCTGTCTGGCTTCAGTTTCCTTTAGAGCTGCCTGTCTGTCTCTCTCTGATTCAATTGCTGTCAACATTCTGTAAGCCCTGCGACCTCACATGTGCTTGTTAGCCCATTTTCAGCTTTTGAATCCCTCCTCTCTCTTCCCTACACCTTGCCCCATGAATTTACAAACTTGTATACTTTTGCAGTTCTTGTGACTCTTTGAAGTAGATGGGAACCATTCCCTTATTTTGGAGCAATCCTATTTTAGCTTTAGAGTAGCTGCTGTTGTGAAATCTTACCATTAGGAAATTGTGATATCTCATGGTCCAAGGGTGAGTAGAGGAGCACTCCTCTCGCCGCCCATGATTGCCCTGCCAGGTTCAAGGAGCAGAGTGGCTGCAGCTCTGCAACACCTGTGAGCGGGGGAGACATGATTATATGGGGAGTGATGATGCAGGTGGCAGTGAGGTGGCGGGAGATGTAGCCACCTTTTAGAAGCTTCTGCTGAGCCCAAATTAGAAAAGTATGAGCAGATATAGAAAGGGGAAGAATGCAGCAGTCACAGAGCTTGGACGTATTTAAACTACTTTAATATTCATCATCAGTTGACGTGTTAGCTTTCTCAATTTTTCATGGTTTAGTCTAGCAACCTATAGATTAAAACATATGTTTTATTGCCCTTTCAGTCTGTTCAAATGTTGCCTTATGTTTTTAATAAAAAAGACATGCTTATAACGTGGCATTTTCAAAGATTCTGTACTCTAATAATTCTGTAATCAAACTTGCAAATGTTGTTCTTACAGCTAATTAGGTAATAAATTGGACCTCTCTTGGCCCCTGTTCAGCTTTGGATATAATCAAGGAAACTTTTTGCATGATATTTTTCCTATTTTGTATACTTTTTTCAATTATGTAGTTACTTCTGAGCATGTAAATACTTAAAGAGACAATATTCACATTAATTTATATATGCCTTTTCCACATTCCTGTGGAAGAATATGAGATATGTATGTGATTGGGAAGGAGAACCACCACTGGTTTGATATTGTATATATCTTGGTTTTCTACAAGCTTGGCCCATAAATATTAGTTATAGTGTTCACATTAATGTCCTGCCTGCAGTGAAACCTTTATATGCATTTTAAAATGATTTAATACTGTTTTTCATACCTGTAGTGAGCTGATGATATATTTAACAGTATTGCATTTTAAACAGGTTTATGATCAGAAGAATATTAGGCGGAGAGTTTATGATGCCCTCAATGTATTGATGGCGATGAACATTATTTCAAAGGAGAAAAAAGAAATCAAATGGATAGGTCTTCCTACAAACTCGGCTCAAGAATGTCAAAACCTTGAGGTGAGTGAGGGGTGTAAAATTTATATTGGCAAACATTGTATTTTCTGTGTATAAAATGGAGACGCATGAATTCTACTTTAAGTAGAGTGATTCTATATAAATTATGAGTATGAGTGCTATCTGTGTGGGCCCCACACCAACCCAAAAAATATAGAAGTTTATTAATCTTTACATACTGTTTTTATAGATGTATAATAAAATCTTAGTCTTAAGAAATATACTGTAAACTGCTCTGGAATATTAATTTTAGGGCAGCTTTAAAAGGAAACTAAACAATAAAAAGTAACTTCAAAATATAATAGTTTTTATACCTAAGTCCCAATCAGAATTGCAGTGTTCTGGCTAGCTGCCCCATGTTAAAGTATTGTCTCATTTTTAACTTAAACTTTGCTGACTTCCCTACTTGATTGATGCAGCACGAAAGGTTCTGATGGCATCTGTAGTGCATCTGACGATTTTGCAATATATGTCCTATATGCTGCAATTCAGGTTCCCTAAAACAGTCACGAAGCAGTTTCACCTTGTCCCAGAAGAAAAGACACGTCTGTGTATTTATCTACTGTTTTGTATCTTTCTTTTCATATTCGTATTTAAGATAGAGAAACAACGGCGTATAGAACGTATAAAACAGAAGAGAGCTCAGCTGCAAGAACTTATACTTCAGGTATATTTTTCAAATGTATGATATCACTTAAATCCATTGGGGGGATGTTCAGCTAACTCACAGTAGGCTTGTTGAAATTAGTGGACCTAACTTAGTCATGTTCATTAAATTCAGTCAGTCTACTCTGAGTAAAACTTTGTTGAATGCACTGCATGTTGTTTACTAGTGTTAAGTGGTTTGGTATATATATAAGCATTCTTAAACTAGCAGAGTGCATACTTCCATGTTTCCTTCAGCTGTAAACTAAAATAAGTTTGCCTTTTGAAAAGCAGCCTGTCTCCTAATACAGCAAATAAATGTTCAAAGGAATCTGTGACAAACCAGTATGAACACAGAAGTCACTCCCTGTCTAGCATCACAGAAAATCAGTGACATTTTCTGATTTAACCTACATTTGTTTATCAAAATCTGCAGTAATACTAAAATTTAAGCTTCTCAATGCTTCATCTAATACTAAAACAATTCTCATTTTCTGACACAATAATCTAGGACAGGTTTGGTTATGTGTTTTAAAATTTGATAATTTTCATTTCCTTCTACAGCAAATTGCTTTCAAAAATTTGGTTCAAAGAAATCAACAAAACGAACAACAGACTCAGGGAGCTCCAGCTTTAAATTCTACAATACAACTGCCTTTTCTAGTAATAAACACAAGCAAAAGTACCGTCATAGATTGCAGCATCTCTCCTGACAAGTGAGTGTGATATGAAAGTACATGCTGTAGTGTTGAGTGCTTTGTAGTAAGCCTAAGAAACATTTTTTCTAAATAAAAAAAAAATCAATTTGCCACCAAATTTTACCCATTTCTCTCCCAATTCATGTTGAGTTTTTTATGTTTGGTCCGCCTGATGAAACATTTTGATATTGTATAGGATTTGACCTGCTAAGATGATGTTATCAGTATATTGGTATTTGTGATTATTTTTGAAATAAAGATTTTTAATTTTTTAAAAATAGTACATTTTCCCCTTTCACTTTGTTTTTGGCTGTTGGTCATGCTGGCCAGAAGGCACCACCACACTTACGGTGGTAAGCAGAATTGTTGACGCCTGGTTTTATATTCAAATTTGTGTTATAAAAACTTTCATAATAAAGCTGGCTAACAACAAAATATCTTGTTTCTGGAACAGCTTCTCTAGTAGCAATTATAAGCTGTCCTATAAGTTATTTTTACCAGTTTTATACGGCTAAAGGACCTAAGTAGGGATGAAATACACTTAAAATGCATTTGGTGGGCAGGAAGGGGGGCACTGAATTTGAGTGAGGAGTCTGTAGATGACCTTTAAAATCCATTTGGTTTAGTACAAGAAAAGATTTTGGCTTAAGCAAGATTTCCCCTCAACTTTGAATCTGTTTAATGAGGGGGAAAAGTTTATGGACTCCTATTGCCTCGCATGGAAAAAGTGTTTTTAATTGGGGAAATATAATAATTTGTACCCTGCTGAGATGGCAGTTGACCAGATGCAATCAGAAGCACTTTCTGTACCTAGTTATGTTTTAAATATAGCTTTGACTCATGAAGTAATCCTGCAAGTGTAATTGTATTTGGGCACTTATTAACATATAATTTAGAAAATGCATCTAAGCTGTACTAGGAAATCTCACTCATTTTTCCCCTCTTACAGATTTGAATACCTTTTTAATTTTGATAGCACTTTTGAGATCCATGATGACACTGAAGTATTAAAGCGAATGGGAATGTCACTTGGCCTAGAGACAGGCAAATGCTCATCGGCAGACCTAAGAGCTGCTAAATCACTAGTGCCTAAAGCTTTAGAAAGCTATGTCACAGGTAAGGCTGTGGTTTTTGCATGTTGCTGATTAAATGCAAATCCTCACCATCGTGAAGAATTTCTAATGATGTCAGACTGCATGAAGATGGCAATACCGAGTGATTTATGAAAGTTGGCAGTATTGTACAAACTAAATCACAGGTTTAAAAGTAGTCATCTGCAACTAGAGATTCCAGAACTTGTAAATAAACCAAAGTGCTTGAATGGTGTACTATTCAAAGTAGTGCCATTAATAATTCCTGCTGTCACCCTGCTATTTAAAACTAAGGGAGTGTCTACATATTTTTAAAGTCCGGTGAAAAAGTATGCTGCACAGTTTCAGTCATGGTATCTAGCAAATGTATTGACGATCAAGGGGCTGATTCTGGCTACAGAATCTCTCTTAGTGGAACGATATTTGAAGTGGTTTGCTACACACAGTCACAAAATAGTTAAGCTAAAGAACCACTTTAAACAATTTGTGACATAGGTAGAGCAGATTATGTTATACTTTAAACCAGCCTTCTCCAATCTGATGCCCTCAAGATATTGTTGAACTACAATTTTCACTGCCCCAGACTATTTGCTTTGCTAAGAGGCAGCAGGCACACCAAATAAGGAATATTATTGTGGTCACCAAGCCTTCTTTAAACACAAAATAGGTTGCTGCCGAAAAGGTGCCTGGTGCTCATCACCCTGAAAGTGACAGGCTTTCCTTCTTTGAAAGGAGGACTGTAGAGCACAGAGGGAGTAATGTGAGTATATGTGAGCTACTCTTGGAAGCTGCTCTCCTCCCCCTGCATGCTGTTCTGGGCTTTTCCTCGAAACTCCCCTAAGCCGAATTTTGCAGCTTGTTGGGAGGAGAGTGGGAGAAAACCCCATTGTGCAAGTGGCTTCCACTGATGAGATTGGCTAGGACCCATTGTGTCCCCAGAGAAATTTCCCTTGTTTAGTGAATATAACCACCTTTTTTAAACTAACATATACATAATTTTTTAGAGTAACACAAAACATATTTTAAAGCTGCAAATGGCAAATCTTGTGTTTTGTCTTTGTATTCAGTGATAGTTTCAATATTTCTTAGGCCTTCTGATTGTCCTTATGAACCAGGAGCAATATGGGGATTATTTTTTTTATCCTTCCCTACGCAAACTGCTATTTCAAAGGATTCCTATCTGTTCTCTTAATCATAACATAATTACGCAATGTAAAGTTGTGGCTAGATCTGTCTAATCTGCATAGTTACAGAAATCAGAGGCCTGTACAAACAAAGTAGCTGATTTAAATGTGTGTTGTACAAATTTTCAGGGAGAGGATCGCAGTGAGATTCTTACTGCTTTCTGAACAGCCTCTACTTGTTTTGTTAAACATAATCTGTTCTTTCTTTCAAGGACTGCAAGGTAGTAAAATGTTTAAAATAAGCATTTGTGTTCATATTCTTATGGCTCATTAATAACAAAAAATGGTGTGTGCATTCCTCTTTAAAAGTTATTCGCTAATGATATCCTGCTCTTGATGTTCTGGGCCTCTAGGTCTTGCATCTTTGAACATAGAGAAGCAAGCTTCCAACTTTGATCACACCTAAACACGATTTCCAGTATCCCAAATGGCAACTTTATTCTGACAGTCAATGAGCTATTGTATTGTTTAAACTAAAGCACCAAATTGAACATGGAAAAATGGGATGTTGTAGAGTTTGCTTATACCAAAATCCCAGAAGTAGAGCAGTAATATTGCAATGATTGCATTATCTGGAGCTCTATATTCAAGGGTATAAATACTTCAATTGAGCACTTATATTTCCTCATGGATGCTGAATAAACTTGAGATGTTGAATGTTGGATAGTTGAACTTGCCTCTATTGTATTTCTCCTATCTTCACTGTACTATCTAGAAAGGGTTAATGAGTGAACAAGCTAAAATAATCTCTTAGTTCCATCTGTCTGAGTGTATAGAGGGCCTTGTCTTCTGCTTTAAAATTTCCTGAGCTAAAAATAATGCCAGCTTTAATTTACCACTGGTACCATTTTACCAGTGTACCTGAAAGATTAACTTGCCCTCTTGTTGGAACAGCCAAAGTACACTAGACCCATGCAAATAGCCCATTGTGCTGGCACTTCAAAGACTCTCCAGATAATTTGCTACACTAGATCTATGATGTCATTTTGCATTTAAAGGGATTTTCCTTAGATAATTAGGGGAGGCATTAACTCAAATAGTCACCCAGCTTGTTGTATTTTTAACTTGACCAGTCAACATTTTTGTTCTCTAAAATGCTCTGGATGATTCAGCCTTTCCAGGTTGAAGTTTGCTTTTACCATGCAAGCACTATCAATCTAGAAAGCTAACTTGCATATATTTTTGATAGGCTTAAAGATATTCCCCCCCCCCCAAAAAAAATTGCTTAGCATGTGGGACACACCACTAATATGATAACATGGGAAACAGAACAGAAAGCCAGGAGGGAAAGGTGTGGAATAAACTCAGATCATTAAACTCCTGTTTGCAAGATTCAGGCATTCCTACTTGGCCATAACAGAGAGAAGCTGGTGCCAATTCTTACTAGAAATAACAACTAGCTTTTTATATAACGTATAGCTAATTACTTACTTTACCCCCTCAAATACTGTTTTTCTGAGACATTTTAATACATATTGCCCTTGTAAGCATATATGTGTTTCATACTGGTAACATACCAAGTACTCTACAGAAAATAGACATGTATGTGTCTGCTCCCATTGCCAGTCCCTAAACTCTCTCACACAACATGAGAAAAGGATTAGATGGTGCTAGGGAAGAGACTGAGCCACATGTATCCCTTCAACTTCAAAAGGCTTGGTGGAATCAGTTCAATGACTGCAGAATAGACTAAAAGGTGAATTTTTCAGGATTCCAGACATGTAGCTTTTTGCATGGGCATGCCTCAAGAGAATAAAAAAGTATGTTCCTGTACAGGAAAAGTATTGACCATTTGTTGTTGCATGTTTACTCCACATACATGTTATGTGTTGAGTTGTAATTGACTAAATGCTTTCTTTTAGATATGTCTACAGGAATTTACTGCTTGAACCAGGGGCTAGTTTTAAATTCAGCTCAAGCAGGTTCTGCTTTGGCCACAGCTGGGAATACTGCTCTTTTTAAGTCAAGGTAAGTAAGCGGGACGCATGCGGCGCTGTGGTCTGAACCACAGAGCCTAGGGCTTGCCGATCAGAAAGTCGGCGGTTCAAATCCCTGTGACAGGGTGAGCTCCCATTGCTCGGTCCCTGCTCCTGCCAACCTAGCAGTTCAAAAGCACGTCAAAGTGCAAGTAGATAAATAGGTACCACTCCGGCAGGAAGGTAAATGGCGTTTCCGTGCACTGCTCTGGTTCGCCAGAAGTGGCTTAGTCATGCTGGCCACATGACCCGGAAGCTGTACACCGGCTCCCTTGGCCAGTAAAGCGAGATGAGCGCCGCAACCCCAGAGTCGTCCGCGACTGGACATAACTGTCAGGGGTCCTTTTACCTAAGTAAATGTTGAATGGATGGCTTCTTTTTATGTTATTAAGAAACTACAATTGCCTTCTGGGAAAAGTGAGCCCTCAGCCTTTATTTCTTGTTAAATTCTCCCAAGCAGATACTGGGTTGATGCTCTTCAAGTCAAGACACCCTGATTTTTGTTACATCTCTGTTGATCACCTTTTGCGATATACATTTCTGAAGTAATCGCTGAACTGTGATTGGGGTTTAAGATTAATGTGTTCATGGGTTTAAGATTAAGTAGGGTTCTAGATTAGGATGACTGGAAAAAGTGAAATTATTTAAAGCCACAGATCCTATTTTATGAAGGATTTGCTCACATACGCATGGACATCACTTTCTCCTTGGTTGATTTACTCATGATTTGATAGCTTTTATTAGACCAATCAAAACACCACAAAACAGTGCACAAGCTTTCTAATTCTTTATCAGGCTGCATGGTAAACAGACCTGAAGGAGTGGGAGGGATCTTGGCCAATGCAACAATGAGTATGCATCTGGTGAGGAGAGTATTATGCCAGAATTTGGGAGGAGGTAGCATGTGTTCATATGAGGCCCTCTATATGCTGTAGACTTCAGATTGCAGCAAGGCCTGCTGGCAACAAGAATAACAATGGCATAACATTAGATTAAGTTTAGCATACTAGTATTCTGTTTGAAAGTTCTGTCTGTAGAAACTAAAAAAATCCATAATGTCTTAATCACACATGCAACACTGAGATTGATTCTAATGTTGAGATGCATACCTGCATGTGTTAACCAAACCTACAACAGTACAGCTTAGAGGAATGCAGTTTTAAGTATCAAGTTGTTAAATAGGAGGCAGATCTCTCAAGCAGATTTTTTTGCTTCTTTAATAGTGGAAATCCAGGGTTGTGTCTAGATTCTGAAGTGGCCTTAGCAACAGGCCAGCTGCTGGCTCCCAGCAGCCAACAGTCCAGCAGTGCAACATCACACTACTCAGAGTCACGTGGTGAAACCCCCTGTTCCTTCAATGACGAGGATGAGGATGAAGATGACTCTTCTTCACCAGAATAAAGGCACACTAGTCATTTGAAATACCCCTCTTGTGCACTACTCTTGTGCGCTTAACTCTCTTTACATAGTTTTCTTCCACATTTTGCCTCTTACCCTGTGCAATTTTGTTGAAATTTTTGAAAAGTGTCAGAGACAGGAAGCTGCTTATAACAAGGCACAGGACATTGTACTACTACAGAACAAGAAGAGAGGATGACTCAGTGCTCATACCTATGCACATCGGAGAGAATGTGGAGCCCTTCAAACAAGCAAAGGACCTCTGGTGTGACAGTGTTCTCTTTCATTGGTACCCAAATCTCATCCACAGAGGCAGAATGGATTTCTTCTCCCTGCAACATGTTAATGCCATACTTAAACAGCACTACAGTGACAGACCGCCTGCACTTCCTGTCGGGACATTCATTTACCTAGGCCACTTCTCATGCATGGGTTGTTCCTCTTCTGTATGCGTGGAGGGTCAGCTCCTGTGTTTTATGTATTTGTGTTTGTAGTCCTCACTGCCAGAAAGAAGTTGGAAGTGGTCCTGGTAGCCTGGTTGCATAGGGGCCACCTGGATCCATGGTGGACTCCTCTGTAATCTGCCAGGCAACTTGAGGACCCTCATTAACATTTGTGACAGGTAAGAGTGGGATGTCCTTTCCCAATAAGCTTTGAAAGGCACATGGTTAGTGTGCAACTCCACATCTCCCCTTCTGGGCCCATATACCGAATAATTGAATTGGCTCGCATTACTTTCCCCTTCACTATTAGGGGAAAAAACACCTTTCAGAAAGGTCAGAGTGGACAATGCACAATTTTTCTTTTTATATCATCATCAGTTGCCTGCTTCTTTTCCCTTACATCACATAAGATGCTCCTCTGCCCAATTGTCATTTTTTTTTCTACAGAAGAACACAAATATTTAAAACCACCGTGCCTCATAAGACTATGTGATAGGGAAGCTATTGAAGTTTTATTCTGGTTGAATAGCTGTGTGAAGAAGTGGTATACATTCACAAAGAGACATGTGTTTTCAGCTTGAAATCCTCTGTTTTAACTATTCCAGATTTAGTATTTCATCAGGTTATCATTTTCCCCTTCTACTGTCCATTAAGCAGTGAGACAATGCTCACAGCGCACTCTGTGCAGCTGCTGTTTTAATTTAGAAATGAAGAAACTGTATTGAAGGAATTTTTAAAAGATGACAGTACAAAATACTAAGATTTTAACTGATATGTGACGTTCCCTCACACTTTTTAATGGATAAAGGAAGGTTAAATTATAGCAAAGCTTTCCCCCATAGAATCTTAAACTACAGTCCTATGAAATCCAAGCAATTTTAGTTGACAAGTGTGTTCTGAAATCATAATAAACTTGCTTTCTAAATGTCTACTAGACCAATGAAATATTATAAATTATTTAAATAAAATACAGCTCTCTTTAGAGAACTAAAAAATGAATTTTTTTGAAGAAACTATTTTGATCTCAGGTTTTAAAATAATCTATGAAGCCATAATCTTTGCTGCAGATCATACAGTGCTGATAGGGAAATAAGAAACTGGTATCTTCAAGTGTAACAATGGATGTGAATATATGAATACAGTAATCTAAAGAGGCTTTTTACTTTGATTTTGTGTGTGTGTTAAATGAGGCAGCTTCAGCTGAAAGTACTATGATCTAATTTTGGGGAAATTATAAAGAATGTTTTAGAGAAGGTATATACTAGGTTTTTTCACCCCAGACTGATTTTTTTGCATATGAGTATTAACATCCAAAAGGAAAGCTCCATTTTTAGTCTTTAAGGGCTACATTGCCATCTGGGAGGTAGCAGAAGCGTGTTCCAATTTTTAAAATTGCTTACTGTTTGTGATTTGGCAAACCATTAGGCAGTCTTTCACATATATCGAATGTAGGATTTCACTATGTTCCAGGCCTAGTGCTCTGAATAGAACTCAAATTCTGACACAATCCTGTGTCAGAATTGCTGACCAAATGAGGAGGGAGGTGCTCAATCTCTGAACGAAAACATGGAGATGTGGTAGAATAAAAACAAAGTCATTTTCACCTTCACTCTAACTTTCTCATGGTAGGAGATGCATGTCTTTTTAATGTGGGTCCATCCATTCACTGCAAACACAAGGATTGGGGGATAAACTCTACTTAGTAGCTTATCTTTCCAGGTCTTTTATCCCAGTTGGCTTTTAGTACCAGAAGTAAACTGGTTGGGAGAAAGGCACTTGAGGGAACAAGTTGAGGACAGGAAGAAGGTCTTGTGAGAAGCTTACCTGCATGCTCCTTTGGCCTTCTAAATCACACCCCCAATTCCCTGCATTACAAAAAATTGCAGACCCATGTTTATAAAGCTGCTGTTCTACCTTGATCATTTCAGCCTTGTAGCAAATCTCCTTCCTTCCACTCCACTAAACAACACACACACACACACACACAAACCTGGTATCGCCACATTGCATGCATATATTTATGAATCTATTCCAAAGTAGATTTGTATGGATGCATGGACTTATGGCCATGTCTTAAGTGCATAATATGGCCTATAACCAGCACAATTACTTATAAGCAGTTTTAGGTCTTAGACATTAAACATATTTAAGGGAAAGGGCAGAAAAAATTTGGCCCTCCAGCTGTTGTTGAACTACCCCTGACAGCTTATGCTGGCTAGGACTGATAAGAGTTGTATTCCAACACCTGCTATAGTGGAGGATCACAACTTCCCCATCTCCATTTTAGGGCAATACATCTTGAAGTGAATGGTTACCTGAAAATAGGATGGCAGATTATGTGGTTCAAGAGGACATTTCCCTTACATATGTACAGAGACAGTTCAAATTCTGTGCCAGAGAGAGTTTATTTCATTATTTCTCTTGTTCGTATTTGAAATGATTTACTGTTCTGCCTCTAATTTATTCTGGTTTTGTTAGAGAGAGGCACAAAGTTAGGAAGGGCACTATGGCCTTGCCTCAGCCACTGGAACTCGTGGTCCCCAAGATTCAAGCAGGCATTTATCCACAACTTTCAAGCATGTCAGCATAAGTCAAAGGGCTGCAAACTTGCTGTTTTGTGTGTGTTTTGATGAGATTTTTGCAAAGCTGAATTTTGTACCCCAGAACCATATTCTGAGATTTGCCCCACAGATGCGCACACACTTTTATGAAATTGGAGCTACACATAACTCTGCCTACATTTGTTCATCAGAGTCCATGGGAAGCTTTTGTGTCATTAGAGCTCAACCCAGTTCTGCAAATAAAAGCACTTTCATGAAGCGTGTTCCTCACACAGCATAACAGAACACTGTTCTCCTGCTCTTCCTCACTTAGTGTGTGTGTGCATGACCACCATGCTAGGTAGGGTGTTACAGGGAATGAGAGATTAATGTTTCTTGACCAAGAAGATGGGGGCAGATGGATGGGACAGTGATATGCAAGGAGTGGACAAGCTTCTTATTCCACATGAACAGCAGATGGGAAAAGATGGGGTTCTGCAATGCCTTTTATGATTCCTTCATGCCAAGTGCTGCATTCATAGGACTAGAGTGAACCCTTGAGATTTCATCAGATTAAACTGGCAATCTGAATTGGGAGAAGGGGGAAGAGAGAAAATTCACAGTAACCAAAGAGGCTGACCATATGGCATGAATATTACGGAGCACTTTGTTATCCTTCAGAACCAGTTTTGGAGTGAAATGGTTGAATGGTTGGGGAAAGTTCAGACTTCTTTGAAAACAACAAATACAGGAAAATCAATTAAAGCAATATGGATGTTCGCAAGTTATTCCCTGCCTTTGTTGTAGTTGTCAGATTTTGCTTAGTGGGTACGTACAGAAAGTATAAGTAAATATGAAATATCCTTAATGCTTTTAAACTGGAACCACAATGCAATGTTTATATGTTTTGTGTTAGTGGGAAATATATGTTTCTTTGACAAAAATGTCTTAATTAAAGCAGGAATTTGCATCATGCAAACCCACTGTCACTAACACAGGTGAAAATAAAATAGCCAAATCATATTTGGAGTAGTGGTATTTCAGGGAGTCTATTCTGAGTATGGTTGGCTTTGATGCTGCCCATATGAATTAAGCCTGGCACAATGTTAAGTTTCTTCCTACCATTTTTTATGAACTGCATTGGGTTGTACACATCAATAAATGTCTGGTGTGCACACCTGAGCAAAACTGGTTAAAGATTAGGATCTGAAAAGTACAACCATTTTATTCCACCAGAGAACTTCTGACTATGTCCTCCTAATAGAATTTATGATGGTCTGAAAGCATTCTTGTCTTTACCAAAACCTTGATAGTCTGTTTTATCCAAATGATCTAAAGTCCTATTTATTTCTCACCACATCTATATGCCAGCAGCAGAGAAACTTGTCAGATGATGGTAATGATTCATGTGGCAATGTTGTACACACAGAACAGCTGTGTCTCAAGTAGCCTTTGTGTAGTGATCCAAATATTTAAACCAACCCCAGCACATTGCAGCAACTTTAGTCTGTAGTTTGTAAATGAACTTGCAGAAGATGTAATGTTCCATGACTTAGCTACCAGATATTTTAAAATCTGTTTTATGCTATTTTGTAGAGAGGCTGGGTTTTTCTGCTTGTGTTTGTTTTTTTACTACCGCATAATATATAGTTTGTGTGACTAAAGTGTGAAAAATGTGGTAGTCTTGTGTATGTCTTAAAAGAAAGAAGGCAGACGCAAAGAAACTCTTACACTTTAAGACTGTTGCTACTAGCAATGTAATATGTCTGATCTAATAGAAAAATGTTACCTTGTAGTATATCACATACTTTATAAAAAAACCATTATTTTTTTATGGAAATTTTATATAAGAATCTATTTCTGCATATTTCAAGTGATCTTGTATTTTATTAAAGTGCTACAAGTAAGGATTGTGCAGAAGAGTGCAAGTATTTGCATCTGATTGAAATGAAAAGCATGCATACTTTGAAGAAAAATAATATCCTGCTGTTTGTGACCTGAGAAGTAAAGCTAAACTGTAGAACAGAATAAAATAATTTAAAGACAACTGGGGTTGCTCTTGTTTTTAAGCAAACACTGCAGCAGAGGAAAGCTGTCAAAGGTTAGTGTTCATAGCATGTGTTCTCCATTTCAGAAAATACATCTTACAGAGTAAGCTGCAGGGAAAACAGGGTCAAGTTGAACTGATGTTTTCAAAATAAATAGAAAGCATAACTAATTTCAACACTTAGTAGGTTCTTCTGGACTGGAGTCTAGCACAACATCCAGTTGATCTTCTTAGTTCCTAACGATATTGTGTGTATTGCTGGCAATTCAAATACTGGGAAAAGCATTTTCTAGGTTCCTAATGATGTTTACTTGGAAAGCAAGTCTTACAGAGATTGCATGTGACTACACCGATAGGTACTTTTAGTAAATAGTATAAAACTAATTCATTTAAGAGCCATACAGTGCTGCCTCAAGTGTACTGTGCAGAAATCGCTTGTGTGTCTAAGTTCAGGAACATTTAGAACTCCAAGGTTAAGTACAACACACTGCATGGAACAGTTTGCATCATATGCTAAAATGTATTTAACTGGCAGCATTTTTTAACCTTTGCCTCTATATTCATCTCTTCTTTTTTCCTTTCTCACTACTTGGATTAGGAAGGTGTAGTTCTCTAAAGTTGACTCCTTTGTTGGGAGTGCTAAGAAATCTGATAACGCAAGCTTACCTTCTCATTTTGCCTAAGGAGAAACTTTTCAGCAGTGTTTCCATGTGCTATTGTAGCAAATTGCCTCATCAGGAAAGTGATATGCAAAGCAGTAAAACCCAGCCAACTTTTGTGTTTTGGAGGCAAGTGCCTATCTTCTGTGTCACAGTCAAGAAAACAGAGTAGTTCTTGGAGAAAGACTAGAGCAGGGTTAGCCAAGATGGTACTTTCAAGACGTTGTTGAACTTCTGCTCACATCAGCCTTAAGCAGCTTGGCCCAGTGATCGGAGGCGATAGGAATTGGGGTCCAGCATGTTGGTTATCCCTGGGGTAGAGTATCTGTTCCTTGTGTGGCTCATATATGAGACTACTTCAGGATTGTACCAGTCTCTGATCCCAGTGTTGTGTTGATGGTAAGCTGTGGCTCAATAACACTTTTTGAAAAACACGTACCCCTAAAGCTAATTAGTGGTAACTGTTACTATGAATTGGGGCAAGTATTTTCTGCAAAGGCACCCAGTTCTTAAAATTGGCCTTCAGTCACAAATTCTGACAGCTGGATTTCAATAGTGGCTCTGGATTTGTTCTCATTGACCCAATTGGAGAACAATCAGTAGCTCTGGCAGGATTTTTCCCCCTGAGGTTAACCCTCACCCACCGTGTCCTAGTCCTGATCCCAGCTGCAAATAAATATACACTCTTGCCATAAAGAACATAGTATTTTCATGTTACACTGACATTTTTAATTCTATTGCAATTATGAGAAATTAAATTGTTTGCTCTATAGGATTCTTTGACCAGGATTGTCCACAGTGGGAAGAGTCTGGCCTGCTAGAGTGGCCACAAGTTGACTTTATATAGCTGAATTCCTGAAGGAATAGTTGTTGACCTTGGCTGAATGGCAGGTAGGATGTACCAGAGGGTGGGATGGAGGGTTTCTGTTGATGGAATGAAGCTTGAAACTGGCCCTTGGAAGACTAATATGAAACCCTGTTTATGTATAGTATTTGTCCAGATACACTGTGTGCTGTTTGTGGCCTTCAAAGTAGTAGAGAGAAATACATTGCAGCATGTTCATCTTTAGCCACACTTCTGGTTAGAAGGAGCTTAATTTTGCAACTTGACTGGGGATTGGTTTTGTCATTCACAGTAAATCAGCGGAAAAGTACAAAGTCAAAAGCAGCAAAGAAATAATTGTGTATGCTTATTGTTCATTAAACTCTGCTTCAACCCTACATGTAGGATAAAGGGTCGGATTCAAACAATGTTCTCTTTGTAAGCATTGTAGGAATCCAGTGTAGGGGGAGGACATGTTAATTTAAAAATGCAGGGGTGTTTGTTCAACTACCTACATTGTGTGATATGTGTAGGTTATTCCTCAGGGCATGTTCTGTGCAGGGTATTGGACCCGGTGTTATTTTTTGGTGACATGATTTTGTGTGTCAAAGAAATATTTTTGCCTATTACCACTGAGATTTGTATGTAATGTTAATTTGCCTCACCTCTTTCTCCCCAGGTTTGTTGGTTTCATGGACTACTCTTCTTTCACTCTCAATATGAGACTCTCTGAAATGCTTCTTTATTCTTTTGTTCTCTTGTGTTGGACCTATAAAAAACCTGCTGCTGTTTCTATAGTAATATCTGAACAGGCATAACACACTCTGTCATCCAAAGAAAGTGAACAGTTCAATCTCATTCAGGTTCACTCGAAAGTAGAGTCTGTGTGATAAAGTGCATAAGATGTTGGAATGGGACTGGGGAGATCCCTGTTTGAATTGCACAGCCATGCAGTTCAAAAACAAAATGTTTCCAAGTCAGGAAAAAGTCCGCTCTTTGCCATTCCACATCTTTCTGAATTTTGTATGTAATGACCTGGATATGCCCCATTACTATCAAATCCGTTCTGCTAGATCATGGCAACCTTATGGATGACCAGGCTCTATATAGCAACAGTCAACTTCTAAATGCATTTCTGCTCCCTGGAACCCACAGTGGACCTTTCTGGTCCTACAGCAGGGCTGGGAAACCTGTTGCACTCCAGTCCTCATCAGTCTCAGACAGCAAGGCGCCAAATATCACAGATGAAGCCAGTTGAAGTTCAGCAGCATCTGGTGAGCCAAGGTTTCCCCAGCCCTGTCCTGGAGAATGGCAAAGATACATTGCCGTGCCATACTATTGTCAAGTTTTGGTTTAAGAGCCCTTCTTATTTGTGCATATTGCTATTTCTATTCCCAACCTGAAATGTGAATATTATAAAATGGCTGTCCTGTTGTTCCATTTAGGTGAAAGTGAGGGGGCAAGGACAGCTATAAACCAGGAATGAGAAGGTACAGGAAATGACTCAGAAGATTTAGCTTTATTTAATTAACCATTTGTGCTTTTGAAATATCTCCTCACTGATTTTAAAACTACAGTATTTAGTGCCACAGGCAGAGGCAAGTTAGAACAGTTATCACAGCCTCTGGCATGGGCAAGATAATTACATGGATCAAGAATCAGTTACAGAAAAGGTGTGTTCTTCCTGGAACATTCTGAAATCTGTACCAGTTTAAGACTTGTATTAAACCTCGATGCCAGAGAGCAGTGTCCCAACCTGCAGGTATAGCTTTGGCTTCTCATACTCTACAATTACTCAAGTATACCCTAATTAAGAAGTCAAAATGACTGTTTTGAGAGAGAGGGATTTATTATTGTGGTCACTGCCAAAATTGCAAGTTAAATTTTCACTACAAGAAAAATCTGTTGCTTTTATGGATGCATACAACTTTCAATCCTTTTACTTTTTTAAAAAAAATCACAAACAGGTTCATTGTGCTTTTTGGTGGGCTTTTGAAGCTCTGAATTCCTACTTTTTATTTTGAAGGAGGATCCAGCTGATGGGAGGAAATGTTAGGATTACCTAGGGTAGGGAACTTTCAGCTGGCCAGATGAGTATAATTTCCATTCCCCTTCTCTTGCAAAATCATGGCCAAGGAATGATGGGAGTTAAATCCAGCAATAGTCTAGGGCCCTGCCTTTAGCCTCTGGTCTGGTTCTGTCAGCAGAAGGAGAGAGAGACTACAGCAGAAAAAGGTTTAAAGATGCCAGCCACCAGCCAGTGATAGCACATGAGAAACAGGCAGGAGGAATGTTTTAAACAACTATTTAAAAGCTTTTTTTCAGTTATACAAAATAAAAGGGGGAAAGAAAGTAGGGAGAATTCTTAAGAGAAGCTTGGATACATGGAAACAGTGATAAGCAAATAATGGTAACTGTTAGTGGCTGTGTAAGAGAATTGGATCATTCAAGACAGGCCTCCATTGTTAACATTACTGACGATACCAGATCAGGTTCTAGAGTAGGGATCTCAAAGAACAAGCGTGGAGGCTGCAGCTCCCAAACAGCACAGGGAAGATCAATTCAGTAGTGGTGTGTATTTGGGGGGGGGGGAGTTATTTGCTTTGTGCTGACAAAAATTGTTGGCCTACTAAAGTCTATCATTGCCAGATAGAGGTCTGGAGAGAGGACATTTATTTTTCTTCTGCTTCATACAGCTGCTTTAATTCTGAAGTTTACAGGAGTGATGAGTCATTACAATATTGGACTTGGTGATCCAAGCTGCAAAATATGGCAGTGCCCTAAGAGAAGAAGCAGAGCTTCATTTTTCTTTTTACAGCCGGCCTGGCTTCTCTCATGGATGAAAGATGCCTGAATGTAAGTATTATGTTTGTTCTACTCATCCCTTCATTCAGTGAAGTGCTAATTAGAGGTTTACTTAAAATATGAGGGGCGGCTGGGTTAGACGCATACACAATAATGAAGTAATCCCAGATAAAGTAAAGCCTGCGTTCACGTTAAAAATGAGACGTGAAAAAGGGTTCCTGTGATGCCACATGCATACTAAGTAGTTCTTTGTATAGCGCAGGATAGATGGCAAAGAGAAAGAGATGCCCAAAGTAAGAGTGTGGTTCAGTTGCATTGAATAATCTGATGGGGAAATCCCAGGGTGTTTACAGACCAAGATACAGGGGTTTTTTGGGGGGGGGGGGGTGGACGTAAATGCTGCCCTTGAAACTTCCCCAGTCCCACCATGAGAGCTTTTGCCTAGCTAGGAAGTATCCTTAAATTGTGATGGTGCTTTTTTCTTGGATGGAAGACAACATGCAGAAACATTGCATGACTAGAGTCAATTCAGTGCTCTGCCCATATTTGCACGTGGTCCTGCCTGCCACTGGTTTGCAACTCCTGGAAGATTGCCCATGAGGAAATGTGACCCTCAGGCTGAAAAGAATCCCCCACCCATAAGAGTATGAACCAGAAGTAGAGGACAATTTTGCTTAGCCTGTGATAGTGCTTTGTATAGTCCAAGGTGCATCCCTCAATAGGAGACTATGAGCCTCTTCAGATGGAATGTGATGTAAAGATGCTGGGGGGGGGGCATTCTGTGATATCTGTAAAACAAACCAATTTATCATAGAAACAGTGAATTGTAGAATTGGGTGGGACCCTGAGGACCATCTAGTCCAACACCTTGCAATGCAGGAATCTCAACTAGATCATACATGACAGGTGGTCATCCAACCTCTGCTTAAAAACCTCCAAAGAAGGAGAGTCCACCACCTCTCATGGGAGTCTGTTCCAATGTTGAACAGCTCTTAATGTCAGAAAGTTCTTGCTGATGTTTAGTCTGAATCTCCTTTCTTGTAACTTGAAGCCATTGGTTTGGGTCTTACCCTCCAGAGAAAACAAGGTTGCTCCATCCTCCGTGTGGCAGCCCTTGAGATATTTGAAAATGGCTATCATATCTCTTCTTTGCCAGGCTAAACATGCCTAACTCCTTCAAGCATTCCTCATAAGGCTTGACTCATCTGAAGCTTGTGGTCTTCCCCCCTAATCTTTTCACATGCACTACTGGCAAGCCTAGTGTTCCCCATCTTATATTGTGCAGCTGGTTCTTCCTAAATTTGTCACTATTGAAATTTTATTAGTTTGGGCCCAGTTCTTCAAACTATTAAGGTCATATTGAATCCAGATCGATCTTCAGCAACACTGGTTACCTCTCAGAGTTGGGGTCATCTGCAAATTTTATGACCATCCCCCTAATGCCTTCATCCAATTGGTTTATAAAGATGTTGAACAACAACGGGCCCAGGACAGAACCTTGTGACACTTACTTTTCCCCACAAATGATGAGTCAGCGAGTTACAAATACACCTAAACTATTCTGGACTAGAACCGATTCAATTGTAGCCATGAAAGGTTATGCTCACTTAACGGATGAGGACAGAGAAGAACTATATACCATGATCTGCAAAAGGTACTGTCAGCTACTTATAAAGCTTAAATGTACACAGTATAAACTTGGTGAGCAATGACAAAAACCACGAACAGGTGTTAACTAATAGCCTTTGTGGAGGAGAAACCATTGTCTCATTTCAGGGCAAAACAAATGCAACTTACTGATAAGAGCTAGTGCAGCAGTTTTATGTTGCAGTCTCCCTTTGAAGTTCCTTTGTTAGAGAACAGTTAGCAGCAGAGTGACCTAGAGGCAATTGAAATCTGACCAAAACATGTAATCTCTAGAAACTGCTCGGGAACATTTCAGTGTCCTAGACATAAATAATGACTTAAGGCAGCAACATTAGCAAATAAACTTCAAAGAAGACTAGGGAGGCATTGACTGTCTTCACGTTTCCCCCTGCATCATGATTGTTGCATCATGCGTAATAATAATAATTCATTATTTATACCCTGCCCATCTGGCTGGGTTTCCCCAGCCACTCTGGGTGGCTCCCAATAGAATACAGTGGTACCTCGGGTTAAGAACTTAATTCGTTCTGGAGGTCTGTTCTTAACCTGAAACTGTTCTTAACCTGAAGCACCACTTTAGCTAATGGGGCCTCCCCCATTTCTGTTCTCATCCTGAAGTAAAGTTCTTAACCCGAGGTACTATTTCTGGGTCTGTAACCTGAAGCGTCCCCCACCCATAAGAGTATGAACCAGAAGTAGAGGACAATTTTGCTTAGCCTGTGATAGTGCTTTGTATAGTCCAAGGTGCATCCCTCAATAGGAGACTATGAGCCTCTTCAGATGGAATGTGATGTAAAGATGCTGGGGGGGGGCATTCTGTGATATCTGTAAAACAAACCAATTTATCATAGAAACAGTGAATTGTAGAATTGGGTGGGACCCAATTTATTATTATTTATTATTTATACCCTGCCCATCTGGCTGGGTTTCCCCAGCCACTCTGGGTGGCTCCCAATAGAATACAGTGGTACCTCGGGTTAAGAACTTAATTCGTTCTGGAGGTCTGTTCTTAACCTGAAACTGTTCTTAACCTGAAGCACCACTTTAGCTAATGGGGCCTCCCCCATTTCTGTAGCGTCTGTAACCCAAGGTACCACTGTATTAAAAACACGAAAAAACTTCAAACATTAAAAACTTTCCTAAACACACACATCATGATTTGCAATATATTGCCAGGTCAAAAATTATGAAACTGCGCGCTCTCTCTCTCTCTCTCTCTCTATATATATATATATATATATATCGTCCAGCCCTAAAGAAGACCACTATGAATTGCTGAACTAGAATTGATCATTACATTTGGTTATTTAGTCCTGAGTTGAGACTATAGTTTCTTCTCCATGTGCGGATAACACTGAATGCCCTGGTGGAGTAGGCTCTTATCCAGAAAAGCTTTTATCACAAATACTGGGCTCCAAGACTTGGTTTTTTTTTGGGGGGTGGGGGTTTGCTGTATCAGACAAACCTTTCAAGCTGTAGGGTTCAGTTACACCATTAATTCATGGTGTGAAGATACATGTAGTTTCAGATTATACTGCAGTAAATGCGCAGATACAAGTATGAATTCAGCAACTGCAGCTACAGCGTCAAAGTATTTGCAGAGAAGCAAGAAATTTAAGAAGTTTGTAGTTTACACTAGTGTTCTTTCTACACCTCTCTTTCCCATTTATTGAAATTCTTTGCCCTGCTAAATGGCACCTTTCATCCAATCACTGACAGCAGAAAGGTTTACATGGGAGAAAATGTTAATGTTATGATGTAGCCATTAAATTATAGGGCAGGGATAATATAAACACATGCAGTTCCCTTTCCAATGTTCAAGAGTAGAAATACAGAATGTTATACCTGAAAGATGAATAATCTGTAGGCAGAGCAAAAAACAGATTACAAGTAAGTTGTACTAACAAGTACAGGCAGCAATAGGAAAGTAATTATGGGCAGTCTTAACAGTCTTTACCTCTTTGCAGAGTGAGGTCCATCCCTATCATCCATCCTTCAGTGCTTCAGTAATTATCGGGAGGAAAGGAGGTAGGGAATATTTTGCATCCACAGGATCCAGAGCTCTCCTGTTCGCCTGGCATACCCCTGGAGCTTCCATACTTATATTCCCACCTCCATACTTACATTCCCCTGCTCTCTATTTAGTGCCTTCTAGAATTATTTTTCCTAGCAGGCAGAAGGCACACAAATGGTGCAAGGGGGGATCCCCAATATGGCTGTTCCCCAAATAGGCTTGTCAAGAGAGAGCACATCCTGCTGTGTTCTCTAAAGGACTTCATTTTATAAATGACCAGCCTTCTAAGCATATCCTCACCTTCACATCTCAAGGAGAGAGCAGGTTTGTAAGGGCAATGCTGTTATCCAAGATATACCAGTCCTTGCTGGTTTGGGGCTTTATAATTACTGTTAATAATTTGATTTGTATCTTGCCTCTCCTCCCAAAGAGTCTAGGTTGGCAGATACAGCAATGATAAAACAAGAAGGCAGTAACTGGAACTCTTGGTGGTAGCTACATTGAGCTTTTTAAAGTAAAGATTGGGTAAGTGTTTTTAAATACACTTTGTATTGGACACTAAAGCTAACAGGCCTGTGAGAAGCACAACATGTACATTGTTCTCAGCAAATGAGCAACACTAGCCTTAGAATAGGTAGCACTCTGTAGAATGCACTCTGGTAGTTGAACCTGGTAGTGTGTCAAGTATAAATGACAGTGGCCAGCTCCTGAGAATCATGGAATAGTTTCAGCTGATTTCTTAGATAAAAAGCATTCCTTGGCATCTGCATCTCCAGCCACACTCCCCTGCTGCATGAATGTTCTTTCGTCAATGAGTTTATCATTGTGTCTGGAAAAGTAATCCCTGCATCTCCCCTGTACTAAATCTGGAAGCATCCATACTGGAGTAGGGAAGAGCTACCTTCTGGCTAGGAAGACAAATACAGTGTTTTTTTTAACTGTTAAATTAGTTGCACTAAAAGTCAGGTCTGGCTTTTAGTTCAACTAATCTATCTCAGTTCAATTAATCACTCACGCAAGTGGTATTTCTCATAGCTGAGTGAGAGAAGGGGAGGGAGGAAAGGGCTGTTTAGTCACTCTTCTGTGTGTGGCTTCAGCAAGTTGATACTGTGTAAAGCTGCTGCTTGTTAGTCCCCCTTATAAATAGGACAAATGCAAAAGCTATGATAAATAGGGTGAGGTGGGCTCATGGGCCTCTAAAACCTCCAGTAGCTGGAGAGGCTTCAGAGTGGATTTTGTTCTGCTTTAGCTACGATTGCATTTGTGTTTGTCAAAATGCATCTGCTGTATGCACAGAAGAGGCCCACAGCTATTTCAAGTAATGGCACATTACATAACTCTTAACCTGAATTTTATTCTTCTCCTATCCACATTGCTTTACAAGTTCAGTAGTGATATGCTGCATAAAGATGCATATATGGACCCCTCACCCCTTTAAACTTTGTAATTAATGAAAGTTATGGTAAGCCAAGCCTGGGAATAACTAGCAAATTTACTGACTGCAGAGGTTGCCCTAGGAGCAGATTCCTTACATTTGCAATCTATATATCCAGCCAATTGCTGCACAATTATATAGCATTAGTAAAGGACAGATATTCCCTTAACAGAAATCCACAAATGTACTCACCATGTAAACCATTTCTCTCCCTGGAAAAGCAAACCATTCCAGCAAGGGCAAGATTTAGGTCCGAATTTAAAGTTAAACTATAGTTTGTAGGAATTAGCTCAAATCCAAAAGGGGTAGCGATACAGAAAGCTGAGCAAGTCACTCTGTAGAAGAATGTTTGTGTAGTTATCTGTGCTAATCATTCTGAGCAGGCAAGGATTCCAGACTAAAAATAAGGGTTGAGAATGCAGGATGGAACTTAATTTCCTTTTTGGTCTCTTCCATGCAGTCTTCAAGTTGCATCAGTAGTTATTTAGTTAGACACAACTGCCTAACAACTTTGCTCTGGAGGGCATAAGTTTACAAAGGAAAGGTCATGGGAATTTCTATTGCAAAATTGCTGAACTAGGACATAATTAATTTGATTCTATTAGTTTCAGAGCTGAAGACCAATGTTTTCCCCTGCCACACCTATATAACAAAACCCCAGTATGAATGTTGCTTGAAATGGTCCCTTGTGCTCATCTTGTACACATTTAAGCTCTACACAGAATTGTCGGACTGTATCTTTTTACATTTTCTGGCCATTTAGTACCTCCATTTCCAAATTCTCTATCATATACACACACCTACTGGAATTGGTTACAAATTTCATAATGGCCATGCTCTGAGCAGCTCCCTTCCTAGGAAGGCCTGGCTTAAAAGATCTTATATCTGAGAATGAAGAGAGGACTTCACAAGCTTTGAAACAAAGTTTGGTGTTTAAAGGTTGTTAGTGTTGAATGGTTTCTTTAAATGTAAAGGTTCATCATTGTTCCACTCCATGTGTATGTCTTTAAGGGGCCAGAGCAAGGGCCAGAGCAAACTAACGAGACCCAGCTTTACAGCTGTGTAACATAGCAGGTGCTGCTGAGTTGTATTTGATTAAGGTGTGTCAGCATCTGAGTGTAGTATATAAGGAGCAGCACCTAGCTCTCCCATTACCCTGGGGGATGGGTTGGTGGTTGGGTCTGGTTTGTTGATGTATTTAGTGTTAATGGAGTTTTTGTTTTTCTTATTAAAACCTTCTTTAAGTTATTTTTGAGTCCTTTCTTTTTAATGCATGATCTCCCCAGCAAGCTCTCTGCAGCGTCACTATACTGCAAAAAGCCAACAGTTAGTGTGTGGTTGTGTGTACCCAGCAGCAAAACATAGAACATTAACTCATCCCAAACTATATAAATTAAACAAAGGAATGTTTAATCAATACAGTCCTTATTTTGAGCTTTAAAATTTTAAACAGACATTTCTCCTTCCAGGGATTTTTTTTTTGGAAAGTGTAAGTCTACTCCCACATAGTGAGGTCTTTTCTTCCAAGCAGCTTTGCAGTACAACCATTACCAAGTTTCCTAAACCATAAACATAAAGAAATGTTCATACCAATAGTTCAACTAAAAATGTTTTAAAAGTGACATTGTATTGGTTTTATCTGTGCTCCACATAACAGCAAGCATTTAATACGATGACAATCAGTTTCTCAACTAAAATATCAAATCTAGACCAAACTTTACACAAACACACAATACCTGCATGATGACAAGCACAACAGACTAGTTCAGTATTTAAATAATGTTAGTATTGATTTTTGACACTTAAAGTCCACTTCCTCCAACCCAATACAGGACTTAAGGCATCCCTGCACAAAACACAACTCACTATGAGAGGTTGGGAAGTTTGAAATTTTCTCCTAAAACTGTGTTGGTATTGATATGATAGTTAAACCAGTGTTAAACCAATACAATATTTACATAGCACAGCACATTTGAGACACTCACTTGGGGATAAAGCCCACATTTTGGAACAGGACAAAGACCACCATGATTACAAGTTATTTACAGGTCCCTAAAATGACAAACTATGTCTGTACACTGGTCCAACAGGGCAGGCAAAAGCATGACATGCAGTTATTTTGTGAAGGATTTAAAACATAATTTGGAAGCACATTATTATGCTACCCTGAATGCCACGTCCCACCCTATGCTTCTCAAAGGTGGTCTCATCTTCTAGAATGGCAGGTCCCGCTGATACAAAAAAAATCACACAAGGTTTACTTTGTGAAGACACTGTTGACTTCTATTCAGTTATCAGAAATTTGAAGGAAACGCGTCCCAGAAACTTGTCACGATCATCTTCATTTTTTAAATTGCTTGATCCTGTGATCTTGCATTCAACTGTTACATCTTCTTTGGTACTGGTTGTGTTAAATTCTAGTTGAACAGCTACTAGTGGCTGTAAGTAGTTTGGCTAGTGAGAGAGAATGAGAGAGAAGATCTTTTTTAATTAAAAATAATAAAGGCAGGTTTTTAACTCTCCTGAAGGCGCCCTAATTGCCCCAAATCACATCTCAGATGTGTTTTCGTTATAGCATTTTAGACCAAGCAAATGTTTGGCACACAGCAGCACTGGCAAATGGGCTTGTGAGACTTTCAGCTTTATCTGTTATTGCTTATTCAGAAGCAAGCCCTGTTGTATTCGGCACTTCCTGTTCCCAAGCATGCATAAAACATTGCAGTCTCAGCCATCAACTCTTTCTTACTGGAAAATGACAGGAAATAGATTAAATGGTAAAACATATATTGGGGATGCCAATGCCTTTCAGCCCCAGCTAACATAGCCAATGGTCACAAAGGATGATAGTGGGAGTACAGCAACATCCATAGGGTCACAGGGCCCTCCTATGAGCCAGAGCCTCATTTACAATTTTAGTGCCCCATGGAATACTGTACTGCAACATGCCCCTTTAGCCCTGGGCACACCTTATGGCCCAATAGCAGAACTCTCGTATAACATCTAAACCAACAGGTGGAGAGGCCTAAAGGGATGAATTGTGGCTCTTTGGCTGGGCAGTATGAAGTCTGAATGCTAGCTTACTACCAACCCACCCTCACAAATTTAAAGAAGTGCACAGGGAGTGATGTTCAGTTGCGGGCAGTCTAGTTAAATAACAATAGTTAGTTTAAATAACAGTTTCAAAAGATTGTATTCAGTAAATTGTTTTGAGGAAAAGCAGCATGATTAAGATATACTCACATGTAATCTTTTTCCATAGTATGGGAAATACATTAAATCAAGTTTTCCCTCAGGAGGAAAAGTAGTTATCATAGCCTTGCCTTGTTCCTATAGATGGGAGATTATATATATATAAAAAACAAAGTTTTTTTTAAAAAAATAGTTTGTGGGCAAGCAAAAATAAAAGCACAATAAATATAGTTAAACTCTTTATTTTGTTCGCTTAAAATGATGTTAGGGTGAATATTCAGAAAGCCAGACACACAAAGTTAAGCTTGCTTAGCCCTTTGTTATCAGGTCAAGTGTACCCAGCAATGCCATACAAATAAAATACCTGATGGTAGTTACTAAGCAGGACAAAGTAAAAAGCAAGCCATGCCCTTCAGTGCTACTCCTTGTCCAGTAAAACAATAGTTGCAGGTAAGTCTAAGCCAAAAATACCTCCTCATGTAAAGTTAAAAAACTTCAATAATTGTGTGGTGGGAAAGAGGTAGGCATGTAAGAAATAAATGACAAAAAGACGTGTGCTATAACACACAAGTGTAACAGTGAAATACTAGTATCAACAAACTTCACAGACCTTGCAACCACAGCACATGCTACCTGAGCAGCCTTTGCACAATATTTCACAACTGCACAAACAGAACAGAAAATGCTTCCATGGATGTCATAAAAGCTGTGATTTCCTGTCATTGCAATGACCACAGGGATGACACCATCCCTTTTCTTAGTGCCACTGTGTCAGGCATTATCCATTCAGAGCCTGCCTCTCTTGATACCCCAGCAATGTGGCTATGTGTCTAGACTCAATTCAGACTTTGATCACCTCTAGATCTACATGGAAGAGACATCTTTTGGATTGTCGAAATCACTGAACTGTTCAGCTTCCAAAGAATCTAGTTATTTTAAGCAGACAGTGTCCATCGTATTTGGAAAAAGAAAAGAAAAACACTAGCCACTGACATATTATGCACTTGGAAGTATATGCCATGTGTTTCCATGCTGCCTGCAATCTTAATTTGAGAAAACAATATAAACCACTCAATCAAAAGAATCTGTAGTATACATAAAATATAATTAAATCCACATATACATGAATCAGCAAAATTTTAAAACATGTATACTTAACTAAATTATATGGCTGGGTAGGCTTGCTGAAATAAAGAAGTTTTTAGCAGGTGTCTAAAACAGTACAGAATGGGTGTATGGCTAATGAGCTGTCTTACTAGAAAACAGACTTCACAAATGTAGAAAGAACATTATATATTCCACAGAATGAGCAGGACAAAGTGGTCTTTCAAGTACACCAGCCCCAAACTATGAAAGGCCTTGTACACAAACAGTAAAACCTTGAACTAAACTCAGTAGCAAATAAGTATCCAGTGCAGATTTTTGAGCAGAGGTGGTGTAATAGGTTGGCAGGATTCCACTGCTGTCAACAATTGCTCTGAAGCATTCTCCACTAACTGTGGTTTCTGAACCAACCACATGGCAAGCCCTACATTGAATGCATTGAAGTAACCAATGCATGGACTGCTATGGTCAAGCTATCTTGGTCTAGGAACAGCCACAGCTGTTGTATACTAGTGAAGTTAGTAGAAGGTTCTCCTATCCACCAGGGCCTCTAGTCACAAAGCTGGATCCAATAGCAACTCCAGACTATGCATCTGATCCTTCAAAAAGAGTGCAACTACATCCAGAACAGGCAATTAGCAGATTTCTCTTGTTCCTCTGTCTATCAGGATTGAAGCTCAGTTATTTCCCCTCTTCTGGCCCACCAATACCCTGGTTCAGGGTCCCTATGACCACCTCTGATTCAGTTTTGAAGAAATAGAACTGAGTGTCATAAGCATCCTTGCTCTCAACAGCTTCACGTGGGTATTAAATGGCATTGGGGATTAGTGCCCTGTAGCACTCCAGGGGGATGAAAATCCTCCACGCAGGTAGTAGTGGAACCACTGTTAACACAGGGATCTCTAATACCTATCACATGAAGCTGGTCCAGAAACCAGACAGATCTGTGAAAAAAGAGCAAGGTCACACTTCTTTTGTTCCATTCTCAATAGAGATTACCGTATTTTTCACTCCACAAGACACACTTTTTCCCTCCTAAAAAGAAAGGGGAAATGTCTGTGCATCTTACGAAGCGAATGCTGCGCGGAGGAGGGACGGACTAGGTGCGTCTTAAGGAGCGAAAAATACGGTATCTAATCAGGGCGACCAGGACTGTTTCAGGACTGAACCATGAATGGAATGGGTGATAATCTGTATCATCCAAGGAAGTCTGACTGCTCCTCCACAATATTGTCTATCACCATCCCTAAAAAGGGGATATTTATGACTGGTTGATACTTAAGTCCAAACTACTGCCTCTTTCCAAGTTATGCAATGAAGTGCTTACAACACATAGAACTCAACCACTTAATGAGGCATACAGATTACTGGTGTACACGGTCAAGAGCAGCTTTTTTGCTATTCACACTACCATCTTCACACTACCATATGCTAGGCATGATTATGTGCACTAACATAACCAGTGTTCATTCCATTTCATGGTGAGACTTCCACCACTTGCACTCTAGTTTTCATGCACCCTGATTCATGGACCACAGCTTCCTAGAATACAAGGGAGTCTATCAGGCTCATCAACAGTGGAAAGGACATTCAGCATCAATCATCTGCAATCTGTTTCTCTGGCTCAACACCAGGAGCAAAGCCTCTAAGCCTGCTGCAACATGAATAAAGTTTTCTGATAAAGGAGATGGAACTCTTCCGACCCTCCAAGTCTGGCCTGGTGTATAACAAAATCCTCCACTAAAATGAAAGAAAATGCTCCCAAATAATGCCTGAATCAGCCTTGCAACTAATGCATCATGATACATGCATCAAAGCCAGTATATTCCATCACCAAAAATAAGAGCTGAGAAAAATTATGGTGAAGCAAGAGCTGATGTTCTTTTAATTTGCATAAATTTAACCATTGTGGGGAAAGCTGGATGAAAACTATGCACTGTTGATTGAATTTAGCAGAGAACTTCAGTTGTGGAAAGCATGTCAAGCAACAAGTTGTATCTCACCACAGGAATAAAACTTCAACTGTTCCAAGTAGTCAGCATGCCGTATATAGTACAAAATGTTTGGGGGAAACATTACACAGTATATTTCACTTTAGTTACAACAGCTGCTTTCTGGTGTGATCCTAATTTTAAGCTATTGGACAGAAAGAAGCAGGAGGAGGTAAAATGAATGTTATTACACTATTGGGTCACATAAGGTGAAACACATCTCTTTGATTCAGAAGTACAGAACAGCATAGGCTGGCAAAGAGGAAATGGAGTAGCTAAAAGAATTATGCTGCATATGATACACTGCCTTCGTGATATCCATTCTCCAACGTATTTATTTACATTTATATACCACCTTTATCTTCCAAGTAACTAAAATGTGGTGTACATGGTTCTCCACCCCATTTCATCTTCACAAGCTTGTGAGGTAGGTTAGTCTTAAGAGATAGTGACTGGCCCAAGGTCACCCAGTGAGCTTCATGGCTGAGTAGGAATTCATACCCTGGTCTCCCAGGTTATAGTCCAACACTCTAACCCAGAGCTTTCCAAACTTTGCATGTCAATGACACACTTTCTAGACATGCATCATTTCACAACACAGTAGTTCAGTTTTACCAACAAACCGGAGGTTAAACTAGCCCCTTTTCAGTCCCGGGAAGAGCAAAGGGAGCATTAACGTGACACTGCAGCTGACACACTAATGTGTCACAACACAGAGTTTAGAAAGCTTTGCTCTAACCATTACACCACATCTCAAGGTGTCATCCAGGGGCCATTATTAATGTTCTTTTTAATCTGCCAGTCACATGCATGACAAGTGTTAACCCATGTAAAAACAATTATGGATGTAAACACATCTACACAAAAAAGGACTTTAGATGTCTGAAAACAACCCACACCAGCTACAATCCACACCAGCTTTAGACCCAGAACAATTTTTGTGCCAGCACTTCCACACCTAGAACACATTGCTAAATTGGGTTAAAAGGGTGCAAAGGTTTTACAGATACAATATTAGCAGTGTTCACACATCACAGTAAACTATTGTTAAAGGTTTACTCTGAATGAGCATGTGCTCCCCCCCCCCCCGCACAGGTTGTTTTGCACCAAGCAAACCATGATTTGAAGCCAAGGTTTGTTCTTAGCTTACCAATTATGGTCTGAGTGAAATAACCATGTTCGGATGAAATTCTAAACCAGGAAATGTGGTTTGTTGCTCTGGCTTGTATCAGGAAGAGAAAGCATGAGCAATCTGGGCCACTGTCAAAGCAGTAAGAAAAATATGTACAGGTGGCATACACACATGCACATATAATATTCTTATAGTATATATGCAGATAATACTATATTAGTTTCACTTGGATAGTATATGTATTTGTAACAATAATTATATCTGTGTCTTTTTTGCTCATTTCTAAAGTATCTAGTCTTAATTGAGCCTTGCTTTTGAGATCAAGACATTAGTCACACATACACCCTGCTCTCTCACTTCCCTCACCTTAGCTGTGTGGCCCTCACAATTCAAATTCAAATTAAAACTGATTCTTTTGTAATTTTTTAAAAACCAATAATATTTTTTTTTAATGAAGCTGATTCAATCTAAAATTACTTTGAGAACCCAGCTTTGATTTAGATTCAGAGCAGGGAAGGATTTGCTACATAGGAATAAGGAATGAGAAGGACACATACTTCTGAAAAACAAATTCATTCAACTCTGAATTGGGGGGCATGGAACCTGCATTTACTTTCTCTCAATCTCTCACACACAAATCTGCATACAGATAAACATTTAAAGCACATGGAACATTTATAACAAAGAAACAGATTTTGAAGAAAATGGAGTGTGCTTACAGATGAACAACTCAAATGCTAAGATGTTATAATCTAAACTACTTCAGTGTTCATTTTCTTACCCACCATAAATATATTGTGTAAGGTGCATTTGCAGCATGCAGAGAAAAACAAAAGGTTGGTTACGAAATGGAACAAAAGAAAAAAGTAAATATGAGGAACCCATAATATCTATTCTAAATGAAAACTATAAAAACAACACTTTCAAGCTGAGCAACTAACTGACCCAAAGATAAAAGGGAAATTGCTAGCTTTTATAAATGAACAAAGGACTAAAAATACTCACAACATCTATGACTTTATAGTAAATTTGCTTCCCTAAACTTGCTTTAACAACATGAATATATGCACACTTATCTGAAAATACTCACCTTAGCTTCACATGTTATAGCTGGCATTCCTTGAGGTTTTAATCCAATTATCTGAAATGTAGAAGAATCTCTATAAACTCCTTTTTGTAGGTGAAGGGAATACATTATTACTTATGTTGTAAATGTGGAAAAAAGCGAATTATAGCAAGGCTGCAAGGAATTCTCATTATCAAAAGGTTAATTTTTCTGTGATCCACTTTACAGAAAAGTTACTGTTCCCAAATTAAGAAGTTTGTATATTCAGAGGTTCAGGGGAAAGGGTAATGAAAGGCAGCTTTTCAAGTTCAACTATGCCAAAGCTGCTTATTTTCAGTAGGCCCACTCGCAAACACCAAATGTACAAATCCACAAATATTGTCTCCTAATGTGCCTGCTGAAAATAAGCAGCTTTGGCATGTTGAACACACATGCAATGCCCCTCTCCCTCTTTCCTAACATCACTGCCAATAAGATTTGACAAGAGGCAGAAGTTGGGCTCTGCTGCAATCTCATTAAGGTAATCAACTCAGTCATAACAGTTTTGTAAGATGTGCAACAAATGTGTGCCTTATCCAACAGCTGTGTTACCTATGCAATGGTTTTTGTACAGAAAAAGAGAGTTCTCAATAAGGAAGCAAAATATTAATAAGCAGAGTCTTCAGGATCAGGTACTGCAGAACTGCCCTGTTTTAAAGTACAGCCACAACAGCACTCAGAGGGTTCCACTTCCACATGACATTTTGAGCAGCAGCAGTTCATTACTTCAAATTAGGCATGTAACATTAATAGCTGAATCCAGATGGCATATGCAAGAGACATGTCACATAACATGCAGTCAACTGCCAAATAATGAAATATTTTAGCTAAAAAGTCTGCAGCAAGAGGTTGCAGTAAGTCAAATCACAGCCCTTATCTTTCTTTCTAGCAAGACACGTTAAAACGGTTTGTATGTTTGTGACGAACAATTTTGGCCAACTGGCAGATAATCTCTTGCATGACGCAGGTAGGGCCCTTGTTATTAGCAGTAGCAGTACTGGCATTCAGCCCAGAAATATACTGCTAATAGTTTAGTGCTCTAAAGCACAAAAGTTACATGATTTCGAAGCTCCTGGGGATACAAAGGGAAAACAGGACAAAATGCTGCTCCTTTATGCAGTAAAAATGTAATAAAATTAGCCTGAAAGAAATGACACAGGTATGCAATTGCTTTCTCTCCAAATTCAAAACTGAGGGCAGCTCCACAGGCGTTTCTAACGGCACCTATAAAGCACTCCAACATGGGTATCAGTTAAGAAGCTTGCTCATGCAGGTGTTCCATAGGTGCACTGGAGTGAACACAGACATGCCTTAAGTGATGCTGCCTGATTGCAAGGGCCAGCAATCTATCCTTCCACTTGAAATGCAGTTGCCAGCAGAAACATAGGTAAGTTTTAGAAAGCTATAGAGTCAATATACTTACTCTATTCATTTTTACAATAACACATGGTGTTCCTTTAGCATAACCAAAAGTTGCATCTTGTAGTCCAGAGCATGGTCCCAAGTTAGAACGATTAAATTTGCATACTTTTTTTTCAGCATCAGAATCCTGTACAAAGAGTTGTCCTGGAGTACACGGGATGTTATCCACCTGCTTTGATTCATTATACGCTAGGGGAAACAATTCAATGCATCACATTATGCACTCATTAATTCAATACATATAAAAACTATTGACTTAACAGCTTCAAAGAATTTGGAGAATGAATTCCAAGCTTTGAAATAAAGTAACACACATTCAATATTCAGTATTCACCCAGACGACTACAACACAGATTCAATAAATACTCTTCCTGAAGTGAAGGACAGAAAGAACTAGTGAAATATAGATTGCTTTAAGTCTACTGGAAAAGTATGATGTGGGGACACTGGGGCCATGCGGTGCAGTTAACACTGCTGTAGCATTGTACAGTGGCCTTCAATTTGTTAATAGCTGAAATCCACCTAGAAGCCTAGCTGCAACATGAGAATCAAAAAGTTTCAAAAGTCCATGCATCTGGAGCTGGAACCTGTTAGCAATCTCAAGGTCATCTTTGCTGAAAACTAGCTCAAAAGGTAGCTGGCACCAAATGGTAACAGATGCTACTGGTTTTAATTCATTGCAAAACTGATGTCTCCTGCTGGATTTAGAATTTTAAGTTCATTAACGTCCAAGCATGGTGCAACATGTGCTTTATTATCATTGCACTGATTAAATTTCTGATGATTTGTAAAGAGCTTTCATCTACTCAAAAGAGAAAGATCCTCACTGGCCACTCTCCAAACTCCCACTAGAATAAGGGCTACAACTCTAAGGCCTGGTGTGGGCCCATTTGCGGCCCATCAGAAGTGATAGCAGATGTGCCAAAAACAAGAAGCTCAGTAACTGCTGGAGGAAAATAAGAGCTTCCCATCCAGAAGCTTTAAACTTGCTCACCCTTAAGGGTCTGACAGATCTGGGGACTGGACAGGTGACAGGAAACACAAAAATAAACATAAAAGAGCAAACCCCAATAGAATAAAGTACAAATGTATCAGCAATAGCTGGCAGAGTAGAGTGGTGATGCTATAAATCTTCAGCCATTAGGTGGCATTTTCAGTCTCGGCTGTTGCTAGGGTAACTTTAAAGTATGTCTTCTTGAAAACTTAAGTTTCATTTATTATTATTCTTGTTCCTCTACCTACCTACCAAGTATATAAAAAGGTAAAGGACCCATGACAGTTAAGTCCAGTCGCGAACGACTCTGGGGTTGCAGCGCTCATTTTGCTTTACTGGCCAAGGGAGCCAACGTTTGTCCGCAGACAGTTTTTCCAGGTCAT